AAAAATGGGGATGGTGAAAGGAACTTTGGAATGGCAGATGACTGATTGCGAGTGGATGGAAATGAGTTGTTTATTTTATGAGGTGTTGTTTGAGAATACAATTTATTGTCTCCATTGTTCATTATTTCTTGTCATGGTGAGAACATAAAAAGGAAATTGGAATAGGAAAATTTATAGACAAATTTTGATTTTTATGGTTTTTGAAGTGGATATAAAAGAGTTTTGGATTAGATTGCTGACAAATTGAGAAACTTTATTGTAGGGACGGAGTCTAAGGGGGGTTTTATTTGTACCAATAATGCTAGGTATGAAGGAGCTACATACACTACGATAAGATACTTAACTTAATCCATTTTCTCTTTTACTAGCGTTACACAATGAAATTTTTTTATTAGAATTTGATGGAACCATTTAAAGTTATAGCTTCAAATTAAGATCACTATTTAATGATGCGCAATTATTATTTTCGTATTTACTAAAGAATATTTTTTTACTTCTTCTTCTCAATTGCTCTCATAAAATTCAAAGTACAGAACTATTTTATAAAATGTGATTTTAATGATTTCATTTTAATGACAATATTTTACTCAAAGATTTAGAAGATATTAAGACAGATTTCACCATTCTAGTTAAGAAGCTCGGTTCGTGTGTTGGGTGTAGTATTGATGTCTTTGGCACAGAATATGCCTCCTTTGCAAGGTATACAAGGATATACTAGCATCTGGATGACTTCTTTCAGCATTTTGCGCACGCGAATTGTGACTAGGTACATTGCAGGGTATATCAGGTCTTATGACGTACTCGTGTCTTTGCAATGTGCAGAGCTTGCAAGTGGTTCGGATCTCACTATAAACTGTAGTTCTAATGGGTATGGTACAATAGATTCTTTACAAATTGAATTGCAGTGCATCCAGCTGAAAGGCTGGGCCCTTCGCACATTATCAAGACAGATTAGTAAACTGTGGATGTTCCGTATAGATCAAATTTCTAGTTAAGACCCATTTTCTCGTTCAAAAATTTCATAATATAACAAGTGTCAGTTCCCTTACTATTCAGTGTGTTATGTATGCAAAACAAACAAGAAACATCCAACTAAATCCTTACAGCTTCACATTTTCTTCATAAAAGTTAAAAAATAAACTTTTTTAAACCATTTTGTTCTGAGAGTGTTTTGTTGACTTACAAGCTTTACATTCATAAGCCATTTAGTCATGCATTCAAGATACATCTGTCATATCTGAGAATAAGTGCTTGTTTCTTTTCAATTCATGTCATCCATATGATTAATCATATTTGTAACAATGTTGCATGATGAAGAAGATTATGAACTATATGAGGATATATGGAATATGTTTTGTAAAGCTTGAATTACATAATATTAAATCTTTTTATTGATTGTATGTAAAAGGCAAAAATTCCTTACAATCCAGAAGCATTCATTGAAAGGAATTCTGTCTAATATGCATCCTATTGTGAAAAGATCTTTATGCAATCAATTCTGTAATATCGTTACACAAAGGATGAAACTAGATACCAAAAAAATTATTATCCCAGCATTCAACTTTAAAGTATGAATACGAAAGAAAATGCAATAAAAAAGTTTTTTTGCAGCGCGGGTTGCATAGAAATCAGGGATAAAATTTTCAGCACAAAATGCTGCATAAAAAAAATCCTTGAATTTTTTTAATACAATCGATGGATATGATAATCCTCACACCTTTACCCTCTGCACAATTTACATTTGAATACTGCAAGTGCTCAACAAAAGGAAGTAAAGTATAGTCATAAAAAAATATCTAAATGAAAATTCACTCAGGCAATATCTTTTCATTTCCTTTTCCTATTTTATCTCGAGCTCGTGTCCTTGACCCACTTTTCAGTTGCTTCAACTTTCTTAAGAAAATGTTACTTACATACATTTTTGAGATGAGGGGATGAATGAACAATTTTCAGAATAGCGAGTAAACGTAAAAATGATATAAAAAATATGTATAAAATCAAGGAAGTCGTGGAAAAAGATCTTACTCATCAAATATTTATGAATGTTGATGCTCATTCAAGAACATTTCAATGATATGACATTTTGACTTTTTAAAAGTGAGAAATTTTTTGCTTACAACGACTGGAAAATTGAATGATAACGTTATTAATTTTTGATGAGGTCACTTGACTTTAAGGTTAAATTGGAGAAAGTTTAGTTTGTAGATGAGAACTTCTGTGGCTGAGTTTCATCTGAGTTAAATTTCATCAAGCTTTTGTAGTAATGGTTCAAAAAATATCTTCTAACGTTCATAGTAATGGAACAAATCTTTAAAGCTCTGCAAAATAAACAGGATCCGTTTGATACAAAAATTTAAAATTTTTCATTAAATTAGAGGCCGTTCACTTATGACGTCCGACATTTAGGGGGGGGGGGGGGGGGGTCTAACAGTTCAAACAATGGAAATTTTTTTCTATAGAATTATTTTTAGAATTTTTGTGACAGAGGGGGAGGGGGGTCTAAAACTCAGGTTTTTTAATGGACGTCATAAGTGAACGAACCCTTAGTCCTTCTTGAAAAATATGCCGGCATGAAATTCTTGATAAAAGTATCATTACTAATCCTACAAAGATATAAACAATCCACCAGTATCTTTTCAAAAGATTTGGACAAACAAATCCATCCACAAGATATTTCCTGCACTTTCCATCTCAAAGCCTCCACATAATCCAAATCATAACCTTTACATTAATTTCTCAAACACTGTTGTCACTTTCACATCTCCTAATTCCTTCCTTTTTCTCTCCTTGTTCGTTAATTCTCTTCATTTAACGCCCTTTTCCTCTTGATAGTCTTTTGTAACTTGTTGGAGCTTGTTTGATTTTCATTTCATTTGAAAAAAAGCTTTTGATCTATAATATAAACAATTTCCTTTTCCATTTTATGGGGTTTCTTTCAACTTTTCTGCATTGAACTTATGAATAGAAATTTCTGGATTGAGGAAGATTGGTTTTAAAAAATTAAATAGTGTGGTTGAAGAAGTGATGCTCTTTGAGAATTGTTGCACAATTTTAATTAATTTAAAACTTTTAATAATTTTGGACCTTTCTTGAGTGATTTTCTGATTAATTTCAGCCGTTTTCTCTTGAAAAATCACCAATTCCCTTGTTAAATGACCCTTCTCCATCCATTTTTTCTTGTATTTTCCTTCAAGCTATCTTCTATATCCATTCCTCTTCTTACCAGTATTCAAAAATACAAAAGAAAGGATGCATAATTGTTATAAATAGAAAAACAGCTCCTTGATTATCACAACTTAATTAATTTCAATCTCTCTTGCTCATTAATAATGTTACCATTTTTTCATTTAATTTAATGCCTGCAGAATGGAAACATAATGACAAACAATTTTACAAATTAACTCAAGACAACAACTTTTTTCATCTCTCTTTTGTTTGTTGTTCTTTCTTTTCGTGATGATTAATGTTGATATATTTGGGGTTGTACTTTATATCAGTTTTGTGTTCTCTTTTCCCTGAATAGCAAATCGGTTATTCGATCAGAAATCTAGCATTAAACCGGCATGACTCTGGCATGATGTTGACTTCGATTTAAATCCAGCACCATGCCAGAGTCACGTTAGCTTGGTGCTGGATTTTTATTCGGTTAGTCGATTTGTACTATTCAGGTTCTCGCTTACTCCTTAAATGTTTAAACAAATTTAGATTCATGAATTATTATTATTATTATTAAATTATAGAATAAAGAATGATTCCGTGGAGATTATGTGATTTTTCTGGCTCTAGTTAAATGTGCTGGTAATGAAGTTAAAGCTACCATAAAACATCATAGTCTCGCTGATTGAGTAACACAATGTATAACACCTGTGATTTTATCAAAATAATAAAGTCCAAAACAGTCATACACCTGCCAAAAATATGACTCACAAAAACAAAATTGAGCAGCTTCTATCAATTTCATCGATATCATTCTCCATAAGTTCAAAATACAATATAAATGCTTATCAATGACAAAATGTGATTTCATAAATGCAGCTGATAAAATTATTATTTCCTTGTAGTTGACGGTTGTATGGCGCTTGTCTAGAGGAACAAGAGTTTTTGCCAATCTTGGTGAAATTTGAAGATTAGACAACTTAGAAACAAAATTTTTCTTAATTCCACGAATCAAGCAGCTTAGCTCTTATAATCTCTCATAAATTTTACCAATCAATTATTTTTAACACCAAAGATCGGCTTATCACTTTAATACAGTAACACAGAAAGCCATTATTGGAATTCAAAATTGCATATCAATCATGACACATTGAGTCCTTGACAAGTGTTATCAAAGAAAATCGTGATAGTCCGCAACTTTCTTCTTCATTCATTTATTAGTCTTTACATGATAAAGGTTCCATAACAACTTTCAAGATTCATATACACGTACACAATATTTTTTATTCCTGAGTAATATTGATACGGAAAAATTCAGCACACGTTCCGTACCGTTCTTTTAAGTACGATACATTTTCAAAATTTTCCTGAAAGCTTCTTCATTTTGCCACGTTCTGAATCTCCTTTTAAAATTACATTTAATTCAAGAATAAAGATATCTAAAGAGTTAATCACTGCGAAGTTACAGAATAACTGTGACTTCATATCGAAAGTTGAAACATGACCGAAATCACACGTTCACCAATACATTATGCAGTGACACATGCGAGGAGTTCCAAAAGTTGATTATTAGATTACGCAATTGATGTTGTGTTGACACAGCGGTAGAAATATATGGAACTAGATACTAATGCATTTTTACTTATTCCACACCCCTGATAGACTTCTTATCTTATCTTATCTCAACTATGAATCATAATTTCACGCCTGAAACTAATACGATTGTATGTTAGTCAGAAATTTTCAGTCTTATCGTATGTGTCGAACTTGTCGGACTTGAAAAATTGAAAAAAAAAATATTAATTTATTAAACTTTAGAGGAATTAGTCATAAATCTTTCCAAAATGGCGTCGAGTCTTTTAATTATTTGTGCAACACTAGTTTTGCTGTTTATATTTACATATTTTAAGAAAAAATATGAATATTTTAAAGATCGCGGCATTCCAAATCCAACACCATATTGGCCACTTGGAAATTTTTGGAAAGTTGGACTTACAGTGCACTTCATTCATCGTGTAAATGAGATTTATAATCGATTTAAGAAAAGTGGAAAAGTTTGTGGATTTTATATCTTTACTACTCCTGTTTATGTCGTCACAGACATTGATCTGATTAAGAATATTCTCGTAAAGGACTTTGAATCATTCCATGATCGAGGTAAGTAAGGGGAAATTTAGTCTTATCAGTGATTGCAAGTCTTTTTACCATTTGGTAAATTTAATGCGATAACTTTTTAATAAATTCGGTATTTGCTAACCCAGTTGGGATGCTATTGAAGCAGGCGCGTAACCAGGGGGGGGGGGGTGGGATTTGGGGGACAAATCCTATTCGTCTTGAGAAAATTCTTCATTTTGCTAGAGTTTTTATGAAAAACTCGACCCCCTCCCCCCCTCCCCCCTCCTAAAAGTTTTCCATGCAAAAAAAATTGTTCCTGGCTACGCACCTGTATTGTGCTTAATAAAAAATAAATAAAAATGTATTATGCTTAGTAATTTCCCAGACTCGGAAACTAGGTGGTATACCGCCAAATACCCCCAAATACTGCCTAGTTTACATTTTTAAGTTACATATACTTATTAAAACTTTCATCTACTGCCACTGGATATTGAGCAACATTAAATTTACCAAACTTATCCTGCAACTCAAGTTAAAAAAATAATTACCGCATATTCACAAACAAACAAAAAAAAATCCATCATTTTAGGTCTTTACTATAACGAAAACAGCGATCCTTTATCAGCCCACATATTTTCGGTAACTTAACATTTTAAATATCTATATCTAATCGACGATAACACATAAAAATTTCTTTACTTTAAACTTTTTCCTATTGAATCACCTTCGATAACAAATTTTTATTACTACACACGCGCAATATCTGGATCGTAACCAAAGGTTGCAGGTGAACATTGGAAAACTCTCAGACAAAAAATGACAACAACATTTTCGAGTGGTAAAATCAAGGGAATGATGCCGACATTAACGAAAATTTCACATGAGTTAATTGAAGTTGTTGGCGAGGCTGCTGATAATAAAACACATGTTAATTACCGTGATTTGGCATCAAGATTCATGTGTGAAATTATTGGAGAAATTGCTTTTGGATTGAAATGTAAGAAATTACTTTTTTAAAGATGAGTCAACATTCATTGACAATAACATCCAATTCCAATCTTCAATCGAATTTTTTTCATTATCCACAAAATACTTTTCTCTTCAGGCAATGCCCTTCGTGATCCAAATTGTGAAATGATGTTACTGAGCGACTTCCTCAGTTTTAAGGACATGACACAACGTCTTTCATACTTTTTTGCCAATTCTTGTCAAGACTTGTGTCGCACATTGAATATTCAAATCACACCGAAAAGAATCCAAGACTTTTTCCTTCGTGTTGTCGACGAAGCTGTTGACTATCGTGAAAAGAACAAGATTCGGCGAAATGACTATTTCGATATGCTGCTTCAATTGAAGAATGTCGGTAAACTTGAAGGCGATGTAACAAATCATGGAAAAATTTCCTACACAGATCTAACAGCTGCGTGCTTTGTTTTCTTTTTGGCTGGATTTGAGACGTCATCGACAGCTCTGTCGTATGCCCTTTATGAGTTGGCCATTAATCAAGAACTACAGGATCGAACACGCGATGAAATTGAAAAAGTCATTCAAGAATATGATGGTGAAATAAGTTATGAAGCTATTATGAATATGGATTTTGCTGACCATGTAATTAATGAGTCTTTGAGGAAGTACACACCCGGTAACATTCTTATGCGTCGTTGTACAAAAGATTACAAAGTTCCCGGTACTGATTTGACTATTGAAAAAGGAAAATATGTCTTCTTACCCATGCATGCGATTCATAATGATCCACAATACTTCCCAGAACCAGAGAAATTCAATCCTGATAGATTTGCACCAGAAGCTGTTAAGGAACGAAATCCATTTACATTCCTTCCATTCGGAGAAGGTCCAAGAATTTGCATGGTATGCTTGACATTATTCATAATTTCTGGATGAAATTAAAAGGTTTTTAAAAAATATTTTAGGGGCTTCGATTTGGTCAAATCCAAACAAGACTTGGATTAGCTTCAATCCTTAGAAATCATCGCGTACATTTGAGCGAAAAGACAATCCATCCAATTGGACTTGATCCTAAAGATGTTACAATGATGCCAAGGGGTGGAATTTGGTTGAAGACAGAGAGACTTTAAATTGATTGACATTTATTAGGAATAATGATTATTTAGGGTTTATGACATTATAGAAGTGGAAATGAATGAAGTTTCAAGGCAACACAGCGCATAAATTTTTCTACTTATCATGTAAATTATATTCTTAAATTTTGTGGATTCTAAACTTATGAACATTATGATTACAACTTCTGTATTATTGGAAGTGATCGAACAACTTTTGGAATTGAAATAAAAATATTTAATTATATGACAAGCTAGTGTTTCTTGTATTATTTTGAACATTAATTATTAGCTATACCATGTACACATCTAAGCAAATTGAGAATCAATTTATAAGCAATTTTCTTGATTGTTTCATTTTGGTTCCATAATTTGAGAAACGTTTTGTTCAATCTTAATACTAGATTACTTTTAAATTGATCACAAGGGTCGTTCATGTTAACAAAAACTTTTCTCATAAAAATAATCTCATCAGCGTGTATATATAGCAGCACTTAAACTTCTTATTTCTGAATTCTCAGCCTAATAGAGAATCACGTAATGAGCGCCAACCCAAAATATATTCTCATAAAATTTATTTGAGTAATTTTGTTAACACAATCTAAGCACAGCACACAAATACCTCAGCAATTTAAAATTATGAACATATCACATGTGAGTTATGAACAAAAACTCCTACAAATGCTTTTTATTTTTATTTCGCACACAAATTAATGCGAGACGAGAGCCAAAAATAACAAATAAAGAGCAGAAAAGTTTTTTAGTTGTGTTGCGTGCTTTGAATCGTTAAGATGGGCCTCACTCTATTACTTATTATCGGTGCCTTAAGTTTCGCATTTTTCTATTTGCGACGAAAAATGAATTATTGGAAGGACCATGGCATTCCATGCTTAACACCATCATATATATTTGGAAATCTTGATGGAGTTGGTCAAAAAATTCATTTTACTACAAATTTGCAAAATATTTATGAGAATTTCAAGAATGGAAATAAATTGTGTGGATTCTTCTTTCTACAAAGTCCAAGAATTATGGTTATGGATTTGGAATTAATAAAAAATATTTTGATAAAAGATTTCAATAATTTTATTGATCGAGGTTTGTCCTTAGACGGATTAATTTCAGTGTTGTTATCTTGTTATGGTTTGGAGATTTTAAAGTTTCTAGATAAACAGCACTGATTAAAATTTATCTAATTGATTACTGCTTTTTATCATCAAGCAAATATTTGTAGGTGTCTTTCATACTGACGAAGATCCACTGTCGAATCATTTATTTGCTATCGAAGGTGACTAATTGATTTTTACACGCTTTTTTTCTTATCAAAAAGCTAATGACTTGCTAATATCATTCGAATTTTAAAGGCGAAAAGTGGCGTAGCCTGAGGCACAAACTAAGTGCGACATTTACAAGCGGAAAAATGCGTATGATGTATCCAATTATTGAGTCATTCTCATCGGATTTGGTCAATCTAATCGAATCATTGTCATCCAATAAAGACGGAATTGATGTGAAGAACGTTTGCACTCGGTTCACAGCCGATGTAATAGGTTCATGTGGCTTTGGTTTGGAATGTAATGCGATGCGTGATGAAAATACCGAAATGATGAGAATGGGAAAATTCTTTGACATAACAGACACAAAAATTCGATTGAATTTCTTTTTTGTCAATATTTTTCAAAGCTTTGCCAAAAAATTGAACATGAAAATAACTCCACAATTTATCACTGATTTCTTCCTTCCGATGATTAAAGAAACTTTTGAATATCGCGAGAAAAATGATGTCAATCGAAATGATTTTCTGTCACTCTTAATGCAAATCAAGAAATACGGCAAATTGAAAGACGAGGAGATGGAAAATGTTGGCACGTTAACGTTCAATGAACTAGCAGCGCAGGCTTTTATCTTCTTCGTAGCTGGTAAGAAAAGGAAGGAAAATTTTCATTTCACTGTGAAAAATTTCTTTTTTTCCATTTCAAAGGATTTGAGACGAGTAGCACAACCATGACAATGGCACTTTACGAGCTAGCTTATCGTTATGATATTCAAGAAAAATTGCGAATTGAGATTGAAGAAGTTGTCAGTAGGCATGATGGAATAATAAGCTATGATGCCATAAGTGAAATGACATATTTGGATCAAGTTATAAATGGTATGACAGGCAGTTCTTCCCATTTCAAAAACTCAATGACTTTTTATCTGCTTTTCTAGAAACTTTACGTCTATATTCACCAATTGGACAATTGTTCAGGATTTGTGCAGCAGATTATGAAGTTGATGGCATGAACTTTACAATTGACAAAGGAATGCCAATTATAATCCCTGTTCATGCCATTCATCATGACTCTCGTTATTACTACGATCCTGAACTCTTCAATCCAGATAGATTCAGTTCAGAAGAGGTCAAGAAACGTCCACATTATTCATTTCTACCATTTGGAACTGGACCGAGAAATTGTATTGGTGAAAGATTTGGAATAATGCAGTCAAAGCTGTCTATCGCTACAATTATTAAGAACTTTAGACTGTCACTTCATGAAGAGACGAGATATCCATTGTTGATGGATTGTAAAAATATTGTTGTGACTGCTTTTCAGCCAATTATGATGAATGCTGAAAGATTAATGTAGACTTTGATGAATATTACAGTTATTGACTTATAATGTTTGGTTATAGCACATTTTAATAAAGCAATGAGATTAATACATATTATTCTGAATCCATTTTAAAACTTTCACTAAATTAACAAAGAATCCTTCACCATAAATTGTACATCTATTTTCCTCCTTGACACATTCGCAGTTTGCAAAGCTAGCCAGTCCATACAGTGTATATTGTGAATCTTCTTTAATGTAAAGTCCACCGCCAGAATCTCCAGTGCAAATCCCACGGTGTCTTTTATATCCTGCACAAAAATTACGACTTGCTGAGAATCCACTGTAAATTGTACGATTAAAAGCTCGAAACATGCATGTCAGGAAGTTATTTGTTGGAACTGTGAGGTCTTGAAGATGCTGTGATATTTTGAGGTCACCCACTTCTGAGAATCCCCTGTAAAATACAAATTAACTGATGTCTATGTTAATAATTATCTTCGTACCATCCAACAACTTTCCCAACTTTCCCATCATAATCATATTCATCAGAAGTCGGCAGACAAATTGGCACTACATGTAGAGAATATCGAATATCTTCATGAAGAATGATTAATGCTACATTATAATCATCCTTGTAACTTCTAGCTGAATTAAAACTTCCTTGAACATATTCTTTTGTATAATTCTCATGAAATTTAATTTCATTGACTTTAAACACTTGTCGAGTGCCAGATGAATCGAATAGTATTGTCTCACCAACAGCTACAGACAATTTGTCAATATCAAGTTCGACACGTTTCTGTATTGCAGCATTATAGGTCACCAAACACGTTGCAATTGTAATAAGAGTTCTTTCATTGATGATTGTGGCACCGCATCGAAATTTAATCGTACCAGTTGTCGGACGATAATAAATTGCTGCATGCCATGGCCACGATCCTTCTCTTACTTTTTCACCATTGATAATGACTGGAATTGCTTCACTCCTCATTCCACACTTTGTTGTGCTGCAATATTCTTCCGTTTCATCGCCTAGAGTGACAATAACACTGACTATTTTTGGTATCTCGTCCTCGTCTTCTGAAAATATTTTTAAAATGACATCTTCAAGGAGAACTGTGAATAAAATTGAAGTTTGGTTCGATGAGAATTCTTTCGAACCAATCTAAAAGAAATGGAAGAAAAATGAAAATTTGAATAAATTTAATGAACTAAAGAATCCTCACTTGCTCAACTTCCCATTCGCCATCAACTTTAATATTCACAGTTGCTTCTCCAAATATCGATGTATCGATGCTTGAGTAAAAAACACAATAAAAATTTTCATGAGTTTCAATATGAAAATATGGATTTCTATTTATTTCACATGGATGATGTAAACGACTTTTTCGAGCTTCCCCGAGATCTGCTGACATTTCACATTCAGATATTTGGCAATAAAATTTATTGAAAATCAGACAGAATGAAATAAAAAAATTTAAAATTTTTTCATTCGACATTTTATTTTTATCGAGAACTTTTTCATTTGATTTTACATTATTTCTTGAAGAGAGTTGAAGTGAGACTGAATAAAAATTTTATTTGCATGTAAATTGAGTTGCTTGAGATGAGAGGTTTTTAAATTAAAATCGAGAAAACTTCTCATTTTCAATATATAGAACAATCAAACTGGTTTTTTGATTAAAATTCAATTTATTAAATCTTGAGGTAGGTCATTAGATGTATGCAGAAATCATTAATTGTTTAAAACTTATTAATAAATTGAATTTTCAAGGGTTTTTTAAACAGATTTTATCAAAGATTTAACTATCTTTAAACGTGTCAGAAGGTTTCTTAAAGAGAGACATTAGATATGAAAGCAATACATAAGCAACCTAGTTTAAAATATAACAAATATCCAAAATTGTTTCATAATCCACTAATCTTTCTTGTCATTTTTCAATTTTCAGGTAAGTGGCCCAAATATCTTATCGAATGAACTCTTATTCAAGAGACCCAGCTTATCACAATTGCAATCAATTTTTTGCGTCAAACAACACAAAATAAAAGGTAGGAATTCTTTTCACAATTCCACTATGGGCCAGAAATGGAAAATTTTTCCAAAAATTATTTCTACAGCTTATATGATAGTTCTTATTATGCCCTACATTTACGTCCTTAAAACTTTGCTCAAGTCGACAGCATGTCCGAGATATGGCACTTCAAAGTTGGTCAGACGACCATTTTCACGTTACATTGAAAATGCTCTCACCAGATACTGGATAGATGAATCTCCTTCAAATTTTTTTTGTTAATAGCTTTAAATAGTTACTTTGTTTTAAGATATAAACAATTGCAAATAACTTTGAAAAATTTTGTGAAAAACTAGATTTTTCTCAAAAACCACGTGTTCGTCATACTTTCGTTTGTGTAGGTCTTCACAAGCACAACCAAAGTTACTAATTTCTTTTTTATATTAAAGATTACATCAAAAGCTATAACTTTTGCATACATGTCGTATAATTTTAACAAAGTTTTGATAGTGAAAAAAAAATTTTTTATAAAAAAAACAACAATTTTTTGACAAAAATCGCTGTAGTGCTTCAGGGATACCCATGGTAGTGAAATTTTATTTCTCATTTAGAAAGCTCTCTAGATATGCTATCAATTAATGCAATAAAATGAACAAGTGTTCTCTTGGCAAAGAGCACTTTTTTGACTCTGAAAGTCGTATGTCGAGCAAGGTCAAAAAAGAAAAATAATCATAAAAATTTCAGTTTTAAATAAAATTTAATTTTTTTAATTTAGATTGATAGATCTTTTTAAAACGCGTCTTTTGAGTATAAATATGTTATAGTTTTGTCAAGTTTCGTGATCATTTTTTTAAAAAAATAGTTTTTTTCAAAAAAAAATTGAAAAATAAAGTATTTGACTTTAGAATTTTATAAAATGCATCTTTTTGTCATTTTTTTCACTACTTTGTCTAGTTTTGCTCCTAGTTTTTTTCCTAAACATAAATCAATAAGAACTTAGCATAATTGAAGCCATTTGGAGGTTAAATTGAGTTAAAAATCGTTTAAAATTTTTGTATTTCTCAAATAGTTCTTTACACAAGTATCTAAGATATAAAGTGTTGCATAGTTTTGAAAAGGTATTGAAATTTCCAATATGTTAACATGAAAAGTTTAGGAAAATTTTCAAGTAATATAGTCAATTTGGGTAAAAAACGCATTTTATATATGCTAGTTTTTAATGTTTTTCGTTTTTCTCAGCAAAGACTTTATGAAAAACTCTCAAAGTTTGCACTTTTATTTGTTATATAAATGTTAATGACTCGTAAAAGTTTTGGAATTTTCCATTGAGTTTTTCATTAGTTCTCCTAATCTGAAATTTTCACTATTAAATTTTCGTTTTTCTCAACAATTGCGATTTTTTATTTATAAATAAATATCTTATTTTGTTTCATTTTTCAATATCTTTTCATTGATATGTAACAATCTACAAAAAAATTAAGACTAAAGAGAAATGAATAAAAAAGTGTCAAAAATGTATGAAAATTCTACGCTATTTTAATTTTTTAAGCCTTTTATGGTTAATTTTACTAAGTTTTATAAGAGTGTTATACCTTTTTTTGCAAATGTATAGCTTAAGACGTTCATCCACCAAAATTCGTATGAGTCTACGCTAAGCACAACTGAAGTCAAATAAGCTTCAAGTTGGCGACAACCAAAAATTTTGAATTTATTAAAATTAAATTATTTAAAAGCTTTAAATTATATCTTCAGGCTGCTATTAATTACATGAAACATTTATAACAAAAGTAAATGAAAAAGCTTAATATTATAGCTTAAATAGCATTAAAACTAATATCTGGTTTTCTTCATATGGAACTGTCTTTTGTCTCGCTATACATTTGCAAAAAAAGGTATAACACTCTTATAAAACTTAGTAAAATTAACCATAAAAGGCTTAAAAAATTAAAATAGCGTAGAATTTTCATACATTTTTGACACTTTTTTATTCATTTCTCTTTAGTCTTAATTTTTTTGTAGATTGTTACATATCAATGAAAAGATATTGAAAAATGAAACAAAATAAGATATTTATTTATAAATAAAAAATCGCAATTGTTGAGAAAAACGAAAATTTAATAGTGAAAATTTCAGATTAGGAGAACTAATGAAAAACTCAATGGAAAATTCCAAAACTTTTACGAGTCATTAACATTTATATAACAAATAAAAGTGCAAACTTTGAGAGTTTTTCATAAAGTCTTTGCTGAGAAAAACGAAAAACATTAAAAACTAGCATATATAAAATGCGTTTTTTACCCAAATTGACTATATTACTTGAAAATTTTCCTAAACTTTTCATGTTAACATATTGGAAATTTCAATACCTTTTCAAAACTATGCAACACTTTATATCTTAGATACTTGTGTAAAGAACTATTTGAGAAATACAAAAATTTTAAACGATTTTTAACTCAATTTAACCTCCAAATGGCTTCAATTATGCTAAGTTCTTATTGATTTATGTTTAGGAAAAAAACTAGGAGCAAAACTAGACAAAGTAGTGAAAAAAATGACAAAAAGATGCATTTTATAAAATTCTAAAGTCAAATACTTTATTTTTCAATTTTTTTTTTGAAAAAAACTATTTTTTTAAAAAAATGATCACGAAACTTGACAAAACTATAACATATTTATACTCAAAAGACGCGTTTTAAAAAGATCTATCAATCTAAATTAAAAAAATTAAATTTTATTTAAAACTGAAATTTTTATGATTATTTTTCTTTTTTGACCTTGCTCGACATACGACTTTCAGAGTCAAAAAAGTGCTCTTTGCCAAGAGAACACTTGTTCATTTTATTGCATTAATTGATAGCATATCTAGAGAGCTTTCTAAATGTGAAATAAAATTCCACTACCATGGGTATCCCTGAAGCACTACAGCGATTTTTGTCAAAAAATTGTTGTTTTTTTTATAAAAAATTTTTTTTTCACTATCAAAACTTTGTTAAAATTATACGACATGTATGCAAAAGTTATAGCTTTTGATGTAATCTTTAATATAAAAAAGAAATTAGTAACTTTGGTTGTGCTTGTGAAGACCTACACAAACGAAAGTATGACGAACACGTGGTTTTTGAGAAAAATCTAGTTTTTCACAAAATTTTTCAAAGTTATTTGCAATTGTTTATATCTTAAAACAAAGTAACTATTTAAAGCTATTAACAAAAAAAATTTGAAGGAGATTCATCTATCCAGTATCTGGTGAGAGCATTTTCAATGTAACGTGAAAATGGTCGTCTGACCAACTTTGAAGTGCCATATCTCGGACATGCTGTCGACTTGAGCAAAGTTTTAAGGACGTAAATGTAGGGCATAATAAGAACTATCATATAAGCTGTAGAAATAATTTTTGGAAAAATTTTCCATTTCTGGCCCATAGTGAATTCTTGGTAAAATTTTCAATGGGATTTCATCATGTTTGGGTTATCAGTAATGGTCACGATACCAAGCATCTACCTTTTTTAATTTATTTAAAGATAAGACATTCCTTATAATGAATAATTCGAATGAAATTGATTTAAAAATTGCTTAGAATTTTTAAGTTTTTGTCATGAAATCTTGGGTCGTAAATTCTGCACGGCAACTCTTGATCGACAACATATAAGCTCTCTAGCATCTCTTGATTGATGAGCCTGAGTATAAACATCGCCTTAAAAGATCAGCATTAATTTAAACAATTCACAAAACCCAAATTAAAAGCTACATACTTGTCAATATCATCAAATTTTACATGAAAATATAATCAAGCTGTAATTCCATACCAAGTGAACTTACCTCAATCTTTTTTAGACCAAATCAGTTGACACAATCTATTGGAGCCTCACTGCTATCATACTATTATCCCTTATCAAATTTTGAATGTTTACAAGCATTTCATTCAATCTTCTATCATCCAAAATTGTCAATTTGTTCTTGTGCTTGATTCTTTTAACAAAAAATTTGAGTTTGTTTACTTTTTAAAGAGAATTAAGAATCGGAAAAGGTAGAATGAAACTAAGATCAGTGATTCAATAAAATTAATTTTATAAATTTGTAATTCTGTGGATGTAGCAAATTCAATTCAACAATTGCATCAGAAAAATTGAGAATTAAATTTTTACAAAAACAGATTACAGCCAATGACATAATGTCAAAACGTAAACAAAACACAAATACTTGCGATACCGGTTCCAAACACCAGCACGCGACTTATAAATTCTCTGTTTGATTCTCTCAAAAATCTCCCAAAAAAATCAATTTTCAATCAACTAATACATTTACATTTACTTGATAAGCATACACATCAAAAATTGAATTTAATATAAATTCTGAGTTCAGTTCCATTTATTCTCAGTAAACGTTTGAACTTTAAACGCGAAAGATACCAAAATATAAAAATGGCTCTACTGTCAATTTTGTTTTATGTGATTCTGGCTGTTCTGACTGGAGTCTACTTGTTTTTCAAGAGGCAGTTCTCATTTTTTGAGAGACATAACATTCCTCATTTAAAACCAAACATTCCATTTGGAAATATGAAAGATGTAGCCAAAACTGTTCACATGTTGGATAGATTGCAAGAAATTTTTGATACGCTTAAAAAACGAGGCAAAGTTATTGGATTTTATAATCTAACGGATCCTGTTTATTTGATTACTGATATCGAAGTTATCAAGCATATCGCGATCAAAGATTTTAACAATTTCATGAATCGAGGTGAATTTTATGATAGTTTTAGTTAAGTGATTTGATAACTTACTGTGAATTTAAAAATACATAGGAGTCTTCGTCAATGAAGAAGAGGAGCCACTTACTGGGCATTTGTTTGGACTTGAGGATGAACGTTGGCATTTCCTTCGTAATAAGCTCAGTCCAGTATTTACATCTGGAAAGCTTAAACACATGTATTTGACTATTAACGACTTAGGAAAGAACTTAGTCGATAGATTAGATAGAATGGGAAAGAATAACGAAACTGTTGAAGCTAAAAGTGTTGCAAATCGATTTACTGTTGATATCATTAGTTCAGTTGCCTTTGGTATGGATGCAAATACTTTAAATGATCAACATCAAGATTTATTAGATATTTTCAAGGAAATTTTTGGTGCTGAAGGCCCGAGTTTATTTTACTTCTTTTTCCTTTTTGCTTTCCCGAATTTGTCTAAAAGGCTGCACCTCCGTCAGTTTAGTAAAAGAATTTGTGACTTCTTCATGGATGTTGTAGCAACAAATATTAAATATCGTGAAGATAATAATGACAATCGGAATGACTTTTTGAATATGTTGATCCAATTGAAGAACAAAGGATCAATCGATGGAGAAATTTCAACAGAAACTAAGAAATTGACTCTTAATGAGATCCTAGCTCAAGCTTTCTTATTCTTCTTTGCCGGTTCTGATACTTCAAGTACCACAATTTCATTTGCATTAACTGAATTAGCTTTTAATCAAGATGCGCAAGAAAAATTAAGAGCTGAGCTTGTTGAGAAGACAAAAAATACAAACGGTGAAATTTCTTATGATCTTTTGCACGAATTGACTTACTTGAATCAAGTTGTGAATGGTAAATTGTCTCTTAAAATTGACTTAAAGTTCTTAATAAGCATAGCTTATATTTCTCATTCGATCAGAATCCCTTCGCATGCATCCACCTGCACCATTTGCTATTAGAAAAGCTAAGGAAGATTATAAAGTCCCAGACACAAACGTCATAATTAAAAAGAACACAACTGTATGGATTCCATTGCAATGCTTCCATTATGACGATCGTTACTGGAATAATCCTTCCAAATTCGACCCAGAAAGATTTACGACCGAAGAAGTTGCGAAAAGACCTCTTTGCTATTTTCCATTCGGTGAAGGACCCAGAAATTGTAAATATTAAGTTCTTAGTTCATATCTTAATTTTTTAATAATTCCTTTTATTTATTTACACCCACGAATATTAACGTCAGGCATCGGAATGAGGCAAGAAAATTTCATTTAAACTTAAATTGATCGATCAAAATTGAACTTTTTTATTTTATTTAATTTAATAGACTCGGTCTAATGAATGTCAAGGTTGGAGTTGCCAAAGTCATTCAAAACTTCAAGGTCACACCTGATCCTAAATTAAAGTATCCATTACAATTGGATCCAAAGAGTACTTCAATTGAACCACTCGGAAAATTCTCTTTGATATTCGAAAGAATTTAAAGGCATTGTTGGAATTTGATAAACGACAAAATGTGAAAGTCATTGTAGGCAGTGTCATATCAGATATTAGATAAACAATTTGTTAAAAACATAAATATTTAATAAAAAAATAAGCTTTTTGCTTAGTCTTTTTCTTATCAGACATAACTGTTGGTTAATGCTTTATGAAAAGGGGTTAAGGCTCTCCAAATCATTTTTAATAATTCAACTTTTGGTGTAGTTTGATAGTTTGTAACTTTAAAAAGCTATTTTAAGCTCCTTCTCCACGTTTAAAACAGTGTTGTCCAAACTGTGTGCCGCGGCATACTAGTGTACCGTAGAATTTTTTTGAAAACGACACAAGCCCATGCTGTGGTGCGACTTCGGTCAAGGCTTGCCCCTAAGGGGTGCCGTGGCTCAAAAAGTTTGGACAACACTGTTCTAAAGATACAAGTCAAGTCTCCCAATTAAAATATCTAAAACCTAAAGAACAGAAATGACATGATATAAAATTATATACACACGACAAGTTATTCTGAACTAATTGTCGACACTCAAAACTTAAAATACAAATGAAATTTGTTCTCACAAAAATGAGTGGATGGTTATGATGCATAAAAATTTCTCATTATATTTTAATATAAAGCATCTCATTTTTAAAATATTCTCTCAGTTCTTATTTTTCGTTCTAGCAGCACCATGGGAGTGCTAATAATTTTCGGTTCTATCGTCGCCATTTTTATTACTTCAATTTATGTCTATTTTCGATGGAAATATTCATTTTTTGAGAAGGAAGGTGTTCCTCATTTAAAACCTAAATTTCCACTTGGAAATATTCAGGGAATGGGTCAAGAATATCACATGATCGATGTCTTGATTCAAATGTATGAAAAATTAAAAATGAAAGGAAGTGTAGTTGGAATTTATAATCTCGCAGAACCAATTTATCTAATTACTGATGTTGATGTTGTAAAGGATGTTCTCGTAAAAGATTTTAATAGTTTTGTGAATCGAGGTGAGAGAAAAGTGAAGATACTTAGTGCTTTCAACCGGCAAAGAATCGAAAATTTTAATGTCCAAAATTATTTTCATTCACGGTTGTCTGTTTAAGAACTGATTATAAAGACATATCACAGACACCAATTCTTCTTAATTTCAAACAGGTTCCTACATTAACGAAAAAGATGAACCACTAACTGCTTCCCTGCTTAATGTTGAAGATGATCGTTGGCGTTTCCTTAGAAACAAATTAAGTCCTGCATTTTCATCGGGAAAAATAAAATCGATGTACTTTACTGTCAGTAGCTTAGGAAATAATTTAATTGGTGCCATTGAAAGGGAAATTAATGATAAGAAATCGCTGGAAGTTAAAAATATCATGATTCGATTTACAGTCGATGTCGTTAGTTCAGTTTCATTTGGAATGGAATCAAATACTTTAAATGGTGAACATCCAGAAATGATTCAACATTTTCGTGAAATCTTCGGCATTGAGGGATCAAATACTTTATATTTTCTAATGCTTTTTTGCTTTCCGGATTTGTCAAAGTTCTTAAAACTTAAATTCTTCAGTAAAAGAGTTACAGAATACTTTTCGAATGTTATATCCGCAAATATCAAGTCTCGTGAAGATCGAAATGAAAGTCGAAATGATTTGTTAAACATGCTAATTGAGTTAAAGAATAAAGGATCAATTGAAGGGGAATTTTCTACTGAAACTAAGAAACTGACACTTAATGAGTGCCTTGCACAAGCTTTTATATTTTTCTTTGGCGGCTCCGATACTTCAAGCACCACAATCTCTTATGCATTAACAGAACTTGCATATAATCCAGACATTCAAGAAAAAGTAAGACAAGAAATTTTAGACAAGACAAAAGACACAAATGGGGAAATTACTTATGAAGCTTTACAAGAAATGACATACTTAGGACAAGTTGTTGATGGTAAATTAAGGATGGAATTAGAATTGTTGTGAGAATCGGAATTGATCACGGTTTTTGTTTTTTGTAGAAACTCTCAGAATGTACACACCAGGTTTCGCTATTTTTCGTAAAGCAAGTGAAGACTATAAAGTCTCAAACTCTAATATCATAATTAGAAAGGGAGTTAAAGTTTGGATACCAACTTTAGCATTTCATTATGACGAGAAATTTTGGAAAAATTCAACAAAATTCGATCCTAATAGATTCACACAGGAGGAAATAGACAAAAGACCAAAGTTTTCATTCTTTCCGTTCGGTGAAGGACCTAGAAACTGTAAATATTTTTCCCCTGAATTTTTCTAATTTTTCGCTCATAATTTTCAAAATGTTTATTCAAAAATAACATCCACAGGCATTGGAATGAGGCAAGTTCAATTTAATTCAAAAATTATTTTTTGTCATGTCTGAAAATAAACATTATTTTGATAGATTTGGCCTTGTCAATGCCAAATACGGAGTCGCTATGATCATCAAGAATTTCAAACTCACTCCAGATGCACGAATGAAATATCCATTAAAGTTTAATCCAAAAACAATTCTTATGGAGCCGGAAACTGGATTTTGGTTGAAATTTGACAAAATTTGAGAAATAAAAGTGTTTATTAATGAATGTAATGTCTATCCTGACAAAAGATTTTTTGAAAAATAAAAGAAGAGATGAAAATTCTCAAGCTATGTTGACTGGGAAGCAACAATCCTAAAAAACCTTTACACAATCAATAAAATAAAGAAACTTATCAGTTTTGATTATAACAGTTTATTTGCATAATAATAAGAAGACAACGAGTGTTTAATAATCGCGTCAGAAGATTTTAAATGTGAGTTGAATAAACCACACAAAATTTTTACTGGAATTGAACATTTGCTGTAAAGTTACGCATTGCATTTGAAATAATTGCAAAGAAATTTTTCTTCAGTCCCCAACCATGGAAATCTTCTCCAGATTCACTTCCTTCAGTTGACGATGAAATCTTTTGTGTTGTAGTGTCAACAGATGGTGTTGCACAGCTTACAGGTGTCAATTCTAATTCGGGTGTCCAGTTTGCATAACAATTTCCAAGAGAAATATTTGCCATTGGCCAAGACCATCCAGATATTGATGAAGTGTACATGTTCATTTTTGGGAAACAATTGGTTGTATTTTCATATGAATCATAGAAATTGATGTTGGTTGACATGTATCCTGATCTTAATGAAAACAAGTTTGTCAAAAATTGTGGGTGCATAGCTATAATTGGATTATTGTCAAGCTGAAAACTAAGTCCCATTGACATTCCAGTAAGAGTAAAGTCAAAATCAGGAATTGATGCAATTTTGTTTGAACTCAACATGACGCTATATAAATTAGGCAATCCTTTGAATGTCAAACGATCAAAACTTGTTATTTGATTTCCATATAAGTCAATCATTTGAATAACGGGAGTATTTTGGAATAGCCCTGGTGGAATGCATGATATCTTGTTGTCACGAAGCATAATATTGTTTAAGAATTTCAGACCTTTAAAGGCTTCCTTATCTACATTGATAATATTGTTATTCATCAAGTTAAGAGATGTCATATTGATGCATGATGAGCAGAATGATGCTGGTATATCGGGAAAATTGTTTTCGTTAAGAGTCAATGACACCATATTTCCAGCATTTGTAAATGCATCAGACACTAAATGACTCAAATTAGTATTTTGCATAATAAATGATTGAATATTCGGGAAAGTGAAGAATAAGGATGTTGGCACGTAGTACAAATTTGACGGTGCCATGAATGATAAGCTGCTAGTCGAGGTATCTACAAATCCTACAGGCATTCCAGAAATAGAAATTTGCTCATTTGGAGATGTAACGTCTGTAATGCTGGCCACATTGCATGGTGATAAAGGATTGCAGTCTAAGACTGATGCTTGACATGATTGAATGATGAGTAGTAAGCAGATACTCAATTGAATTCTGGAAAGTACAAACATTATAATGTTGCATAAATTAAGCGTTAAGATACTTACAGTCTCTGCCTCATAATTTAGTTCCTTATAATTCCACCTTTTAAGATTCACTGATCTTGTAATCACAGCAAAAATCTCTTTTTATATTAAAGCTGATTTCACGCAAGTCTGACGTATTTTGTATATTCTGGTTTATAGTTCTCACGAATTATTGCAGCAAATATACTTAAGATAAAAGCCTACAAGCTTATCATATTTGATAAAAGTTCATGCTTTTTAAGAAAAATAAAACTTATCTTAAGCAAAGCTGTTTACAGCATCACAAAGAAAGCTGAAACAGTGTATATGGATTGAATAACTTCTAATGGCATTTCTATTGATTTGCCATGGATGCGCCATAAGAAATGATACATAAGTTTAATTCGACTATAACTTATTGTGAACTCAACATTTACAGTCCGCTCACACTAAGAGCATACAATATTGAATCCACAAGTTCAAGTTCAATTGTCAATTAGACTCACATCTATCAAACATTATTGCAATTTTTCAACACAGTCAAAGTCTTCTCTACAATTATTAATCAACGCCACTTGAAAGATATTGTCGCTATAAATGAATTGTTTTTATTAAATTTCGCCTTAGTATCAATTTATTTGTGCTTCTGTCACATTCACATCCAATATGGGAATTATTGTGATACTATTTTCAGTGATTCTATTAATTGTGACTGCAATTTATTTGTACTTTAAGAAAAGTTATTCATATTTCGAGAAAGAAGGTGTTCCTTTTATAAAACCAACTTTTCCATTTGGCAATTTTCAAGGAATTGGTTCAAAGTATCATTTTGCTACTATTTTAAGAAAAATTTATGATGAGGCTAAAGGAAAAAGCAAAGTTGTTGGGTTTTTTAACTTTATAGAACCTGGCTACTTTATAACTGATATTGAGCTTGTAAAGTTAATAACTGTGAAGAATTTTAATAGCTTTGTTAATCGAGGTGAGGCTTGGACGTCAATTATTTAATATCTTCTGTAAATTTAATTAATCTCAAATGTAAACAGGAATGTTTGTAAATGAAGAGAACGAACCGCTAACAGCTCATTTAGTAAATATTGAAGATGATCGTTGGAGATTCATGCGTAATAAGTTGAGTCCGGTATTTACGTCTGGAAAACTTCGTTCAATGTACGCAATAATTAATGGACTTAGTGAGAATTTAATTAAAGCTACTGAAAAGCAGTCCAAAAATTCAATTGAAGTCAAAAATTTAATGACTAAATTTACTGTCGATGTTGTAAGTTCTACAAGCTTTGGAATGAATGCAAATTGCTTAAATGATGAAAATAAAGAATTGCATGAAATCTCGAGAGAAATTTTTGGTGCTGAAGGTGCAAGTCCAATGAAACTGTTCTTCTTATTTGCATTTCCTGAATTATCAAAGTTCTTAAAGCTTCGACAATTCAGTAAGAGAGTCACAAATTTCTTTATCAATGTTATCAGTGAAAATATTAAGTACCGTGAAGATAATAATGACAATCGGAGTGACTTTCTAAACATGTTGATCCAATTGAAGAACAAAGGATCAATTGACGGTGAATTTTCGACAGAAACTAAGAAATTGACACTTAATGAGATCCTAGCTCAAGCTTTCTTGTTTTTCTTTGCTGGAACTGATACGTCAAGCACTACCGCGTCTTACGGTCTTACAGAGCTTGCATTCCATCAGGATGTTCAAGATAAATTGAGACAAGAAATTTTAGCAATGACAAAAGACACAAATGGGGAAATTTCTTATGAGACATTACATGAAATGACTTACTTGAACCAAGTTGTTAATGGTAAAATGTTCTTGATCTTCTTTGATCTCAAAACTGATGATTTATTCTTATAGAAACACTCAGAATGCACACACCCGGCTTTGCAAATTTACGTAAAGCTAATGAAGATTTTAAGGTACCTGGCACAAATATCACAATTAAAAAGGGTTACAAAGTTTGGATTCCAACTTTAGCTTTTCATTTTGAAGAAAAGTATTGGAAGAATCCATCAAAGTTTGATCCAGATAGATTTACACCAGAAGAAATAGCCAAAAGGCCTCCAATGTCATATTTCCCATTCGGAGAAGGACCTAGAAATTGTAAATATTTTTATTTAATATCCATTTATTCAGAATAGAATTTTAAAAATACTTTCTTTAATGGAAATTATCAAAGGCATCGGAATGAGGCAAGAATAATTTAATTAATATTCTCGATTCTCAAATGTTTAAAAAAAATTAAATTCGATTTTTCTCAATAGATTTGGCCTTATCAATGTCAAGTTTGCAATGGCTACAATCATCAGAAATTTCAAGATAACTCCAGATCCAGGAATGAAGTATCCACTAGAAATAGACCCTGTGGTGTTTCAAATGGAACCAAAAGGTGGTTTTATGTTGAAATTTGAAAAGATTTGAGGACTCTCTTGGATTCATGAATGATGAACCTGGAAAATAAATATAAAGATTTAAATAAAAATTTTTTTATCAATACTCAGAAAATTTGACAAGCTGTACACTTAAAAAAATCATTAGACATAAACATGTTCGTTTATGATGATTCTTTCACTCAAACTACTCATTTTCGGCTCAGACATTATTGCAGAATTTCCAATTAAATAATATCTAGATGACATTAATTCAATGTTTTAATCCCGAACACTTCATTATCTGTAGATGTATTCGTGGCTGCAAAATCTAATAATTTATCACAATGAAAAATATTTGCTGCTCGGGGATCAAGAACTCAGTTCTATGACAGATGCATTTGATATCTTATCATAGCTCACTAATTTATTTGCACAGAGAGCTACAATGATGATGAAAAGTCAACATTTAGTTATTCATCTATTACTCATTTCATTTAGTTTCAATAATAATTTCTATTTAAGTAGTTCTTTTCTAGTTTAGTAATGAAACTTTTTACTCTTTTTGTTTTAATTATTCTGATTTTGATTGTTATAACATACTGTTATGTGAAAAAGAAATATTCATTTTTTGAAACTCATGGTGTTCCTTACTTGAAGCCTCAATTTCCGTTTGGAAGTCTGCAAAAAGTTGGATCTTCAATCCATATGTTTGAATTCCTAATTACTTCATACAATCAATTTAAAAGAGTTGGCAAAATAGCAGGATTCTATAATGTTTTTGAACCTATTTATCTTATAACGGACATCGAAGTGATGAAGGCAATAACTGTGAAAGATTTCAATAAGTTTGTGAATCGAGGAATTTTTGTAAATGAAGAAAATGAACCTTTAACTGGTCATTTATTTGCTATTGAAGGCGATCGATGGAAGTTTATTCGTAAACGGCTACGACCAGCATTTACATCACAGAGACTTATATCCATGTATTCTAAAATCAGTCGATTAGGTTGCAAATTAGTAGAATCAATTGAAAAAAGCACAAAAAGTGAAAAAGTTTCAATTGACATTAAAAATGTCGCAACTCGATTCACAATCGATATTATCAGTTCAGTTGCATTTGGTATGGATTCAGAGACACTCAATGATAAGAATGAAGAATTGCTCGATATGTTTAAAGAGGTTATTGGTGCCAATCGACCAAATGTAGTCAAATTTCTTATTCTGTCTGCTTTTCCAAATTTAGCAAAAATTCTGAAAATTCGGCTATTTAGTGACAAGCTTTCTGATTTTTTCGCAAAAGAAGTTGGTGGGAATATTAAAGTACGTGAAAGAATAAGTGAAAATCCAAATGATTTTCTGAGTTTTTTGATTAAATTGAAAAATACTGCGAGTTCTTCACGTAAAACCAGAAAATTGACATTAGATGAATGTTTAGCTCAAGCTTTCTTATTCTTTTTTGCGGGCTCTGATACTTCAAGTACCACAATTTCCTTTGCATTGACTGAGCTTGCATTTAATCAAGATGTTCAAGATAAAGTAAGATTTGAAATTTTAGAGAAGACTAAAGGCACAAAAGGTGAAATTTCTTACGAAGCTTTACATGAAATGACTTATTTAAGTCAAGTTGTTAATGGTAAATTTGTTACAATAAAAATAAAATCAACACTATTTTAAACAAATCTCTCATTCCTTCAGAAACTCTCCGCAAGTATCCACCTGGTTTTTCAATTCTTCGTACTGCAAACGAAGATTATAAAGTTCCCGATTCAAAAATTATAATTAAAAAAGGCTCTCAAGTTGTCATTCCAACTATTGGATTCCATTACGATGAAAAGTATTGGAAAAATCCAATGAAATTTGATCCTGAAAGGTTCACTGTAGAAGAAACTGCAAAGCGACAACCTCAATGCTATTTTCCATTCGGTGAAGGACCTAGAAATTGTAAATTTAATTTAATATAGTAGTGATTCGCTAATTTCTCGTTTTTTTTTTTATAAACCTCCTTACTAGAGGCATTGGAAAGAGGCAAGCTCAATTTTTATTCAAATAATTCAAATTTATTAAAAATATTCAAATCCCAAATGCAGATTTGGCCTTATTAATGTCAAATACGGAGTTGCAAAACTCATCAAAGATTTTAAAGTTACACCAGATGCAAATATGAAGTATCCAATAAAAATGAATCATTTATTCCAGCAGCTAGAGCCATTAGGTGGTTTCATGTTAAGCTTCAAGAAGATTTGTGACCATTAAATCAACAGCAGTTTAGTAGCTAAGAAATTAACATGGTTCCAAAATCTTGGTCATGTCATTGACTTCTTATGTAATACCAATGAATAAATAAAGTCTTAGTGACTCTATGAAAATGAAAATTCTTTCCAAAATTTCATCACCTTTTACTTGCCAAAAAAGGAATGAATTTCTTATCATTTTATGCCATTAATCTACCAAATAATCTCAAACAAATTAATTTCTTAAAAATATATGAGAAATTGTCCATTAAAATAGGATTTAAAAATTAATTATAATAGTCTCCGTTGAGAGAACTTAATAGTAACATTTCTTTTAAAAAACATATAAACACTGATTAACACCTCTGATTAATTTGGCAGCATAAATTGACTTGCTTAGGAACTTAATCCACATTAAGCAGGTTTTTGATAAGAAATAATCAATGGTTTGCAACGTGTCTACTAACACTCATAAAAGCTTCAATAGATACGAGTTGCAATATGCCTTTTTTGGTAGTTATTTTTCTCACTTAATAAATTCCCATACAAGCATGTGAAGACTTGTTTTCTCATTTATAAAGACGTCCAAAAAAATCGTTTCACATTCAGTTTCAATTCAAACCCTGAATCGATTAGACGTTCATCATGAGCTGTCTAGCTTACATTATATCAGTATTTTTAATTGTGGCTACTGTAATTTACTTCTATGTGAAGAAGAAGTATTCATATTTTGAGAAAAATGGTGTTCCTTACATGCAGCCTTCATTTCCACTTGGAAACTTACAAGGAATGGGTTCGAAGTATCACATGTTTGATGTCATGATGAATTCATATAATAAATTAAAAGGGAAAGGAAACATTGCAGGATTTTACAATATTTTTGAACCAACTTATCTCGTTACTGATTTAGAAGTACTAAAGGAAATAACAGTTAAAGATTTTAATAAGTTTGTCAACCGCGGAGTTTTCGTCAATGAAGAAAATGAGCCTTTGACTGGTCATTTGTTCTCTATTGAAGATGATCGTTGGCGTTTTATTAGAAACAAGTTAAGTCCAGTATTTACATCAGGCAAGTTGAAGAATATGTACTCTACGATCAGCAATTTAGGCGGTAACTTAATAAAAGCAATCGAAAGAAAAACAAAGAATGGTAAAATTCCAGTTGATGCCAAAAATGTCGCGAATCGTTTTACAGTCGATATAATAAGTTCTGTGGCATTTGGAATGGATTCAGACACACTTAATGATCAACATCAAGAACTGTTGGATATTTTTAAAGAAGTGTTTGGTGCTGATGGACCTAGCTCATTTTACTTTTTCTTCTTATTTGCATTCCCAAAGTTATCAAAGTTTTTGAAACTCCGTCAATTCAGTAAGAAGCTTTCCGACTTTTTCACTAATATTGTTGGTAAAAATATAAAATATCGCGAAGATAACAAAGACAATCGAAGTGACTTCTTAAACATGTTGATCCAATTGAAGAACAAAGGATCAATTGACGGTGAATTTTCAACAGAAACTAAGAAATTGACTCTTAATGAGATCCTAGCTCAAGCTTTCTTGTTTTTCTTTGCTGGTTCTGACACTTCAAGTACCACAATTTCTTTTGGACTATCAGAGCTTGCATTTCATCAGGATGTCCAAGATAAACTTAGAGCTGAGATTTCGGAAAAAACAAAAGACACAAATGGGGAAATTTCTTATGAAGCTTTACATGAAATGACTTACTTGAACCAAGTTGTTAATGGTAAACTTATCATATCCATTTTTGAACTTAACGCTAATGATAAATGCTTATAGAATCACTCAGAATGTACACTCCAGGATTTGCCATAATTCGACAAGCTAATGAAGATTATAAGGTTCCTGATTCAAACATTACAATTGAAAAGGGACAGATGGTATTTATTCCTACAATTGGATTCCATTACGATGAGCAATTTTGGAATAATCCAACAAAATTCGATCCTGAACGGTTTACTCAAGAAGAAATTGCGAAGAGACCACCTCAGTGTTATTTCCCATTTGGTGAAGGCCCTAGAAACTGTAAATATAGATTTCTTCATTTATCTTTTAGGTTTTGATTATTAGTTTAATCTTATCAGAATTCTAACGAGTCCTGATAACTCACAAAATTTGGATTTAAAAATTAATTACTGATAGAATTCTAAAATGTTTCATATCTTCAAACTTTAGGCATCGGAATGAGGCAAGTCTATTTATAGTCGATGAAAAACTTTTTAAACTCAAAATTCTGTTTCTCAATAGATTCGGCCTTGTTAATGTCAAGTATGGAATTGCGACGATCATCAAAAATTTCAAGGTCACGCCAGATGCAAACATGAAATATCCAATGAAAATGGATCCAAAGAATCCACAACTAGAACCAAAGGGTGGATTTTTGTTAAATTTTGAAAAAGTTTAAAGAATAATGACGTAATCTTGTTGATATTAATAAACTTTGTTCTTTTTTGCTAGTTTTGCAGTTTTTTAATGCGTTCCACATGCGAATGATCACTGTTTATATTTGAAAATGTATTGGGTATTTACTAATACATGAACATTTGTTCTTTATATTCTTTTATTTTTGGCAAGATTCTCAATTCTCTCCACACTGTCACAACCACATCTGAAATCCTCTACAAATTAAAATATTTTGATTCCAGTCTTAAACTAAATCTACAATTGTCAAGTTTAACTTATAGTTTTGACCATGTTTTGGATAACTTTATTTATTTCATTTTTAATTACTTTAGTTTCATTAATTTATTTGTTTATCAAAAAGAAGTTTTCATTTTTTAATGATCAAGGAATTCCACACATCAAACCTAAATTTCCATTTGGGAATTTGCAAGGAATTGGCTCTAAGTATCATTTAAGTGAAATAACTCGGCAAGTTTATGAAAAATATAAAAATGAAGCAAAAGTTGTTGGATTTTATAATTTTGTTCAGCCTATATATCTTGTCACTGACACTGAGACCGTTAAAGTTATAGCTATCAAAGAATTTAATAATTTTGTTAATCGAGGTGAAGGCTGGATGATTTTCATCTTCAGAAATTGAAGTTTAATCTTAAACTTACTTCCAACAGGATTTTTCGTAAATGAAGAAAATGAACCTCTATCAGGTCATATATTTGCACTTGAGGATGATCGTTGGCGGTTTATTCGAAACAAATTAAGCCCTGCATTTACGTCAGGAAAACTAAAGCTTATGTTCAATACGATCAGCAAATTAGGAGATAAATTCGTTGCAAAAGTCGAAGAAAAATCTAAGACTTCCGATTTTAATTTTAAGGATGTAGCTTCAAGATTTACTGTTGATATCATTAGCACTGTTGCTTTTGGAATGGATTCAAATACTTTAAATTATGAGCATCAAGAGTTGATTGATGTGTTTAGTGAATTTACTGGTCCTCCAAATAGTCGAAAAATTTTTGCATTTTTCTTTATGATGGCTTTTCCTAAAATTGCAAGAATTTTAAAGCTGCGTCAATTCAGTAAAAAAGTTTCTGACTTTTTCACTATTGTCGTTGGCGGTAATATTAAGTATCGTGAGGATAACAATGATAATCGAAATGATTTCCTGAATATGTTGATCCAATTAAAAAACAAAGGATCAATTGATGGAGAAATTTCAACAGAAACTAAGAAATTGACTCTTAATGAAATTTTAGCACAAGCATTATTATTTTTCTTAGCGGGTTCTGACTCCTCTAGCACCACATTATGCTTTGCATTGACAGAACTAGCTTTCAATCAAGATGTTCAAGAAAAATTAAGAACTGAAATTTTAAAAAAGACAAAAGCCACAAATGGAGAAATAACTTATGAAATTCTTCATGAATTGACCTACTTGAATCAAGTTATTGATGGTAATAATTTATTAAATGCCTGACAAAATCTTAAAAACTATGAATTTCTATACAGAAACACTACGAATGTACACACAAGGCGTGATGATTTTACGAAAAGCAAAAGAAGACTTTCAAGTTCCAGACTCAAATATTACTATCAAAAAAGGATCAAACGTTTGGATTCCTACATTGTCTTTCCATTTTGATGAGCAATTTTGGGAAAATCCAACAAAGTTTGATCCGGAAAGATTTACACAAGAGGAAATAGATAAGAGACCTCCTTTCTGTTATTTTCCGTTTGGCGAAGGACCTAGAAATTGTAAATTTACTTACTTATTTAAATTACTTTCCTTACCGTCTATAATTTCCAAATTCTATCTTTCCAAATGCGGTTAATGTAGGCATCGGAATGAGGCAAGAGTAATTTAATTAATATTTTTTAATATGAGACTTTAAAATTAATTTGTATCAATAGATTTGGCCTTTTGAATGTCAAGTATGGAGTTGCAACGATCATCAAGAATTTCAAAGTCACAGCAGATGATCGAATGACACATCCAATAAAATTGAACCCAAGAGTTCCGCATCTAGAACCGAAAGATGGTTTTTGGTTGAACTTTGAAGGAATTTGAGAAAATTTTTGAGACTTGTTAATCTTTGCAAAATAAGTTTTTACATTGACTTCACACTTTTAAGTCCACATGACTCATAACCGATATTCTCAAATAAAAATAAAAGTAATCTTCAGCATTAAGATTATTTTTGACTCATACACAAACAAAATTCGCTCTCTTTTGGTTCTTTTCTCTGAAAGAAGTTGATTTTTTCATATCAGTTTAATTTTGTAATTACTGCCGTTTGGTGCTGTTTCCTTGTTTTTATCACTAAAATGTTAGTTTTTGTTGCTTCAATAATTTTGTCAATTTTGACTGCAATCTTCTTATTCATTAATAAAAAGTATTCGTTCTTTAAAGAACATGAAATTCCTTATGTAAAGCCATCATTTCCACTTGGAAATATGCAAGGAATTGGTTCGACATTCCACATGTCTGAAATTATTCAAAAAGTTTATGAAGAATGCAAGGATAAAGGCAAGATTGTTGGATTTTACAATCTTATTCAGCCAGTCTATCTGGTCACTGACATAGAAATTGTCAAAGTTGTAACTGTGAAAGATTTTAACAATTTTGTAAATCGTGGAATTTTCAATAATGAAGAGTATGAACCATTTGCTACTCACTTATTTTCAATCGAAGATGATCGCTGGCGTTTCATTAGAAACAAAATTAGTCCAGCATTTACTTCAGGCAAACTAAAGTTCATGTATCCAACCATTAATGACAAGGCAAAGAATTTCGTAAGTGCTGTTGATAGAAAATCTAAAAATGGGGATCCAATTGCAGTTAAAGATTTAGCTAGCCGGTTTACTGTTGATATAATCAGTTCTGTTGCATTTGGAATGGAAGCAAATACTTTAAATGAAATGGGAGAAGATGGTCCAAGCATGTTTTTTTTCTTTTTCGTAATGGCATTTCCAAATTTTGCCAAAACTCTTCGACTTCGTCAATTCAGTAAAAGGCTCTCTGACTTTTTCATAAATGTAGTTGGTGGGAATATCAAATACCGTGAAGACAATAATGACAATCGCAATGACTTTTTAAATATGTTGATTCAGTTAAAGAACAAAGGATCGATTGATGGTGAATTTTCAACAGAAACCAAAAAATTGACATTGAATGAAGTATTGGCTCAATGTTTTTTATTCTTTTTGGCGAGTTCTGATACTTCCAGTACAACAATTTCATTTGCATTGACTGAACTTGCATATAACGAAGATATGCAAGATAAACTGCGGTCAGAAATAATTGAAAATACTGAAAACACAAATGGAGAAATCTCTTATGAAACTTTACATGAAATGACTTTTTTGAATCAAGTTGTTAGCGGTAATATAATCATTCAGTATGTAAATCACTTAGTAAATGCAAATTTTGTTTAGAAACACTTCGAATGTACACGCCAGGCTTTACACTCTTAAGGCAGTCTAGTGAGGACTTTAAAGTTCCAGAAACAAAAGTGACCATGAAGAAAGGATCAAATGTTTGGGTCCCAACCTTAGCTTTTCATTTTGATGAAAGATTCTGGAAAGAACCAAGCAAGTTTGATCCAGAAAGATTTACACAAGAAGAAATTGCAAAAAGACCTTCACAATGTTACTTCCCATTCGGCGAAGGACCCAGAAATTGTAAATTTTTACTTATTTGTTTCTATTCCATATATTCAATACGTTTTTTTAAATTTCAATTAAATCTTCAGGTATCGGAATGAGGCAAGATTAATTAAATTGTATTCTGAATATTTAATTTAAAATACTTTTTTGTAACTGTAGATTCGGACTTGTCAACGTCAAGTTTGGAATTGCAATGATCTTAAAAAATTTCAAGGTCATGCCAGATTCAAAAATGGAGTATCCAATTAAATTGAACCCTAAAGCTCCAGGGATTGATCCATTAAATGGTTTCTGGCTGAATTTTCAAAAGATTTAATTGTGAAGATTGGACATGAAAATTTGTCGTAATAAAATTACCGTTTATTTCCAAGGATGACAGCTTATTTTATTCAAAGGTTTCAGTTCCATCATTTCCGGATTTTCAACTAATGCTTTTGAATTGAAACTAGTTCAACTTTATTGTAACCATTTATTGTAGACAGATTATATGTTCATCTCTTTTAAACCTAGTGTGTTAAGTATCTCCAACTCCGAAGCGTAAACAAGACATAATTAAAACCCGGCTTAAGCAAAGTTTATTCTCTCAAAGCTCTCATTTTTCTCTCCCAAAATTGAGTCGCATTTTCTCTGTTTTGATCTCTGCTAATTTAAACTGTGTTCGTATAAAAATATTTACACAATCTGCCAGCTAGATAGGCATATAATAAGATAATTGATAATGACATTGGGCATTGACTTTTAAAAATCATTTTTGTTTTGATCATCGTGACTTGTATAAAAAACATGAATAACAAAAGTGGAAACATATGTAGTCATAACCACACGTAATCTCCACGGTGATATTTTTTTAAATTTATATTTTTTCAACTTTTAAGACTATATCGTTTAATGATGATAATGTGGCAATTGAAGGGTCGATTTCTAAATGAGTTGGGGTTTGTGGGGTTGTAGAGAATTTAAAATTAAGTAGAAGCTGTACTAGTGCTATTTTCGTCTGCATGAGTCCAAAACGGAAACCTATACAGTTTCTTGGACCGTCACCTAGAATTTGAAAGTGTAAATGTCATTAGGGAACTATTGAGAATGATAGAAACAATTCTCACCAAATGGAAGGAATGTCATTGGATGTCTCTTTAGCTTATTTTCTTCGCTAAATCTTTCTGGATCAAATTTGTCTGGTTCTGGATAATTTTCTGGATCATTATGAATGGAATAGTTTGGTATAATCACAAGTGATCCTTTTGGAATCACCAAATCAGATCCAGGAATTTTATAGTCTCTTGATGGTTTTCTGATTATTTGAGGCACTGGTGGAAACATCCTTAGGGACTCTAGAAATTTTTATGATAAAGTTCGTCATTTAAGATATTCAAAAAATTCAAAATTTTTACTTGCCGTCAATAACCATTTGCAAATATTTCATCTCCACAATTCCATCATAAGTCACTTTATTGTCATATTTAGCTACAATAGTTTCAATTTCATTTTTCACTTTCTCTTGAATTTCTGGATGTTGCACCAAATTATAAAGCACAAATGTAGCAGTACTCGATGATGTCTCAAACCCAGCAATAAAGAATAAGAAACATTGTGCAGCAATTTGATCAATGGTTAAAATGTCTTCATCTGATTGACCTTCCTTGACTTTCAAAAGTAAATCTAGAAAATCGTTACGCTCAATTTTATTCTGTGTGCGGTACTCAACAGTTTCGCGGACAATGCCTCTGAAAAATTCTGAGACTTCATTTGGAAGAAGTTTTAACCTTAAATTTTTGGCCAAATCTCGAAAGCTTGTGAGGAAAAATAATCGAATTAAGAAATTTGAATTTCGACCAAAAATCTTTCTTCCCATTAGCCTAAAATTTGAGTCTGGATTATCAATAGCTTTCATTTCTAGTCCAAAAGCGATATTTCCAATGACATCTGTTGTGAATTGAGCAAGCACTTCCTTTATTTCAACTGTATCTAAATTTGATTTGGCTTCAAGTGTTTTGATCATGTACTTGGATACATCCAAGACAGTATGGAACATAACTTTCATTTTTCCACTCGTAAAAGTTGGCGATAACTTCATTCTCATATTTCTCCAGTCCTGATCTTCTAAAGTCAATAAATGTGCAGTCAATGGATCATGTTCCTTCGAGTGAAATAGCCCACGATTATGGAAAACGTCAAAGCTCTTAATCATGACATCCTTAATAACATCCAAATCAGTCAATACTATGTTGTGAGCCAAGAAAAAGTATTGCCCAAATGCCGGTGCTTGATTTTTAAATTTTTTGTATCCTCTTTGAAAAATTTGTATTGGATGGAACTTTTTGCCAGCACCATGCATGTTTCCAAACGGAAATCTTGGCTTTTCATGGAGAAATCCATGTTCTTCTAGGAATGAATATCTTTTATGTATATAGAAATAAATAAGTCCAAAAACGACTATTGATAGCGCGAAAACTACTGCTAGTGTCATTTTAAGACTTCTGTTCTCTCTTCATTCACAGACAAGACTAAATTAAATTTACGCTGACGAGAGTAGATGTATATAACTCATGAATATGTAGTGTCATCATTATAGAGCTTTTCATTCTCTCTTTCAGTCATCAACTCATATTTTGGACAAATCTGTAACTGTGTATGGTGTAAAATGTTGTACAAGTATTGTTTACTATCTCTTGAGTCAGACACGCTGAAAAGTGAAAACAATCGTTTTCCTACCTTGAAGAGTTAGAATATTTTTTTTAAATAAAAAAATGTGTTAATAGTGAAGACATCCACTAGACTTTTTCAATTTTATTGCATTTCATAAGATTAATTTATTTATAAAATATCGATCAATTTAAGTTCATTAATGGAACGACGTCAACGAAAAATGGGATTTCCAAAAATAGTGGACGTCATCAGCGACGACATCATTACAATTCGAAAACTTTTAAGCATATAGGTTTTGCAGATGATAGAACTGGATGTTTTGCGTCAAAAATTATGTGATCAGGTGTCTTGTTCGTTTTTAAGAATCGAAAATTAATTAAAAGTTGAATAAGTGCTATTTTAGTTTGCGTCATTGCGAATCTATCTCCAATGCAGTTTCTTGGTCCATTTCCTAAAATTAAAAGAATAATTTTATAAGAATTTTTAAAAGTTTTTAAACAATCTGAGCTTACCGAAAGGAATATGAGCCATCGGATGCCTTTTAGCCTTGTTCTCTTCATTAAACCTCTGTGGATTGAATTTTTCAGGCTCTGGATAATTTTTTGGATCATTATGAATCGAAAAAATTGGAATTATAACCAAAGAATCTTTAGGAATGACGAGCTTAGAGTTTCTAATTTTGTAATCTCTTGAAGCCTTCCTGAGTCCAATAGCGCCAGGTGGATACATTCGGAGAGTTTCTTAAAAAAAATTCAAAATTATAAATTTGTCTCAATTGGTTCAAAATTTATTATTACCATCAATTACCATCTGCAAAAGCTTCATTTCCTTAAGAGCCTCATAAGTGACTTTATTGTCGTAATTAGCCAAAACAGTTTTAATCTCATTTCTTAGATTCTCTTGAATTTCTGGATTCTGAACTAAATTAAAAAGTGTGAAACTTGAAGTACTTGAACTTGTCTCATATCCAGCAACAAAAAATAAAAAGCATTGTGCCGCAATTTCATCCAAAGTCAACTTTTCTTCTCCCTCGCGACCAACAGTTCCAATTTTCATTAATAAATTAAGTGCATCGTTGCGTTCGATATTATTTTCACGTCGATACTTGACAGTTTCCTTTACAATTTCTCTGAAAAAGTCTGAAACATCTTTTGGAAACAGTCGAATGCCAAGTAAACGTGCCAAGTTCCTAAAATTTGTAAACAAAAGCACCTGAGCCATAAAATTTCTTGTTTTAAAAACTTTTCGTCCCATTTGTCTGAATTTTGAATCAGGTTTACTGATCGCATTCATTTCAAGGCCAAATGCAACATTTCCTACAACGTCAGTCATATAACGTGCAAGAACTTCTTTTATATCTACATCATCAAGATTTGGATGTGATTTTAGATTCTCGATCATGTGCGTAGACACATCTAACATTGTATTGAACATCATCTTCATTTTTCCACTCGTGTATGTTGGTAGCAGCTTGTGTCTCATTACTTTCCATTCTTGATCTTCTAGTGCAAATAAATGGGTTGTCAGTGGATCATGCTCCTTTGAATTAAAAATCCCACGGTTATGGAAGACGTCAAAGTCTCTTATAAGGATATCTTTAATCAATTCCAAGTCTGTTATTGCGAAATTGGAATTGAAGAATAAATAAATTCCATGGATTGGTGCCTTTTCATTGAATTTATTATACAATCTGCGCAGAATATCCACCATATGATACTTGGTCCCAATTCCATTTAAATTTCCTAGTGGAAATGACGGTTTCTCATGCACAAAACCAAGTTCATCTAGCTTTGCAAACTTTTTTTTAATCCAATACGTGAGAAATACTAAAATTATCACAATTAATCCTAAAACAGTCTTCAGAGACATCTTAACACTTTCTTCATTCACGTCTAAAATAGAACTGAACCTAACTCCTGTATGTTTACAAATATTTATTTGTTTTTATTTAAATGATTAACAGATATTTTCATATATTCTGGTTCCGCAAGAATTGGTTAATCGGAGGAATTTTTGCGTAAAAATTCAAGTTTTGCTTATGCATCATCATTGTTAAGATGCAGAATATGTTATAACATAAAACTTGTCTCATTCATAAAGGAAAAGTTTCATCAAATGAGTCAAATTTTTCATCAGATTCTTGGTCGATGAACAAAACAAGTTGTTTCACACAAAGACAACAAAAATTACTGAGTTTGATGGTTTAAACTTTAAATATTCCCATTCTTAGCATACCCTAATTATTTTCAATAAGATCAAGGTCAAGTTAGACACCACACAATGTTTAAGCATTGAAAATCATCATTCAATTTTATTCATTATTTGAACTTATTTTCTGTAACTTCAATATTATATCCGTTGCTGGTGATAACACAGGATTCTTTAGATTATAAATAATTTTTTCAGGTGTTTGTGACGTTTTTGTGAACCTGAAATTAATCAGGAGTTGAATCAGTGCTATTTTAATTTGCATAAGTCCATAACGATAGCCAATACAGTTTCTGGGTCCATAACCTAGAAAATAAGGAATGAAATAATTTCAATTTTAATCTCGAAATAAAAATTAGCTTACAAAATGGAATGTGAGACATTGGATGCCTTTTTGCAATGTTTTCTTCAGCAAACCTTTGGGGATCAAATTTTTCTGGATCTGGGTAAAATTCAGGATCACGTTGAATGGAATAAATTGGAATAAAAACCATTGAAGATTTTGGAATTATGAGTTTGGTGTTTGGAACTTTATAATCTCTTGATGCTTCTCGTATGGCTATTGCACCAGGTGGATAAATTCGGAGGGTCTCTAAAAATAAACATTATCATCGGTAATTTATTTTTATAAAATTAATTAAAAGCTTTTCTACCATTTATCACCATGTCTAAGTATTTCATCTCTCTCATAGCTTCATATGTGATTTCATTGTCATGTCGAGCCAAAACTAATTTTATTTCATCCCTTAACTTATCCTGAACATCTAAATTCTCAGATAAATTGAACAGAGTGAATGTTGATGTGCTTGATGATGTCTCAAACCCTCCAACAAAGAAAAGAAAACACTGAGCAGTGATTTCGTCCATAGTCAATTTTTCCTCGCCTTTACGACCTTCTGTTCCAATTTTCATCAGCAAATTCAGCATGTCGTCTCGTTCAATGTTATTTTCACGACGATACTCTACAGTATCTTTCACAAGTTGTCTAAAGAAGTTTGACACATCCGGTGGAAATAGCTGAAACCTTAACTTTCGTGCAAGACTTCTAAAATTTGAAAAAAGAAGAATTTTACCCAAAAAATTGTCACTTCCAAAAACTTTTCTTCCCATTTTTCTAAATTCTGAGTTTGGATCTTCAATGGCATGCATCTCTAATCCAAAAGCTATATTTCCAATGACATCAGTCATGAAACTCGCAATCACTTCTCTCACTTCGACGGCTCCTAAGTTGTCATTTGCTTTTAGTTTCTCAATCATTTGGTTGGAGACACTTAATACTGTATTAAACATCATTTTCATTTTACCACTCGTGTATGTAGGCGTAAGTATTTGCCTCATTTTTCTCCATTCTTGATCTTCAAGTGCAGCTAAGTGTGCTGATAGTGGATCATGCTCTTTTGAATTGAAAAGTCCACGATTTTGAAAAACATCAAAATTATTTACTAGAATATCTTTGACAAGATCCAAGTCAGTCACTACAAAGGTTGTATTCAAAAATGCATACAGTCCATGAACTGATGAAATTTTGCTAAATTTATTGTAAGTCCTTGCCAAAATATGAATCATATGATGTTTGATTCCAATTCCTCTTAAATTTCCAAACGGAAATTCAGGTTTTTCGTGCATGAATCCAAGCGTTTGCATTGCTGAATATCGCTTAAATATCATACTACTTAAAAATACTAAGATTAACCCCAAAAGTCCTAAACTTATAGTCAAACTCATTTCACTGATCTTGTTTATTTAAAATTCATATTTAAACTGAAGAGAATCTTAACATTTTGTTTACCAAGTCAAGCATGAATTTGCAATTTTTTTTTGTGAAAAAACAGGATTCTAAATGATGAATATTGTATTTTTTGACCAAAATACAGTTTTTTCTTCTCAAACAAGCTGAAACTCTCAGAAAATAAAATGTCACTAAACATTTTGGGAATAACTGGTATAGAAAGGTAACAAGTTTTATTAGAATTCAGTCACAAAACTTTACAATTTTTCAAGTTTAACAGAAATGGAAACTTAAAATCCATAATTTTAATAAATTTCATATCCTGCATTGCTTCATATGTGATTTTACTGTCATACTTTGCCAGAACTGATTTTATTTCATCTCTAAGTTTCTCTTGAATATCTGGATACTTAACCAAATGGTAAAGAGCAAAAGTTGTTGTTGTTGACGATGTCCCAAATCCTCCTAGGAAGCAAACAAAGCACTGAGCAGCAATTTCGTCTGTCGTTAATTGTTCTTCTCCTTCGCGTTCGATGTTGTTTTTTAATCTATAATCAATTGTTTCCCTTACCACCCTTCTAAATTACGACTTGCTTTGAGCTTGTTGATCATGTGACTGGATACATCTAATATTGTGTTGAACATCATCTTCATTTTTCCACTAGTAAATGTCGGAGTTAGCTTGTGTCTCATGTGTCTCCATTCTTGATCTTCAATTGTTATCAAATGAGCAGTCAGTGGATCATATTTTTTTGAATGAAATAATCCTCGATTATGGAATGTATCAAAATGTCTAATTAAAATTTCTTTGGCCAGATCTTAATCAGTAACGACAAAGTTGGCACTTAAGAACATGTAAAGTCCATGAATCGGTGACTGCTTGCTTAACTTATTGTATGTTCGTTTCAAAATATGATTTAAGTGATATTTTTGCCGATTCCTTGAACATTGCCGAATGGAAATTTCGGCTTTTCATGTAAATCCAAGTTCATCTAGCTGTGAATATTTTCTATGTGTCCAAAACACAGAAAGTGTGATTATAATCAGCAATAATTCCAAAAATATTTTGAGCAACATCGCAATACACCGTTTGCTCCCACTTTAAATTAAAAACTGATTTTTCGGTAAATGTTGATATGAATTCTTCTTCTTTGACTTCATTAAATTCTTTTGTGTTGGTAAAAAATTTTAATAAATTTTTTTGTATGCATAGATTATAAAATTTTAGATTAAAACTTAGTCAATATAAAGTCAATATTAAATTCATTTTGAATCAATCCCAATTAAAATGTTTCTTTTCAATAAAGTTGTTCAAGTTTTAATACAACATCTTCAATTGGCTGCAAAATTGGTGCTCGTGGGTTGAAAATAATTGTTTCTGGTGTCTTTGAGGTTTTGGAGACTTTGAAATTTGTCAATAGCTGAATCAATGCAATTTTCGTTTGCATCAATCCGAATCTATTTCCAATACAACTTCTGGGTCCATCACCTGTAAAATGAATGAAGATTTTGACTCAAATGTGTAAAATGTTATTAATTAGAAATTACCAAACGGCATGTGTGCCATTGGATGTCTCATTGCCTTATTTTCTGCACTGAATCTCTCAGGATCAAATTTTTCAGGTTCTGGATAATAAGTTGAATCGTTATGGATTATAAATATTGGAACAAACACCAAAGAGCCCTTCTGGATTTCTAGATTAGAATTTGATATTTTATAGTTCTTTGAAGCTTGTCGAGCAGCTAATGGTGCTGGTGGATACATGCGAAGAGTTTCTGAAATTACAAAAATAAATGAAAATCATTAAAAGATTGACAGATTTACCCTCACCATTCACAACCATATCCAAATATTTCATTTCCAGCATTGCTTCATAAGTAACCTTGTTTTCATGTTTTGCTAAAACAGACTTGATTTCATTTCGAAGCTTATCCTGCAGTTCCATATGCAAAGCAAGTTTATAAAGTGCATAGGTTGTAGCACTCGATGATGTTTCATGACCGGCAATAAAAAATATAAAGCACTGAGCAGCAATTTCATCAATTGTAAGTTCTTCTTCTCCTTCACGACCTTCAGTTCCAATTTTCATGAGAAGATTTAGCACATCATTACGTTCGACTTTATTTTCACGACGATACTCGACAGTTTCCTTCACAATTCCTCTAAAAAAATCAGTAATATCTGTTGGAAGTAGTTTTAATCCTAATTTTCTGGCTATATTTCTAAAGGTTGTTAAAAGCAGAACTTTTGCAAAAAAGTTTTGAGCAAGGAATACTTTTTTAGTTGTTTGCCGGAATTTAGAGTCAGGATCCTCAATTGCATTCATTTCTAGTCCAAATGCAACATTTCCAATGACATCAGTCATAAAGTCAGCGAGAACTGTCTTGATTTCAACATTTTCAAGGTCAGCATTTGATTTGAGCTTATTGAGCATGTGATTGGACACATCCAGGACAGTATGGAACATCATCTTCATTTTTCCACTAGTAAATGTTGGTGTCAGCTTATGTCTCAAGTTTCGCCATTCTTGATCTTCGAGAGTAAATAAATGTGCGGTCAATGGATCATGCTCTTTGGAACTAAAAACTCCTCGGTTATGAAAAGTTTCAAAGTCTTTGATAAGAATGTCTTTGATTACATCCAAATCAGTGACAACAATATTCGGACTAAAGAACATATACAATCCATGAGCCGGAGATTTTTTGCTGAATTTATTGTATGTTCGTCTGAGAATATCAACCAAGTGATACTTTTTGCCGATGCCTTTCACATTCCCAAACGGAAATTCTGGATTTTCATGCAAAAATCCAAGTTCCTCTAATTTTGAATAGCGCTTGCGAATCCAAAAAACAATAAGTGTGAAAATTATCAGTAAAAGTGCTAGAAATATTCCGAGTGCCATCACAATACGTTTGATTGCTTCCACTTGAAACTGTAGACTGAAAAATTATTTCACATAAATTAGAATATTTTTTAAGATAAGCGAATGTGTTAGTAAATTTGAAGATGCTAACGACTCTAATAATAAAATTCATATGTGTGTTTTTTAAAATTTACAATTGAGTTTTGCCAAAAAAAAAAATTGGCTAGCTGATAACGCAAAAGCTTGTATTAGTTTGTATAAAATTGAGAAAAAAAAAAAAAACGTAGATTCTTTTAAAGATTTTCTCTCTTTTTGCCGGTCTAAAATAAATTTTTTTATGATGTTTGTGCGTTTGAGGGTCAAAATTCCAACAAAATTTAATTTAATTAAATTTTCTTCAAACAGAATCTAAATTACACTCGTTAACTCATACAACTTAAATCAAAACACATATAGAATCTAAAATACATCCAAAAAGTGCTTATAAGTCGCAGGCCAAATGGTAAACAATATTATCAGTGATAATGTTTTGATCACTGACAGATTCTTAATCAGGGTGTAAAAATCCTTTGGAAATCTCTAAACAAATGACTTTAACCGACAAGCTATTGATTTAGAATATCAGTAATTATTATTATGAGTTTATTTTGCCTCACTTTTAAATTAAAACTGTGGTGTTGCATCATGTACAATAAAATTTTATGTTGTTAACAAATTGCTGTGCAAAAAATAAGTGCTGCATATGAAAGCTGAGATCAATAAATCTACAATTTATTGCAAAATTCTTCAGTTTAGAAAATGATACCGAATCTACTTCATTTCTTCTTCGATCATTTATTAACTTTTATTAAGACAACAACACTGTAAAAAAAGGAATGACAAGCATAATTAGTCATGTGCTCCTAAAATGGGCATTAGAAATGATGACAAATCTTTTATTCATTTTGGCTATCAACGTTCTGTTTTATAAGTTTTAAATCATTTATTTATCGGAACAAAAAAAAATAAGATTAGAATGCACCTTATAAGATAAGTCTATGCCCTTAAAAGTGACTATGATTATATATGAAGAATTTATTGATTTTGGACTGAAAATTGTAGAATTGAGTTAAACTGGTTTAACAAATTTTTTTGGGAAAAAAATTTTTATTCTCTATTTTTGCCACACTATTATTCTTTTGTCAAAAATTGTTGTTAATATGTTTTGAGTCTGCAAAACATTATAAGACCTTTTGGATTTTCAACCACAACCCACCATCTGGACTTTGCAACGATGCATTTGGTGAATATTTCATTGGAACTGGAGTCCTATCACTTGGAAGAATTCTGAAGTTTCTCAAGAGCTTAATGAGACCGAGCTTTGCTTGCATTGTTCCGAATCTGTAAAGAATTATTGAAGTTTAATGTCATTTCCATAGATATATCTTTTCAATATATTTACCTCAATCCAATGCAGATACGTGGTCCTTCAGCTTAACATGAAATAATAATTTTATAAAAATAACTGAATGTCTCATGAATAATTTTACAACTTACAGAATGGAATAAATGCAAATGGATGTCTCTTCTTAATATTTTCTTCAGTAAATCTCTCAGGGTTGAATTCTTTTGGATTTTCGTAAAACCTTTCATCATTATGAAGTCCTGCAACTGGTATCATAATGTGCATACCAGCGGGAATAACTAAATTGGTATTAGGGATCTTAAAATCTTTTACTGCACTTCTGTTTTGATTATCAACGATTGGATGTCTACGGACGGTTTCATTGAAGACCATGTCTAAGTATTTCATTTCAATAATTGCATCATAAGTAACTTCTCCATTATGCTTTTCAAGAACCTCTTCAATTTCGGCTCTCAAACGATCTTGAATTCCTTGGTTGAGTGCAAGTTCGTAGGTACAGAATGTCATGACACTAGAGCTTGTTTCGTGTCTGTTTCAATTAAAAATAGTTTAAAAAACTTAGAAAATATAAGATTTAGATATATCTTACCCAGCAAGGAAGAACACAAAGCTATTGGCAGCGATTTCCTCAAAAGTTAAGCCAGCATCACTATTCTTGATATTAATCAGCAATTGGAAGAAGTCATTTCTTTGTATATTGTTTTTCTCACGATATTCAAGGTTGTCACGAACAATTTTAGTAAAGAAGTCAATTGTCTTTTTTGTATTGAATCCCATTCCCAACTTACTGGCAATTTTAGGAAATGATATCAAAAAGAATGCTTTTAAGTTTTCCCATGACGAAGGATGAAAAACTGCTGTTGCCATTTTTCTGAATTCATTATCAGGATCTCCTTGACATTTTGTGTCTAATCCAAATGCAACATTAGCAATAACTTCGGTTGTGAATGAGGCATAAACTTCCTTCATTTCTATTGCTGTTTTACCATCAGCTAATGGATTCAAGTATTCAATCATGTTATCACCAGTTTCTGATACAATTGGAAACATCATCTTCATTCGTCCACTAGTAAATGTTGGACTTAACTTTGCTCTTAAATCTTTCCATGGTTGACCATCGATAAAGAATAAATGTCCAGCAAGTGGATCATTTTTAAAATCCAAATCAAATCCATGTTGATGAAAACTATCAAAATGCTTCACAAGAATATCCTTAATTAAATCTGGATCAGTTGGCATTAAATTGGGCTTAGTTAACATGAAAAAACCAAACGCTGGTGCCTTGTTCTTGTTTTTCTCATATTCACGTACTATAAAATCACACATATGCTCAGTTCGTCCAACATTTCCGAGACTTCCAAATGGAATTTTCGCTTCAACGAATGGAAATCCTAGTCTTTCGAATAACTGGAACCGATGTCTGATCCACAAATATGCAGCAATTAATACTAATGCAATATATATGAGCATTTTTTTAAAGTTTATTCTTTTTTATTTTCAATCCTTCACATATGAACGACGGTAATTTACTAACAAGAAAGAGAAAAATATGACTGTTTATAAATCGTATTTGTGTTGACTATGTATGGCTATCAGCACCAACGCGTGTGTTTTAGGTTTCGTTAAATTATCTAAAATTAACGTTATAAGATAAATATGATTACAATTGTGACTTCATCATTTTTTATATGTGTGATTTAATAATTTAACTTGAATGTAGATATAATTTTAATGTCAAAGTCAGTATTATACTTTTGAATGTATATGTGAGAATTGTGGGAAAAATGACCTGCAATCTTTTATTTTTGATTGTTTACTGTATTTTTTTGTGGACTGGCATGACTTGTGTGAACAAATACAAACTTCATCATTACGAGTTTGAATATTTTATTTTAATAATTATGCTAATATTTGATACAGTTACTATAATCTGCTTGTCAGCATGGCAGTGTTATATATAAGTTTTTTTGCTTCTATTAAATGATTTAAATCAATAATTTCAAACAAGCTTCTCAATTTTTAACCACAATCCACCATCTGGACTTTGAAAAGGAGCTGTCGGTGAATATTTCATTGGATTAGGAGTTTTGTCACTTGGAAGAATCTTAAAGTTTTGCAAAAGCTTAACCAGACCAAGTTTTGCTTGCATTGTTCCAAACCTAGAAATCAGAATTTTAAGTTTTACTTTTTGCTTATTGTAATGACAAGCCTTAAATGAAGACTAGTCTTTATTTTAAAGTTTACCTCAAGCCAATGCAGATCCGAGGTCCTTCAGCTGAAATAATAACAAATTATATATGCAAATAGTAACTTTTAAATATGAACTCACAGAAAGGTATGAATGCAAATGGATACCTCTTCTTAATATTCTCTTGTGTAAATCTCTCAGGATCAAACACATCAGGATTCTCGTAATATTTCGAATCATAATTAATTCCAATAACAGGTATTATAATCTGTGTACCAGCAGGAATCACTAAATCAGTATTAGGAATCTTGTAATCTCTAGTTGATCGTCTAAGTTGATTATCGATCACTGGATGCTTTCTTGTTGTTTCATTGAAGACCATGTCTAGGTATTTCATTTCCATTATTGCATCGTAAGTCACTTCTCCATCGTACTTTTCAAGAACTTCTTTAATTTCGGCTCTCAAACGATCTTGAATGTCTTGATGCAGAGCAAGTTCGTATGTACAGAATGTCATGACACTTGAACTTGTTTCGTGGCTAAAACAAAAATTATTGTTAATTAATTCGAAAATATATTCTTTAAAATTCATACCCAGCCACAAAGAACTCAAAACTGTTGGCAGTAATTTCTTCAAATGTCAAGCTGCCGTCTTTGTTTTTAAGATTAATCAGTAACTGGAAAAAATCGTTCCTTTGAATATTGTTTTTCTCGCGATACTCAAAGTTGTCACGGACAATGTTAGTGAAAAAATCAATAGTCCTTTGGGTATTAAATCCAATTCCTAACTTCGCAGCTACAGATGGAAATGAATTTCTAAAAATTGCTTTTAAATTTTCCCATCCCGATGGATGAAAGACATCCATTGCCATTCTTCTGAATTCATTATTAGGATTTCCCTGGCATTTTATATCCAATCCAAATGCAACATTAGCAATCACTTCTGTTGTAAATGACGAATAAACTTCATTCATTTCCAATTCTTTACGTCCATTAGAATGTGACATTAAATATTCAATCATTCTATCGGCTATTTCTGACACTATTGGAAACATCATTTTTATTTTACCAGTCGTGAATGTTGAGCTTAACTTAGCTCTTAAATCTTTCCATGCCTGCCCATCGATGAAGAATAAATTATTGACAAGTGGATCGTTCCTAAAATCTATATCAATTCCATGTTGATGAAAGTTGTCAAATTGTTTGACTAAAATATCTTTTATTAATTCAATATTTGTTGGAACCAGGCATGGCTTTGTCAACATAAAAATTCCAAATGCCGGCGATTTTTCCTTGAATCTTTCATACTCTCTTCTAAGAAAATCACTCATGTGCTCAGTTTGTCCAACTTTTCCAAGACTTCCGAATGGAATTTTTGGTTCGACAAAAGGAAATCCGAGTCTGTCAAAAAACTGAAATCGACTCTTAAGCCATATATAAATGACAAACGCAAGGAGAATAATAAAGATCAGCATTTTGCTAGGAACACTTAAATTTAACGTTTGCTCTTTCAAGTCTTTAAATTGTGACTGAATTCCATCAACAAATAAAACGCGTAAATTTTATTTTTCTTTACACTCCTTTAAATTATCTATTTAATCAAGATAAGCACTCCGATTATTTATTTACTTATGTACGTATGATATCAAATTGAGCATTTTGTTCTCAAACTGTGTGTCAAGTCACCACATTGGTTAAATTATTTTGAAGTTTGATTATTCAAAAAATATTATTTTGTAAAAAAAATTGGGAATTGATTAAAAAATCAGTATGGCAGGTAATTACTTTCTCCAAAAAGGACTAAATTTAAAAAATACAGTCACCAAAAAGGAAGTGTTAAAAAAAATTAAAAATTTTGTGTGAATATGAAAATTAAGAAAGTTTTTCAACTTTCAACCACATTCCACCTTTCGGAGCTTGCAACAAACTACTTGGTGATATTTCCAATGGAATTAAGGTCTTAGTGCATGGATGGATGGAGAAATTTTTCAAAAGCTTAACCAAAGCGATTTTTGTTTGAACAGGTCCGATTCTGAAAATAGAACAATTAGAAACATAAGGTGTGCATAAGTTGGTCACTTACCTATTTCCAATGCAAAACCTGGGGCCTTCAGCTAAATTAAAGCAATTAAACAATAGTTTTAGTAAATAATACAAGAAATTAAATTAAATTTACTTACAAAACGGTAGAAACACAAATGGTTCACGTGCTTTCACATTTTCCTCATTAAATCTTTCTGGATCAAACTTTTCAGGTTCATAATGATGCGTTTCATCGTAATTAAATCCAATAGTTGGAATCAGTACCACAGTTCCTGCTGGGATCACTAATTTGCTATTTGGAATCTGATAATCTTTCGCAGCTCGTCTAGTTTGAGCTTCAAGGATTGGATATTTTCTAAGAGTCTCAAGTAATACCATCTCTAGATATTTCATTTCCATTATTGCTTCATAAGTCACTTCACCTTTGTGCCTTTCAAGAACTTCAAAAATTTCTTCCCTCAAACGATCTTGGACATCTTGATTCAATGCAAGTTCGTAAGAACAAAATGTAAGTGTACTTGAACTGGTCTCAAAGCTGGAAAAAATTAAAACTGTTAAAAATTGTTCTCGAAAGAGAGAAAAGGATTATTACCCAGCAAGAAGAAAAATAAAGCAGTTGGCAACTATTTCCTCCATAGTCATTTCAGTTTTATTATGAAGAATTCTAATCCTTTGTTGAAAGAAATCATTTCTATGGATGTTGTTCTTTTCTCGGTACTCAATATTATCGCGTACAACTTTATTGAAAAATTCTCTAGTTCCTTTAGAATTTAATGACATTCCGAAGAGGTTGGCAATTTTAGGAAAACTCATCATTAGAAGAGCTTTCACTCTTCCAGATGAAGACGGATTAAGAAACTCATAAGCAGCTTTGTAAAATTCATTCTCTGGATTTCCAAGGCATTCAATATCAAGTCCAAAGGCTACATTGGCAATTACTTCCGTTGTGTATGATGAATAAATGTTGCCTAATTCACAACAATCCTTATTTCCACATGTTTGCTTGATATATTCAATCATCCGATCTGATTGTTTTGATATGCTGGGAAACATTAATCTAATTTTACTGCTTGAAAAAACTGGTGTCAGGACTGCCCTCATGTCTTTCCATCTTTGTCCATCCACAAAGAATAAACTGTGAAACAGTGTGTCATTTGAAAATGCAAAATCAATAACATGGCTATAGAAAATATCAAATCTTTTAACTAAAACATCCTTAATTGCATCTAAATCAGTAAGAACTAATGTTTTTCTAAAGGCTTGGTAGACGCCAAAAGCTGGTCCTTTATCTTTGAAATTTTCGTATTCTCTTCTCATAAATTCACTTATATGTTCAGATCTACCAACATTTTTAAAGCTTCCAAAAGGAAATGATGGTTTGACACAAGGATATCCAAGCTTTTCGAAAAATCTATAGTAGTCAGTGATGTAAAAATAAATTATTGCAATTGAAATAGCTAAAATGATTAATAACATCTTCACAACTATCCAGAACAAGAGCTTAAAAGAAACTAGATTTTGCATATTTAAAAATAAAATAATATCTCACATTTTGAAATGCGAAAGTTCAAAGAATTAATAAACAAAATTTATTTATAAAAACTTGTTATCAAAAACCTTTAACTAAGAACGTGTCTAAAAATAATGAAATCAAATTTTTTTAAGTTTACCTTGACTCTATCTGCTGGCTAAATGCTAATATTTATTAGACATGACATAAGTACATAATGTTGAGAAATACTAGACAAAAATCAGTATAAATTTTCAAGTTTAAGCCACATTCCACATTTTGGAGCCTGCAAGTAACTACTCGGTGATATTTCCAATGGAATTGAAGTCTTAGAGCATGGATGGATGGAGAAATTTTTCAAAAGCTTTACCAAAGCGATTTTTGTTTGAATCGGTCCGAATCTGAAAATAAAGCAGGTAAAAATCAAGGCTGAATGTGTTTCATAATTTCTAAGCTGCAGATCAAATATTGGTCCCTTACCTATTTCCAATGCAAAATCTAGGACCCTCGGCTTTGTTAAAGAAAAGTTTTAGTAACAATACAAGAAATTAAATTAAGTCAACTTACAAAACGGTAGAAACACAAATGGTTCACGTGCCTTCACATTTTCCTTATTAAATCTTTCCGGATCAAACTTTTCAGGTTCATAATGATGCGTTTCATCGTAATTAAATCCAATAGTTGGAATCAATACCACAGTTCCTGCTGGGATCACTAATTTGCTATTTGGAATCTGATAATCTTTCGCAGCTCGTCTAGTTTGAGCTTCAAGGATTGGATATTTTCGAATAGTCTCAAGAAAAACCATCTCTAGATATTTCATTTCCATTATTGCTTCATAAGTCACTTCTCCGTTATGCGTTTCAAGAACTTCAAAAATTTCTTCCCTCAAACGATCTTGGACATCTTGATTCAATGCAAGCTCGTAAGAGCAAAATGTAAGTGTACTTGAACTGGTCTCAAAGCTGAAAAAAAAAATTAAAACTTCACAAATTGTTTTCGAAAGAGCGAAAGGGATTATTACCCAGCAAGAAGAAAAAAGTAGCAATTTGCAACTACTTCATCAAATGTCATTTTAGTTTGATTGTGAAGAATGCTAATCAATCGTTGAAATAAGTCATTTCTATGGATATTGTTTTTCATTCGATACTCAATATTATCGCGTACAACTTTATTGAAAAATTCCTTAGTTCCTTTAGAACTCAATGACATTCCAAGGAGTTTAGCAATTTTAGGAAAACTTATCATCACAAGTGCTTTAACTCTTTCAGATGTAGTCGGATTAAGAAACTCATAAGCAGCTTTGTAAAACTCATTCTCAGGTTTTCCAAAACATTCAGTATCAAGTCCAAAGGCTACATTGGCAATTAATTCCGTTGTGTATGATGAATAAATGTGGACTAGTTCACAACAATCCTTATTTCCACATGCTTCCTTGATATATTCAATCAACCGATCTGACTGTTTTGATATGCTTGGAAACATTAATCTAATTTTACTGCTTGAGAAAACTGGTGTCAGGATTGCTCTCATGTCTTTCCATCTTTGTCCATCCACAAAGAATAAACTGTGAAACAGTTTGTCATTTGAGTATTCTAAGTCTACACCATGGCTATGAAAAATGTCAAATCTTTTAACTAAAACATCCTTAATTACATCTAAATCAGTAAGAACTAATGTTCTTCTGAAGACTTGATAGACGCCAAAAGCTGGTCCTTTATCTTTGAAATTTTCGTATTCTCTTCTCATAAATTCACTTATATGTTCAGATCTACCAACATTTTTGAAGCTTCCAAAAGGAAATGATGGTTTGACACAAGGATATCCAAGCTTTTCGAAAAAACTATAGTAGTCAGTGATGTAGAAATAAACTATTACAATAGAAATAGTTAAAATTATTATAAACATCTTGACAACTGTATAGAATAAAATAAACTGGAAGCTATGCCTACAAAATTTAAATGATAAATAGAATTTTAAAATTTAAGAGTTCATAGATCTAAACGACTTTAAGAATCTATCTGACAACTGTCAAAAACATTTTTAAGTACAGTTTGGATTTAAATATTTAATTTTTTTTAATATCTTTAAATAAATGACATGACATAAGTGCTAATAGTTTATTAATACTGATTGTAAATCAGTTTATATGCTCAAGTTTAAGCCACATTCCACCAAATGGTGATTGGAATCCTGAATTTGGGGTATACTTCATTGGGATCAAGGTTTTGTTGCATGGAAGAATTTTGAAATTTCTTAAAAGTTTCACCAATCCTAATTTGACTTGCATTGTTCCAAATCTAATGCCAAAGAAATTTGAAAAGTGATCATCAAACATAACATTAAAAGACGTCATTTATGAAACAACCACAAAATAAATTCATAACATATTCTTACCTCTGTCCTATACACATTCGATGACCTTCAGCTGTAAAATTAATCAAATTTACTCAAAATTCTGTTTTGTATTATAAAAATTCTTACAAAATGGGATAAACGTGTGAGGAACCAGCTTCTTAATATTCTCATCTGAAAACCTGTTCGGATCAAAAACATCTGGATTTTCAAAATATTTCTCATCATGATGAAGTCCAACTGCTGGAATCAAAACTGCAGTTCCTGCAGGAATTACTAAATCGGTATTTGGAATCTTAAAATCTTTTGTACATTTTCGCACATGTGTGTCAACAACTGGATATATTCTAATTGTTTCATTAAAGACCATGTCCAAATATTTAATTTCTCTGATTCCATCATATGTTACTTCACCGTTGTATCGTTCTGCAACTTCTTCTATTTCTGTTCTTAAGCGATCTTGAATGTCTTGGTTTAGTGCTAATTCGTAGCAGCAAAATGACATTATACTTGAACTTGACTCGAAGCTATTAAATTGTTTATTTAATAAAAAATCTGAATTTGTACAATAAAAAATTAAGCAAACTCACCCAGCAGCAAAAAATATGAAGCTATTTGCAGCAATTTCATTAAAGCTCATTCCTACATCGCTATTTTTCACATCAATCAGCAACTGGAAGAAATCGTTACGCCTGATGTTATTTTTTTCTCTATATTCCATATTTTCGCGTACAGTTCCCATAAAAAAGTCAATTACGTGCTTAGAATTGATGCCCAAGTTGAAAAACGTTGCGATTTTTGGAAATGAAAAAATGACAAAATTTTCAAAATTTTTTAATTTTGGTGGCTCGAAGACATTTCTGGTAACTTTTCGAAATTCGTTGTCTGGGTGTCCAAGACACTTTATATCCAATCCAAATGCAACATTAGCAATGACTTCTGTCATGAAGGAAGCAAAAATTTCCTTTATTTCCAAACTTTCATGAGTAATTTCTTCAAACTTTAAATATTCAACCATTCGGTCAGCAGCACCAACTACAATTGGAAACATCATTTTTATTTTACCGCTAGTAAATGTTGGACTCAATTTAGCCCTAAGATCTCTCCATTCTTGACCACCAGCTGTGAATAAATTCTTCCATAGTGGATCTGCTTTTTCATTGACATAAAGTCCTCGTTCATGAAAATGCTCAAAACTAGTTGAACAGACTTCTTTAATTAGTTCTGGATCAGTAATAACAACTCCTGGATTTGTTAGCAGATATATTCCAAATGCCGGTCCTTTATCTTTAAAATTGTTATATTCACGTCTCATAAACTCACTTAAATGCTCCTTAAATCCAACAGAACCAAAACTCCCTAATGGGATAGATGGTTCCATATAAACAAAACCTCGATCCTTCCAGAACGAGAAACATTTTTTAAAGTAGAAATAAATCAACAAAATAATCGAAATTCCAATGTACAGCAGCAACATTTTGTGATGTTTTAAGACCAAACGCGAACTCACGACTACGAGACTCATAAAAAAATTTGCCGTTTTCTTCATTTGTGTTAGAAAAAAGAGTAAAAATAGAAATTCTCAAAAAAATAATGTATTCAAGTGTGTGCAACAGTGAATCTCAAGGTCATAGTCTACAGAATTTATGAATCATTCAGAATAATTTTTATTTAGGAACAGATTATTTCAATCCATTACAATTCTTTATCAATCCATTAGTATGCTTATCATTTAAGCTAACTTTAGTTAATACTCTGTAGTTTAAGCCACATTCCACCCAATGGAGCTTGAAAGCCAGATGATGGAGAATATTTCATTGGGATTAAGGTTTTGTCGCTTGGAAAAATTCTAAAATTTCTCAAAAGTTTAACTAGTCCAATTTTAGCTTGCATTGTTCCGAATCTAAGAGTAAAATTGAATAATCAGTAAAAATATTTTTGCTTCTAAAATTAGATGATAATCAATTACCTCAAGCCAATGCAAATACGGGGACCCTCAGCTAATCAGCAAAGAAATATAATTCAATCAAAAGAAAGAGTGAAATAATTTTAGACAATATCTTACAAAAAGGCATGTACGAATATGGAACTCGATTTTTTGCATTTTCTTCATTGAATCTCTCTGGATCGAATTTCTCAGGATTTTCGTAATATTTTTCATCATTGTGAATTCCAACAACTGGAATCAAAATTCCAACTCCAGCTGGAATTACTAGATTGGTATTTGGAATCTTAAATTCCTTTACACACTTTCTTAGATGTGAGTCAATGATTGGGTATCTTCTCAAAGTTTCATTCAGAACCATGTCTAAATACTTCATTTCTGCGATTGCATCATAAGTTACTTCTCCATTATAATTTTCTAGAACATCTTCAATTTCATTTCTTAAACGATCTTGAATATCTTGGTTAAGTGCTAACTCGTACGTACAGAATGTCATGGCACTTGAGCTCGTTTCGAATCTAATCAATTAATAAAGACAATAAATTATTTTGTTTGAAAGTCACAATTGAAACGTACCCAGCAGAGAAGAATATGAAGCTATTTGCTGCAATTTCATTGGATGTTATTCCTTCGCCACTGTTCTTGATGTCAAGGAGCAATTGGAAGAAATCATTTCTACGAATATTATTTTTCTCTCTATATTCCATATTATCACGGACTGTGTTCATGAAAAAATCAGTGACAAACTGTGGATTTAAAGTCATGTTGAAAAACTTTGCTATTTTTGGTACCGAAAAAATCATAAAATTTTTAAAATTGACCCACGGTGGAGGGTCGAAGATATACTTTGCAATCTTTCTGAACTCGTTTTCAGGATGTCCAAGACATTTTATGTCTAATCCAAATGCAACATTTGCTATCACTTCGGTCGTAAAAGCTGCATAAACTTCTTTCATTTCTAAGCCTTCATTTAACATTCGCTGCGGCTTAAGGTATTCAACCATTCGATCAGCTGCTTCTGCCACAATTGGAAACATCATTTTAATTCGTCCACTAGTAAATGTCGGACTAAGTTTTGTTCTTAAATCCTTCCATTCTTGTCCACCAGCTGTGAATAAATTCTTCCACAGAGGATCCGCCTTTTCATTAATGTAAAATTCTCTTTCGTGAAAACTTTCAAAATGTCGTGTCGTGACATCTTTAATAAGATCAAGATCTGTCAATATAAGGACTGGATTTGCAACAAAAAATATTCCAAATGCTGGTGCCTTATTTTTAAAGTAGTCATATTGTCGCTTCATGAATTCACTTAAATGCTCTTTAAATCCAACACCACCCATGCTACCTAAAGGAATCGATGGTTCCAAATATTGAAATCCATGATCTTTCCAAAATGAATATCTTTTTCTGAACCAGAAATAAATTAGAAGAATAACCGCGATTAATATATACAAAATCATGATTTGATGTTACTTGATCAAGCTCAAATACACAACTGAGAGACTTTGTTATCTATCAATTTGATTTATGAGAGAAACAAAGAATCAAAAGAGAAAAATTTTTCAAAAATTTATTTATTGGGTTTTGAAAATTGAAAAACTGACACGCTAATGATGTTCATGTTTTGATGCTGGTTCCCATTATTTAGTGCTCTCAATTTTAAGCCACATTCCACCAAAAGGTGATTGGAAACCAGAATTAGGTGCAAATTTCATTGGAATCAAGGTTTTACTGCAAACGAGGAATTTAAAATTTCTCAAAAGTTTGATCAATCCAATTTTTGCCTGCATTGATCCAAACCTACACAAAAAAAGAAAATGATTAAATTCTTAAAGATTATTAAACTGAATTACCGTAAACCAATGCAAATTCGAGGACCCTCAGCTGAAAAATAAAAAGTTTTTAAAATTGTGAAACACAAAAAAAGTTCAGAAATACTCACAGAATGGCATGTAGGTGTATGGAATTTGTTTCTTGATATTTTCTGGAGTAAACCTTTCAGGGTTGAATTTTTGAGGGTTTTCAAAATATTTTTCATCGTTTTGAACAGCACCAACTGGAATGAAAATGGGACATCCTGCTGGTATAACCAAATTAGTATTTGGTATTTTATATTCCTTAACGCTTTTTCTTAGATGAGTGTCTATAACTGGATACCTTCTCAATGTCTCACTCAACACCATATCCAAATATTTCATCTCTGCAATTGCATCATAAGTCAATTCCCCATTATACTTTATCAAAATTTCTTCAATTTCATTTCTCAATCGATCTTGAATGTCTTGGTTAAGAGCCAGTTCATAAGTACAGAAAGTAATTGCACTGGAGCTCGTTTCAAACCTATTAAAAATATGAATGTTTTTTTGGATTCTCAAAGATTGTGGTTTAGTTATGTTTACCCTGCGGAAAAAAAGATGAAGCTGTTAGCAGCCATCTCATTGAAAGACATTCCTACATCGCTGTTCTTAATGTCAAGGAGCAATTGGAAGAAATCATTTCTACGAATATTATTTTTTTCTCTGTGTTCCATATTATCACGGACTGTATTCATAAAAAAGTCAGTGACAAATTGTGGACTTAGAACCATGTTGAAGAATTTCGCAACATCCGGTAAAGCAAAAATTAAAAAGTTTTTCAAATTGTACCATATTGGAGGATCAAAAACAAACTTTGTGACTCTTCTGAATTCATTATCTGGATGTCCAAGACATTTTATATCCAATCCGAAAGCCACATTAGCTATGACTTCTGTAGTAAATGATGAAAATATTTCCTTCACTTCCAATTCTCTTTGAGTTATGGTATCATGCTTTAAATATTCAACCATGCGATCAGCAGCTTCAGCTACAATTGGAAACATCATTTTGATTTTACCACTTGTAAATGTTGGACTCAATTTAGCTCTTAAATCCTTCCATTCCTGACCACCAACAGTAAATAAATTGTTCCATAATGGATCTGCCTTTTTATTAACGTAAAAGTTTCGTTCATGAAAGCTTTCAAATTGTTTAACCATCACGTCTTTTATGAGTTCAATATCAGTTATGACCAGAGGTCGAAGTTGGTGAAGTGAAGTTGTTTCACTTCACTTCACTTCACTAAAATTTCAATCGGTTTCAAGTCAGCTCGAGTGAACTCATTTTTTTCGTGTTCACTCGAGTCGACTTTTAACCGAGTTGATTTTTTCATGTTCACTTTAGTCGACTTTTAACCGAGTTGATATTTTCGTGTTCACTTTAGTCGACTTGAAACCGACTTGATTTTTTCGTGTTCACTCGAGTCAACTTTTAACCGAGTTGATTTTTTCGTGTTCACTTTAGTTGACTTGAAACCGACTTGAGTTCACTAAGGAAAAAAAAATGTAATATACCAAACTGATTTCTGCTAGTACTTGTGAAGTATATGTGATTACATACAAAATTGCAGAATTTGTCCTTTTTATTACACGCTTTTTATTGAGTTGCTCTGTTGGTTTCTTTGTATGTCACGTTCAAATCTTCCAATCGATTTTTCTACCACTTCTATTGCTCCAATCGAGCTCAAATTTTGTGCACACACGTATTCCCGGTGACAATACAATATTTTAACATTTTGGAACTACAAAAATGCTTAATTATAGAACAATTTAAGTAAAACTTTTTTATATGGGAAAAAAATCCAATGTCAATGATATAAAATTTTGATTTGTTTAAAATATTATACTTGAAATGCTCAAAAGTCATTTATATGATTCATTATAGTTTAATTCATATTACTAAATATTAATTATACTATAAATTTGAGCATCTAAAGATATTCTGGTAAGACAAAAAAATTGACATGTAATTTTTTCATGAATATTCGCAAATGAAAATTTGAATTTTCAAAAAAACCGTTAAGCACAAGTCCGTTACGAATTAATGCAAAATAATTATTAATATGCGATGTGCATTTAGCACACATTGGTTGAGCATAAATTTATGCTGTTTTAAATGTATTACATTATTTATAAAACTTCACCAACTTAATTAAATTTACTTTGCTATTTATTAACGGCTTGAAGTATATTTGCATAACAAACAAATGACATTCATTGAATTAAATTTGAAAAATCCGTTATAAATACGTTACATATAGATGTGAGTTGCATCTTTATGTTAATAATCCACACGTTATGTAGTAGGAATCGTACAGATAAACACAAAATCTCCAAGATTCATTTTTAATGTACTTTACTAATGAATGCTTTAAAAAACACAGAAAGCGCACATAATTGAAGTTCAGGATATTTTTTAAGAAGTTTCATCTGTTTCCAGGTATGACTTAAATTCTATAAAACAAATGAATGAACAAATGTAATCTATAAACAGTTGAACGAAACGGAGTAAAACGAAGTGGAGTTGAATTTGAATTGTTGTGATCGATATTCGATTAAAAGATTGAGACAAAAAAGTAGCAAATAAAAAAATGTTAAAAAACTTTTTAAAAAACACGCTTTTAACAAAAAGACTAAAAACCAAAAAGATGAAAATAAAATAAGATCACACTTTTAGCGAATCAGGATTTTAAAAGTTTTCTTGTGACATCTAGAAATGGAACATAAATTTTTTTCAAAATATTGTGATTAAGTCCAAGAACACAATGACTCTAAAAGCGTGGGGCTTTAAGATTTGACGCTTCTCTTACTTAAGAACTTAGTTGAACTAAGAAATTCATCCTTAAATTACGCCCCACGCTTTTAGAGTCATTGTGTTCTTGGACTTAATCACAATATTTTGAAAAAAAATTATGTTCCATTTCTAGATGTCACAAGAAAACTTTTAAAATCCTGATTCGCTAAAAGTGTGATCTTATTTTATTTTCATCTTTTTGGTTTTTAGTCTTTTTGTTAATTTACTTTTCATAACCATATAGCAAACTAAACGAATTAATTTAAAATATTTTTCAAACTTCCAGTTTATTATAATTCAAGTTTTAAATTTTTTTCATTATTTATGTTTGTACGTTGAAGAAATTTAACTCTATAAATAAAAAAAAAAGTGTTACAGATCTAAATTTATTTTATTATGCTTGAAGATTAAAATTTAAATATATTATGCAGCACAATTTTTGTATCCTTTTTCCAGAGATCAAACAAATAAATCTGAAATTAAAATATATTCACCAAAATTGGAAATATGGTGTGAATTAAAATAAATTTCATTCATAATATTTCAAATCAGAAAAATAATCTATAGTGCAAATATTTTAAATTAATTCGTTTAGTTTGCTATATGGTTATGAAAAGTAAAAAAGGACAAATTCTGCAATTTTGTATGTAATCACATATACTTCACAAGCACTAGCAGAAATCAGTTTGGTATATTACATTTTTTTTTCCTTAGTGAACTCAAGTCGGTTTCAAGTCGACTAAAGTGAACACGAAAAAATCAACTCGGTTAAAAGTTGACTCGAGTGAGCACGAAAAAATCAAGTCGGTTTCAAGTCGACTAAAGTGAACACGAAAAAATCAACTCGGTTAAAAGTTGACTCGAGTGAACACGAAAAAATCAAGTCGGTTAAAAGTCGACTCGAGTGAACACGAAAAAAATGAGTTCACTCGAGCTGACTTGAAACCGATTGAAATTTTAGTGAAGTGAAGTGAGTTTGCTTCATCGACTTCGACCTCTGGTTATGACCAATGCAGGATTTGCAACTAAATACATCCCAAAAGCTGGTGATTTGTTTTTATATTGATCATAATGTCGCTTTACATATTCACTAAAATGTTCTTTTACACCAATGCCACTTAAATTTCCTAAAGGAAACGATGGTTCTGGATAAATAAAGCCATGATCTTTCCAAAATGAATGTTTTTTCTTAAACCAAAAATAAATTAGAAAAGCCACAGCAACAATTAAGTATAGAAACATTTTTGGCGACGTGTTAATCGATTAAGTTCTGATATTCAACTGACGCATAGTTTTATCTGTAAGCTTACTTTATGTGAAAATAATGAGACATGAAAATAAGAAGTTAATGGATTTAAATATGTGTGTGTGTGTGATTCTTATGTCATGTCCATCCATATTTCATAATTTATTAATACTTAAAGAATTTTCACAATAATTATTAAACCTTTTCAATTTTAATCCACATTCCACAAAGTGGTGATTGAAAGCTGTAATTTGGAGAAAACTTCATTGGGATTAAGGTTTTGCTACAGAGTAAAACTCTGAAGTTCGTTAAAAGTTTAACGAGTCCTAATTTTATCTGCATTGTTCCAAAGCTAAACGAAAAATTGTTTTTTGTCAAATTTTGAACTCAAATAGATTGAAATTCTACCTACCTAATGCCAATGCAATTTCTAGGTCCTTCGGCTGTAAAAATTAAAACTATATAGTTCTTTATGGACTTAAACAAACTGAAAATAACTTACAAAATGGAATAAAAGTATGTGGAGCTAGTTTCTTAACATTCTCTTCGCTGAACCTTTCAGGATCGAATTTTCAGGATTTTTGAAATATTTTTCATCGTTTTGAATTCCAACAACAGGAATCATTACAGGCATTCCAATTGGTATCACCAAATCAGTTGCTGGTATTTTAAATTCTTTCGTACACTTTCGAACCTGAACTTCAAAAATTGGATATTTCCTCAAAGTTTCATTTATCACCATGTCAAGATATTTCATTTCCATTATTGCATCATAAGTTATTTCTTCGTCATGTTTTTTGAGCACAGCTTGGATCTCTTTTCTTAAACGATCTTGAATGTCTTGATTAATTGCGAGCTCATATGTACAAAACGTCAAAGCATTGGCACTTGTTTCTAAGCTAATAAGAAGATGAACTAATTAACTTCAGGAACAAATTTTAAAACTTTCATAACCTACCCAGCAATCAGAAATATAAAGCTATTTGCAGTACCCTGTTTTTTCGTTATAAGCTAGTTGCCTTTCGAAATTCATTTTCTGGATGTCCAATACATTTTATGTCCAAGCCAAAAGCTACGTTTGCTACAGCTTCTGTTGTGAATGAAGAAAACATTTCCTTAATTTCTATAATTTCTCGATTAGTGTTTGGTTCCTTTAAATATTCAATCATTCCATCGGCTGTTTCTGTCAGGATGGGAAACATCATTTTCGTCTGACAAGGAGTAAAAAGTGGACTCAATTTATCTCTCAATTCCTTCCATTCTTTTCCACCTGATGTAAACAAATTCTTCATTAATGGATCAGCTTTTTCGTTGATATAAAATTCTTTTCCGTGGAAATTTTCAAAGCATCTCGTAGTTACATCATGAATTAGTTCCACATCCGTCAAAATCAGCGTTGCTTTTGTTAGTGAATAAATACTAAATGCCGGTCTCTTTCTTTAAAATTGTTATATTCTCGAATCACGAATTCACTTAAATGCTCCTTAAATCCAACACCACTTAAGTTACCCATTGGAATTGATGGTTCTGCATAGAGAAATCCAAGATCGTTCCAAAACGAATACTTATTTTTGAAGTAGCCATAAACTAGTAAAATAACTGTAATTAAGAGATATAAAAACATTTCGACCCAATTTTCCCAAATTCAAACACAGAACTGCTATGAAAAAAAACAAGAGCTCGTGTGGATATGAATGCGTAGCAGTTTTTTGAAAATAATAAAAAAGAAGCAGAACATACAAACATTCAAATGGCTTCTCGTATGCGCAGTGTTATTTTTCAATGTCATTCTAATGTTATTTTTAGTCAACAAACAACTAGAAAATTAATAAAAACTTTATTTCATCTTAATTTCTCTAATTTAAGCCAACATCCATCTTTTGGTGATTGGAAGTTAGAAGTTAAGGAATACTGCATTGGAATTAGTGTCTTGCTGCATGGGTGAATACTAAAACTTCTCAACAGCCTTACGATTGCAATTTTTATCTCCATTAGTCCAAACCTTTTAAAAAATTATTCTATAATTGAAAATTTGTTGTCAATTATAAACTCACCTCAATCCAATACAATTTCGAGGACCATCAGCTGTAAAATAAGTTTCTTAAAATACTTCTTTAACATACAACGATGAAAAAAATACTCACAAAACGGAATAAAAGCAAATGGATTTCTATTCTGAACATGCTCTTCGTTAAATCGTTCAGGATCAAACTTGTCAGGATTTTTATAGAACCTGTCGTCATAATGCAGACCAATGGCTGGTATCATAATCATAGTTTTGCCAGGAATTAATAAATCAGAATTTGGAATTTTAAAATCTCTTGAAGACTGACGCATTCCTGTATCAAAAATTGGATATTTTCTCATTGTTTCATTAATAACTTTGGTTAGGTACTTCATTTCTGCAATTGAATCGTAAGTTACTTCTTCTCTATGTTTCTTAAGGACTTCATCAATTTCCATCCTCAAACGGTTTTGGATATCTTGATTAAGTGCAAGCTCATAAGAGCAAAATGTTAAGACACTTGAACTAGTCTCGAATCTGTAGGTTCAAAAAGTGTTATTAATTTATTGTTCGAATAAGACTAATATCACATTTCTAAATTGCTAATTGACATTTGTAAAGCCGACTTACCCAGCAAGAAAAAATATGAAGCAATTTGCAGTCATCTCATTTAAAGTCATGCCTTGTTCACTGTTTTTAATATTGATCAGCAATTGGAAGAAGTCATTTCGTTGGATATTATTTTTTTCTCGGTATTCTAAGTTGCTGCTGACAATATCCAAAAAGTAATCAGTGATGAACTTTGGATTGATCGACATGTTAAATATTTTTCCAACTTTAGGAAGCGCAAACATAAATAGGAATTTAAAATTATCCCAATTTGTTGGTTCGAAAACTCTTTTTGTTATTTTTTTAAATTCACTGCCTGGATTTCCAATGCATTTGACGTTCAAACCAAATGCAATATTTCCAATTACTTCTGTTGTTAATGCTGAGAAAATTTCCTTCATTTCTAAATTTTCATGGTTAACTTCTTTGATGTACTCGATCAATCTATCTGCACATTCCAATACAATTGGGAACATCATCTTCATTTTACCGCTTGTGAATGTTGGACTTATTTTAGCTCTTAATATTTTCCATTGCTCTAAATTATTAATCGTTGCTAAATTGCTCCAAAGTGGATCTGTTTTTTCATCAAACTCGAATCCTTTGTGATAAAAATTATCAAAACTCCCAATAAGAACTTCTTTGAGGAGATCTAGATCTGTAATAACAAGTGCTGGACGTGTCATGAAGTAAATACCAAATGCTGGTCCTTTATTCTTATAATTGTCATATTCTCGTCTCATAAATTCACACATAGCTTCTTTAGTTCTAACGGAACCGAGACTCCCCATTGGAAATGAACCTTTTATGTAGGGAAAACCATGATCTTTCCAAAATGAGAATGTTTTTTTGAAAAATAAATAAATTAACAAAATAATTACAGCTATAAGGTAAAAAATCATTTTTCGATGCACAATGCTTTACCGCAAATAAAAAACTGAAGATTAAAGTTCGTGCAAGATTTACATTCGTTTATGATAACAAATAATTTCCGAGCTCTAAAAATAGAATTAAGTTTAATATTACTTCTGAACGCAACTCTCTCGTTCAAGGTCAAATCTATTTATGAGTTAATGAGTTTATGAATTGGTATTTTTATTTCTAAAAGATCTGAGAAGCTGAAAATTGACAAACTGAAGATTTGGAAACAATAATTTTGATATTCCAAAGGTTCTTTATTATCAAAATCCTAAAATGGGCAATGACGTAAATTTAAACTGATAAAAGAATAGTACAGATTAATGAATTCGAAAACAAAGCTCAATTTGACAGTTAAGCTTCAATTCTTTATAAATTAGTTTGAATTCTTTCCACTTTCAACCACATTCCTCCTTTTGGTGCTGTAAATAAGCTCTTTGGATCAAAAACCATTGGAATTGGTGTCTTATCACATGGTGAAAATTTAAAGTTTTTGATTAGTTTTGTTATTCCAATTTTGGACTGCATCTGACCAAACCTCATCCCACTGTAAAGAAAACCTTCACTAAAAACTTTTGAAATTACAATTCAAACTACTCACATGCAGTTCCTTGGACCCTCTCCAAAAGGTAGAAAAGTAAATGGTTTAATATTCTTAACATTTTCATCGTTGAATCTCTCTGGATCAAATTTATCAGGATCAGGAAAATATTCAGAATCACGGTGTAGTGAAAATATGTTAATGTCAATTGATGTACCTTTTGGAATGACTAGATCTGTACCAGCAATTTTATAATCTTTGATACATTTCCTTAAGTTTTCAGCAATCGGTGGGAATTTCCTTAATGACTCGTTGATGACCATGTCAAGATACTTAAATCCAAACAGCATATCATATGTTAATTGTCCATCATTGTCTTCAATTTCAGTCATTATTTCTTCCCTTAATCTGTCTTGAATGTCTGAATTCATTGCTAATTCGTAGAGTGTGAAAGTCATGAGTGTGCTCGAAGTCTCAAACCCTGCTGCATAAACCAAATAAGCTTCAGCTGCTAATTCTTTCGAATTATATAAATCCTTAAGTCCTAACAATAAAGACACAAAATCATTTCTTTGGATGTTATTTTTCTTTCGGTATTCGAGTGTCTGCAAGAATGTGTTAAGGAAAAAGTCTGCAGATTTTTTTGGATTGTCACGAAGTCCAAGTTTTCTAGATAAATTTGGAAATTCAACTGTGAAGATGAACATAAAGGCATCGAATGCTGATAAATCAAATATTGGTCGTCCATATTTCATAAAGTCAGAGTTCTCGTCTACTATACCTGAATATTATTGAAATTTGGAATGGTTTAAGTTAAAAGAAAAAATTATTTTACTTACAGTTACATTCAATGCCAAACGCAACATTCCCAATATTATCACCGGTATAACGTTGAGACCAATTTCGCATTTCAAATGTGTCTAATGTCTTCAATTGTCTTCCAAGCTCCTCAGCTAGTTTGTTGCTGATTTTATCCACTATCTCAAACATCATTTTCATTTTACCGGATGTAAAAATTGGAGATAACTTTGTTCTTCGTTCCCTCCACTCTTGCCCATCTAGAGATAGAAGATTTGCAGATATTGGATCATCTTTCTAGAATGCAAAATTTTCAAATTGCGTTTCTTTAACTTATACAGCAATCTACCTTATTATAGTACATTCCTCTATCATGGAATGACGCAAAATCACGAACAAGTATGTCTTTTAACAGTTCTGGATCTAATGGCATAATACTGGGTGATAAAAATGAATACATTCCTATTGCAGGTGCCTTTCCTTTAAATTTCTTATATTGAACATTAAGAGCTTCAAAAGCCGTCCATTTTGTTCCACATCCTTCATAAGTTCCGAAAGGAAAGCTTGCATCTGCTTGGAGAAATCCACGATTTTTCCAATAACTGAATTGCCTTTTCACCAAAATATAGGCCAAAGCCAGAATGGCAATTATGAAATAAAAAATTGTGTACATTTTGAACAAGCGTGCGATTTTACGGATTGAGAGAATCAAACTAAAAGAGAACTTTGATAGCTGAACACAATGATAATTTTAATCAAAAATATAGCTTAACTAGACTTACACAGAAAAAAGTGACACTGTAAGTTTGCAAGCTAAATTATAGACACAAGCTACAGATAAATAAAAAATTTCATTCGGTGCTGAATATCATAAATTTATACTACAGGCCATCAGCGTTCCTCTACTTTCAACCACATTCCTTCCTTTGGTGTTATAAAAGGTGCAAATGTCTCAAATTCCATCGGAATGAGCGTTTTCTCGCATGGTGAAAATTTAAAGTTTTTGATTAACTTAAGGATTGCCATTTTTGACTGCATCTGTCCAAATCTCATTCCACTAAAAGTTTACTAGAAATGTTATGAAAGAATCTTTATAATTTCAGTTAAAAACTTACATGCAATTTCTCTGTCCCTCACCAAAAGGCAAGAATGTGAATGGCTTTATGGTCTTACTGTTCTCGTCACTAAATCTCTCAGGATCAAATTTTGATGGATCAGTGAAATACTCAGGATCGTGATGTAGAGAATAAACATTAATGAGTGCTTTAATGCCTTTTGGAATTGTTAAATCTGTTCCTGGAATTTTGTAATCTTTTACGCATTTTCTAAACAAAATGGGAATCGGTGGATATTTTCTTAAAGACTCGTTGATCACCATGTCCAAGTATTTCAATTCAAACAGAAGTTCGTAAGTTAATTTCCCATCATTTTCTTCAATTCTTGTCGTTATTTCCTCTCTTAATTTATCTTGGATATCCTGATTAAGTGCTAATTCATAAAGCGTAAAGGTCATTAAGGTACTCGATGTCTCATAACCTGCTGCGAACACTAAAAATGCTTCTGCAGCTAGTTCTAATGGAGTGTACAGATGCTTAAGCCCTAGCAGCAGAGATACGAAGTCATTCCTAACGATATTGTTTGTCTGGCGATACTCAAAAGTCTGCATGAATGTGTTAAGGAAGAAATCTCCAGCATCTTTTGGATTTGATCGAACTTTAAGGACTCTCGCAAGATAAGGAAGATTCATTGCAAAAATGAATTTTATAATCTCAAATGGTTTCAAATCTAACAATCTTCGTCCATATTTCATGAATACTGAGTGTTCATCTTCAATGCCTAAATATAAATTATATTAAAAATAAGTAATTAACTCGCACCAAAATCTTACTTACAATTGCACTCAAGTCCAAACGCAACATTTCCAATATTATCAGCGGTAAATTTTTGTGACCATCTTTTCATGTCATGGACATTTGATGTTTCAATATTTTTTTGCAACACTTCTGCTAATTTATCGCTAATTCTATCAACATTCTCAAACATCATTTTCATCTTTCCTGATGTAAATATTGGTGACATTTTTGTTCTTCGGTCTCTCCAATCTTGTCCATCTAATGACAAAAGATGCGCTGATGTTGGGTCAGCTTCCTATAAGTTTTAAATTTAGGAACCGTACTTAAAATTATTGAAGTGAATCACTCAACTTTATTATGGTACATTCCTCTGTCATGGAAGTGGCTGAAATCCTTCATTAAAATATGCTTTATTAAGTCAGGGTCAATTGGAAATACACTAGGTACGAAAAATTGGTAAATTCCAATTGCTTTTACTTTTCCCTTAAAGCTTTTGTAATAATCATCGAGTCCTTGAAATGGAGTTTTGCCTTTCGTGACTCCCATGAAGGATCCTTTAGTTCCTGGCTGCAAAAATCCCTTTTCGTTCCAATAATTATTTCGCTTTCTTAACCAAAAATAAATTAAAACAATTAATGACACAAAGATGTAGAAAATCGAAGCCATGATTGGCTATATCGATTGACTTTCTAGCTTCAAAAATCAAAACTCACTGAACTTAAATTAAGTAAAGTATATTTTTTAATTACACCTTATCTCTTATCGATTCTGAAGGTACACATTTGATAAAGATTAATCCATCTATAATTGCAAGGCCACAGTCGACTCACGAGATACTGTTTACTAATGTATCTTGGTTAAACTGATAAATTAAGGTTCCTTAATTAAAAATATGGATAATGATTAAAATCAAACATAAATGATCGTATCCTATCAACATCTCTTTATTTAGAGTTTACATAATCTTTACATTGTTTTGAGGATCAATATTTAATTCCATAAAATAATATTTAAATTCTTGTAACTTTTAACCACATTCCTTTTTCAGGTGCCAAAAGTGGGCTAGTTGAATTGAATTTTAGTGGTATTTGAGTTCTCGTTCCTGGTTGAAACATAAAATTTTTGACAATTTTTGCAATGCCTAGTTTTGACTGCATCAGCCCAAATCTCATACCGAGGCAATTTCTTGGTCCATCACCTATGAAAATTTTATTTTGATAATTATTGATCTTAAGTAATGCTAAGTAAGAATTTATTACCAAATGGAATATTTGAAAATGGTTTAATATTTCTGATATTTTCTGCATTAAAACGTTCAGGATCGAACTTATCAGGATCTCGAAAATATTCTGGATCTCTTTGTAGTGAAAAAGCATTAATAAGAACAATAGTTCCGTTAGGAATCACAAGATTTGAGTTTGGAATTTCATATTCTTTAGTACATTTTCTAATTGGTGTTGGAATCGGTGGATACTTCCTCAAACCTTCATTTACAACCATATCTAAATATTTCAACCCCAAAAGCATGTCATAATTTAATTTTCCATCATTTTCCTCAATTCCATTAGCTATTTCTTCTCTCAATCTATCCTGAATATCTGGATTGAGTGCAAGTTCATAAAGTAAGAATGTCATTAATGAGCTTGAAGTCTCAAATCCTCCAAAGAATATGATAAATGCCTCAGCAGCAAGTTCTTCTTTGGTGTATTCATTTTTGAGTCCCAATAGCAGCGATACAAAGTCATTTCGCTTGATGTTGCTTTTTTCACGAAATTCAATAGTCTGAATAAAAGTTTTCAAGAAAAAGTCACCAACATCTTTTGGACAAAAGCCAAAGCCAAGCTTTCTAGCAAAATCAGGCCATTCAGTTCCAAAAATGAATTTAATGATTCCAAAAAGTGTAATGTTTGCTAATTTCCTTCCAAAGTATCCAAATTCCGAATTTTCATTTTCAAGACCTACAAAATTTTAATTCCTAATTACAAAATTTATTACTTATTCGTGCACTTACAATTTGGTTCAATTCCAAATGCAACATTTCCAATACTGTCAATTGTAAACCTTTGCAACCAACTGCGCATCTCGAGATCATTTGTATTTCGTAATTGATCTTCAATTATTCGTACCATTTTGTCACTCAATGAATCAATCAACTCAAACATCAGTTTCATTTTTCCAGATGTGAAAATTGGAGTAAGCTTTACTCGACGATCCTTCCAGTCTTGTCCATTTAAAGTCAATGTGCTGAAATTAATTTAAAAATGTCACAACTTTATGATGGAAACTAGTGTATTATACTAACTTAGCACCTATGGGATCATCTTCCTTTAAATTTTAACATAGACACAAATTCAATAAAATGATAAAAATATTATGTATGACTTTTTGAGTCTTACCTTATTATAAAATAATCCTCGATCGTGGAAGGAATTAAAATCACGAACTAAAATATTTTTAACTAATTCTGGCTCAATAGGTAGAATTACTGGAGACAAAAAGTTATAAAGCCCAACCGCAGGTGTCTTTCCCTTGAACTTCTTGTAAAAGTAATCTAAATTCTCAGTATTGGTTCTTTTGGTTCCAACACAAGATAGATTCCCTAATGGAAATGATGGATTATCTTGCAAAAATCCTCGATCACTCCAAAATCTAAGCCTTTTATGGATCCATTGATAAGCTAGAGTACAAAAAATAATGAAACTCACAAAAATGCCTAGAATTATTCCCATCTTCTAGGAATGCAGAAGTGCAACTGAAATAAATTTTCAATTGAGAGCCATTCGGCTAGTGAGTACTGAACACATACATGCATACACTTGATTGAGAGAAATAAAGAGAAAAGCAAATGCATTTCTGCTCATAAAATTATTTTTTATTACTCTACTACCTGAATGTTTAGGTATTCTATCCATATTTTTAACTAAAGCATTTATTCGATCTTCGTCAAATTAAGCCACATGCCATCATTAGGTGCTAAAAAGGGACTTGCAGGCTTTAACTTTACTGGTATGGATGTCTTCTCACATGGGGATACTTTAAAACTTTTTATTATCTTAACGATACCAATTTTGGATTGCATTAATCCAAACCTCATGCCCAAGCAGTTTCTTGGTCCTTCTCCTGTAAAATTTTGAATTATTTATAAATTTTAGATGTTTGTTACAGCGTTAATAGCTTACCAAATGGAAGATGTGTGTAAGGTTTAATATTTTTTACATTTTCTTCATTAAATCGTTCAGGATCGAAATTTTCAGGTTCTGGGAAATACTCTGGATCATAGTGAAGTGAGAGTAAATTGACTTGAACTATTGTACCTTCTGGAATAACAAGTTCAGAGCCAGGAATTTGATACGTTGTTCTACATTTTCTCATTGGAATTGGAATCGGTGGATATTTTCTCAAAGCCTCATTTACAACCATATCAAGGTATTTAAATCCAACAAGCATTTCATAAGTCAATTTTCCATCATTATCTTCAAATCCTGATAATATTTCCTCTCGTAATCTATCCTGGATATCTGGATGCAAGGCTAGTTCATACAATGCAAAAGTCATTAAAGTACTTGATGTCTCAAAACCACCAGCAAATACTAAGAACGCTTCAGCAGCAAGTTGGTCTTTTGTGTATGTATTTTTCAGTCCCAAAAGTAGCTTAACAAAATCATTTCGATCTATTTGACTCGCTTCACGATCATCTAGTGTCTGTATAAAGGTTTTAAGGAAAAAGTCTCCAACTTCTTTATTGATGAATGTTAGATGTAATTTTCGTGCTAAGTCAGGCCATTCAACAGAAAATAAAAATTTTATAGCTTCCAAAAATGACCCGTTTATCATTTTCCTGCAGTAAAACGTAAACTCAGTGGTTTCATCTTCTAGACCTATTATGAGATTTATTATTTAAATATTAGGTCTTTGTTTTGAGATTTGATCTTACAATTAGGCTCAATTCCAAATGCTACATTTCCAATGTTGTCAATAGTGAACTTTTGTAACCAGCTACGCATTTCAAGGTCATTTGATTTTGCCATTTCATCTTCGAGAATTCTTGCTAGTTTGTTGCTTATAATGTCTACAATGTCAAACATCATTTTGATCTTTCCAGAAGTAAAAATTGGCGTAAGTTTTACTCTTCGTTCTTTCCATTCCTGACCATTTAAGGTCAATGTACTGAGAAAATAAGGAATAAAAAAAGTTTTCGGTTTGAGTGACGGTACTTTGACTTACCTAACACCAAGAGGATCATCTTCCTGTTGTGTAATGAAAATGATAAGAATCAATGATAAAAAAAAAAGTTCGTAACAATCATTATCAAGGCTAGGATTTAATCATGACATTGGATACCATTATTACAAAAAATGGTGTAATTTACCTTATTATAGTACATTCCACGATCATGAAATGACTGAAAATCACGCACTAAAATATTTTTAACAAATTCTGGATCTATAGCTAGAATTATTGGTGACAAAAAATTATAAAGTCCAACAAATGATGCCTTCCCTTTAAACTCTCGATAGTAAACATTCAGTTTTTCAGCATTTGTCATTTTAGTACCAACACCCGATAACGTTCCCATTGGAAATGATGGATCACCTTGAAGGAAACCCAGATCACTCCAATATCTGAATCGTTTCTTAACCCATAGATATACCACAAAGATTATTAGAGTTATTCCCAATAAAATTTCGGACAACATTTTAAGTCAAACTGTGAAGTCTTTTGATGATCGACTAAACTGAGTAATTTTTGTGTAATATTTTTTTTTTGTTTTGACTGTTCGGAACTAACACATCTGAATCGTTTATGTTGTAGATAACCAGCTGATTACTATATTTTCACAAACATGTATTTGTGAGTAAATGACTGAAAGCAAAATTTGTTTGTTTTTATTACAATAGTAGTCAGACCAGTTTTGGAAAAGCTTTGATGAGCGCATTCTCTTACAATTGATGTCGACTCTCTGTTTTTATTTGAGTTCATTGTGAATGTCATTGCAAATACCGGCTAATCTGAAATATTTGTGAATTTATTGAATCTTTAGGTTTTGTTCATTTTTTTGATATTTTTATTTTTATAAATTTTTGACTGGTTTAAAACGACTGTTTCCTTTTACCTGACCTTTTCGATTCCTATCAAATTTTAGTAAATTTCAACCACATTCCCTTCTCAGGTGCCAAAAGAGGATTTCCTAAGTTTAATTTGATGGGAATTTGAGTTTTTTCAGAAGGTTGAATTACAAAGCTTTTAATCATCTTTGTTATTCCGATTTTAGATTGCATTAAACCGAATCTCATTCCCAAGCATATTCTGGGACCTTCCCCTATGAAAATATAATAACAGAATTGTCAAAATATTATGAAAATTATTAAATGTCTTACCAAAGGGAATATTTGTGAATGGCTTAATTTTTTTTATGTTTTCTTCATTGAATCTTTCAGGATCAAATTTCTCAGGATCTGAAAAATATTCCGGATCACGTTGAAATGAAAATGAATTTACAGGAATTATGACACCTTCGGGAATAACAAGTTTTGTGTTAGGAATTGGATATTCTTTGTTCGTTTTTCTCATTGTTGTTGGAATTGGTGGGTATTTCCTCAAACCTTCATTTACAATCATGTCAAGATACTTAAATCCAAAAAGTATATCATAAGTCAATATTCCGTCGTTTTCTTCGATTCCTGTCATTATTTCTTCTCTTAGCCTATCCTGAATATCTGGATTAAGTGCAAGTTCATAAAGTAAGAAAGTCATTAATGAACTTGATGTCTCAAATCCTCCAAAGAATATAATAAATGCTTCAGCAGCAAGTTCTTCATTAGTGTAATCATCTTTGAGTCCCAAAAGAAGTGAAACAAAGTCATTTCGCTTGATTTGGCTCTTTTCACGACGTTCCAAAGTTTCAACAAAAATTTTCAAAAAATAATCATTTACATCTTTAGGAGTAAATCCAATTTTAAGCTTTTTAGCTAGACTTGGCCATTCACTTCCTATCATAAATCTTACAATTCCTAAAAAAGTTATATTTGACATTTTCTTTCCGTAAAAAGCAAGTTCTGAATTTTCATGTTCAAGAGCTGGAGAAAGATTGAAAATTTTAGTTTTTATCCTTAAATCAGCCATGAAAAAAAATTAATTACCATTTGGCTCAATACCAAAAGCAACATTTCCTATTGTGTCTATTGTAAACCTTTGAAGCCAACTACGCATCTCTAATTCGTGAGTGTACTGTAATTGATCTTCGAGAATCCGAACTAATTTGTCGCCTAATACATCTAAAAGCTCAAACATCATTTTCATTTTTCCAGAAGTGAAAATTGGTGTTAACTTTACACGACGATCACGCCATTCTTGTCCACTCAATGTGAAGGTACTGAAATATTATTGTTTTTAAACCAGTATGGATTAAAAATTGTATTTCGATATTTACTTTACACCGATTGGATTGTCTTCCTGAAATTAAATCTGCTCATTATTGATTTGGATATGAAGACAAGATTTTTTAAGAAACTCACTTTATTGATAAACAATCCACGTCCATGAAAAGATGTAAAATCACGAACTAAAATATTTTTCATTAGTTCTGTATCTATTACAAGTAAAACCGGCGATAAGAAGTGATAAAGTCCAACAGCAGGAGTTTTTCCTTTAAATTTGTTGTAATAATAATCGTATTTCTCAGCAATTATCATTTTAGTTCCAACTCCACCTAAACTTCCTAAAGGGAATGCTCGATCACCTTGCATAAATCCTCGATCTGTCCAATAGCTAAACTTTTTATTTACCCATTTGCGAACAAGCGACAAGCACAAAATTAGAAGAACAACAAAAATTATTAAGCTCATTTTATTGATACTGATGTGCAAAGTTGAAATGCCCGAAATACACTGAAGCAGGTTTCATAGATCATTTTGGAATAAAATTGAGAACCTATACATTGAACAAAACTCGATACTTGAAAAACTTTTGAATATTGCTTTTATTTTTGGCACACACACATTTAATCCACGGATTTAGATAAAAATAATTACATTGGGAAGCTTAGTCGATAATGTGGCCAAAACAATTACTGATTTATTTGATTAGTTGTATTTTTAAGTTTTTGTTAACGTCTGGAATCAACTATTAATATTTATTGAACTTTAGTCAGATTAAGCCACATCCCACCAACTGGTGCTAAGAATGGATTCGGTGGGATAAACTTTACTGGAATCGGTGTTCTTTTCGTTGTTGTAACGACAAAGCTTTTAATAATTTTGGCGATTCCCATCTTTGATTGCATCAAACCAAATCTCATACCCAAACAGTTACGAGGTCCATCACCTTTAAGGCCAATTCTATTAGATTTTCAAAGTGAATTTTGATATTTTTTCTTACCAAATGGAAGATTTGTGTACGGTTGGACATTTTTGATGTTTTCTTCATTGAATCTTTCAGGATCAAACTTTTCTGGATTAGGAAAGTATTCTGGATCACGCTGAAGAGAAAAGCTGTTGATTTGAATATTAGTTCCTTTTGGAATTACGAGTTTTGTGTTCGGAATCTGATAATCTTTAGCAGCTCTTCTAAATTGATTAGGAATAGGTGGATACTTTCTTAAAGACTCATTGATAACCATGTCGAGATATTTGAATCCAAACAGCATATCATAAGTCAATTTTCCATCATTTTCTTCAATTCCGTTAGTAATTTCTTCCCTCAATCGTTCCTGTATATCTGGATTTAATGCTAATTCATAGAGTGTGAAAGTCATAAGCGTACTTGATGTTTCAAATCCACCAATAAAGACTAGAAAAGCTTCAGATGCGAGTTCTTTAGTTGTGTAAATGTCTTTAAGTTCCAACAAAAGCTTTACAAAATCATTCCGATTGACTTCGTTATTTTCACGGTACTTAATAGCATCGATGAATGCTTCAAGAAAAAATGATGAAACTTCTTTAGGTATAAATTTGACACCCAATTTTCGTCCTAAATTTGGAAATTCTGTTGCAAAAATGAACTGCAATGACTCAAAAAATGTCAATCCAGTGATTCTTCGACATTTTTGCTCAAATTCAGAGTTTTTTACTTCTATGCCTACAAAAAAAATGATAGCAAAAACAAATAAACATTACTTAGCATTAACTTTCTTACAGTTCGGTTCGATTCCAAACGCAACGTTTCCGATGTTATCGATAGTCAACCTTTGTGTCCATGATCGCATTTCAAGCTCATCAATATTTGAAATTTCTTGAACAATAGTTCGAACAAATTTATCACTTATTCCATCAAGAATGTCAAACATCATTTTCATTTTTCCAGATGTGAATATTGGAGATAGCTTTACTCTGCGATCTTTCCAATCTTGACCATTAAGAGTTAAAATGCTGAAATCATAATTACAATAGTTTAAATAATTTAATCTTTTTTATCACACAACCTACCTTGCACTAAGTGGATCACCTTCCTATAGAAAACTTAAACTTTTAAATTGTTATACAACAAAACTTTGTGACTATAAAATACCTTATCGAAATAAAATCCTCGATCATGGAATGACTGGAAATCTCGAACGAGTATATTTTTAATCAACTCAGGATCAATTGGAAGAAGAGTTGGCGATAGAAAATTATAAAGTCCAACAGCCGGAGCCTTTCCTTTGAATTTTTTATAATAATAATCTAAATTTTCAGCGCTCGTTGTTGATCTGCCAACACCTTTTAATGTTCCAAATGGAAATGATGGATTGCCTTGAAGAAATCCTCTATCCCTCCAAAATCTAAATCGTCTCTTAACCCATAAATAGGAAAGAGTAAACAGCACGATAAAAATCGATAAAAATTGAATATTCATTTCAGGTGTTCCTTGATCAACGACAAATATGAAACTAAGTGACTTTACTGTTTATGAAACTGACAGTATTTAAAGTCAAGCTAAGATTAAATTAAAGTGTTTTGTTATCAGCAATTTTTATATCAACTAATACAGTCATTTTGAAATTTAAGATTTACTTTTAAGTATGGCTTTATCAGTGGCGAAGAATGAGTTTTTGAGGGGCCAAGAAATGTCAAGTCAGAATTTTTATACCTTCATGAAAAATAAAGTTTAAATAAACAGTTCTTCAATCAGTTTTTTTTTGTATGAATAAACGAGTCTATGATTCTGACAAAGGCCTCATTAGAAATCTTTCAATAGAGGAAGTTTGGAACTTTTATGGCAACCCCTCAATACACCACTGCTTTTATTTCAATTCAGATGAAGATATAATAAAATAATAATAATAATAATAATTCTAATAATCATTTTTTTTATCTCTCAATTATGGGATATTTTTATTGTTATGTTGTTTTTAATGCCCATATCGGGAAAATATTTTTAAAAAAGGAAAATTTATAAAAAGATAAAAAGCTTCGATAAATTCAGAGTAAATAAGAACATTTATTCAAGTACTGGTGATTCTTGGTTTAAGTAAGTATTAAAATAATTAAATTCTCTTAACATGCAGCCATATTTTATCAGCTGATTCCAAGAATAATGATGATGGGGTGAACCTCATCGGCACGACAGTTTTTTCACATGGTGAAAACTGAAAGTTCAGAATTAATTTAGCTAGTCCCATTTTTGACTGCATCATGCCAAATCGTCCTATTTTAAATTCAACAATCAATAAAAAAATATTAAACAAATAATAATATTTGCTTTACCTCCAATGCAACGTCTCGGTCCATCACCAAATGGCATGTAAGAACATTGAGGCCTCATCTTAACATTCTCTGATGTAAATCTTTCAGGATCAAAACTTTGGGGCTCAGGATAGTATTCAGGATCATAATGTAATGAATAAACATTAACATTAATATAAGTTCCTTTTGGAATCACCAAATCTGTATCCGGAATATTAAAATCCTTGTTACAAACTCTATTTAGAAAATATGCTGGTGGATATTTTCTCAATGCTTCATTAGCTACCATTTCAAGATAATCTAATCTGTTGACTAATTCATATGTAATTTTTCCATCATTTTCTTCAAGTGCTTGTCTAACTTCATCTCTTGCACGCTGTTGAATGTCAGGATTAAGAGCTAGCTCATATAATGCGAAGCTAATTAAACTGCTGGATGTCTCAAAACCTAAGAGATTAAAGATTCGACACTAATCCATTACAAACTTCATCTCATTCACTTTCTTTCTTTTTCTACTGCCGAACTCACAAAACAAGTTCAATGTTAACTTTCTTCACATGTTGCACTTTTTCCATGAAGTTTGCACGTTACATAACGAATGTGCTTGAAAACGTGTAGAAATTATGTAAGTGTTGCAGACTTACCTCCTAAGAAGAATATAAAACTCTCAGCAGCAAGCTCATCAACAGTCAATGTTGAACTCTTTTTAAGTTCCAATAAAATTTGTAGAAAGTCTTTGCGATAAGAATCCGTCCGTTCTCTTTGTTCAATATTTTTACGGAATGTATTGTAGAAGAAGTCAATGACATTCGGTTTGTTTGCTGTAAGATGCAATTTTCTCGACAAATCCGGAAATGAGCATGTAAATTGGAATTTAAGAAAATCGTATGGTGTAAAGTCTAACATATCTTTTCCATATTTCCGCATTTCTGATTCTGGATTGTTTAGGCAATTGCTGTCTAAGCCAAATGCGACATTCGATATAACGTCAGTTGTAAATCGTGCAACTATTTCATGCATTTCCGTTTCTGCTGATGAATTTATCGATTTGTCTAAAGTCACAACCAGCTGATTGCTGATGTTCTGAATGGTATCGAACATAAGTTTCATTTTTCCGGATGTAAATGTTGGCGTTAGTTTCGCTCTGCGATCTCGCCATTCACTTCCTGTTAAAGAAAAAAATTATTTTGGTGCCAGAATTTTTTGATGGATTACCTTGAAGTGCTAGCAAATGAACTGATATTGGGTCGTCTCGCTAAATTATTGGGAATATCATTTTTTTTTTGTTTCTGGTCTATTTGACTAATTTGAGATTGCATACCTGATTATAATAAAGATACCGATCATGAAAAGTATCAAAATTTTGGATCATGACGTGCTTAATTACATCCGGATCTATGACCAACAATACAGGCTTCACAAAACTGTACAATCCCACAACTTTTGCCTTCCCTTTGAATTTTTGATAAAATTCATCCAAACCGCTACACAGTGGCTTTTCTGTTCCTATTCCTTTAAATGATCCATAAGGAAATTCCAACTTTATATATTCGAATCCTAAATTTTTCCAATAATTTTTACGATTTTTGATCCAAAAATAAATGTAAGTGAAAAAAGTGAGAAGACAGAGTATAAACAAATTCATTGCTCTGCACTTTTTACTTCCAATTGGTTTGGTTGTTTAAAAGAAACTAAAATTGCATTAGAAAAATAAAACAAGACATTGCTGCTGTGCAGAAAACTTTCTCTTTTTGCCATTTATTTATAAACACCTTAAAAATGCACAAAAGAATTAAAAACAGGTTTCAAGATCGAGTGTCTTATTTTAATAATTTTAATGACAAGAATATGTCAGATTTAGGTGTCATGAATGGTGATGAGAGGTTGTACTTCATTGGAATTTCAGTCTTTTCACACGTTGAAAATTCAAAATTTGAAATAAGCTTTGCGATGGCAATTTTCACTTGCATCTGTGCGAATCTACAACAACAAAAAAAAAAACAAAAGTATATACTATGAATCATACAGTTCATTGATCTTACCTCATGCCGACGCATATTCTCTGTCCTTCACCTTCAAAAAAGTAAACGAAAATTTGCGATAAGTCAACAACTTGTAAATCATTTTGATAAATAGACAAGGCTTTAATATTGCTTGAACTTAAACTTACCAAAAGGCAAATAAGTGAATGCTGGTCTCATCTTTATGTTCTCTTCTGTAAATCGTTCTGGATCAAATGCTGACGGGTTTGGATAGTATGATGGATCGTGATGATATGACAAAGCTGGTATATTAACCATAGTTCCTTTTGGAATTTCTAGCAATGTGTTTGGTATTTTGTAATTTTCTGTGCATCTTCTCAATGACATTGGAATTACTGGATATTTTCTGAGAGTTTCAGATATAACCATGTTTAAGTATTTCATGTCTGTTAAAGTGTCATATGTCAAGCCTCCTTCATTGCTGAAAACTTCGTCAACTTCTTCCCTCAACTGACTCTGTATGTCTTTATTTTGAGATAATTCGTAGAGACAGTAAGTAATTGTTGATGAAGTTGTTTCAAATCCTCCTCCAAAAAATGCAAAGCTTTCAGAAGCCAGTTCCTTCAAATCAATCTCTTGTCCTTCTTTACTGTTTTTTAAATCAATCAATATTTGTAAAAAGTCATTTCGTCGGATATTATTTTCCTCTCTGTATGTTACAGTGTCTATAAATAGTTTGAGAAAGTATCCTGATGCTTCCTGGTTTGTGGCTTTAATACCCAAAGAGAATGCTAATTCTGGGAACTGAGAAGTCAAGAAGAATCGTGTGATTCTTATTATATTCATTTTAAATATTTTCTTTCCATATTTCCTTATTTCAGAATCTGGATCTGCTAGGCCTACAAAACATTTTTATAGAAAGCAAGATTAAAATTTCAAAACGTTTCAACATACAATTGCTTTCGATTCCAAATGCAATATTTGATATGATATCAGTTGAATACAATGCGACTGTCTCACTTATGTTTGCCTCCGATGTTTTCGAGAATTTGTCAACTAAATTATCAGTGATTCCAGATATAATATCAAACATTAACTTGATTTTTCCTGAACTGAACGTTGGCGTTATTTTCATTCGTTTTGGCTTCCAGTCATCAATTTTCATGGTCAGCTGTGGATCAAATAAATAATTTGTTTTAAGCAGTTTATTGCAAGCAGCAAAGCAATAAGCATGTTTAAAAAATTGTGCAAAGATCTTTTACCAAATTATGACTTAACGGATCTGAGATCTTATTTGAGTACATTCCACGATCAGAAAAATATTGGAAATCTTTAACAAGAATTAACTTTGCAAGCTCTGGATTAATGATAACCATTGCTGGATTTGTGAAGAAATAAATTCCAACGAAATCTTCTTTTTCTCTGAATTCATCATAAACTTGTTTTAACGAATCTGCAATGCTTCTTGTTCTTCCAACTCCTGCAATATTTCCAAATAAAAAAGTTGGTTTTGCAGTTGGAATTCCGCGATTTGTCCAAAAATCATATCGATATTTGATATAAACATACAAAAATATTAAAGTCACTATTGCCAAGGTCAAAAACATTATTTTTGTTTTGGAAAGAACGCGAGAGAATCAACAATGTCAAAATCCGACAATAGACTGAGAGTTTCTGTGAGAATGAATGTACTTTTGTATTCAATAATATTTGGAAGTGTCTTTGTATTTTTGTTTTCGATTTATTATCTTTGTGTTGGCAAATATTACGTGTTGATGTCTGAAATTGAAATTACGCAATGTTTTGACTGTATGGAATGTTTATAGTCGTGCTTCATGGAAACAGATACTCGTGGACAATTATATTAGATTATTATCATTTTTTGGAAATATGGAATTAGATATTGATGTATGTCAACCATAATAATGCCTTTTTGTATTTAATATTGTTCCATTGTGGATTGAGTATTATTGTTTGTATAATAAATTATACTGAACACTTAACAACTTCAATATACTATATTTAGTTCCAAAACCTTTTCAGAGTAAATCTCTGATTTAGAATATTTATGCTGTAATTGATGCAACTTGTGATAAGCAATTTAATTTTCCATGTTCTTTACAAAATTAAAATTTCTAAGATTTCCTTATTTCCATTTTCTATTTTTACAGAACACGGTAGATAAGTTAGTACAAAGAGCAAATGCATCTATTCTTATCGGTACATCATCATGGAAAGAGCAATTTGTTGAAGCATTAACAGTAAATCCAGGTAAAGACTATTACCAATATTGTAAAATTCAATCAGTTCTGTTAACATTATAATAAAATTGAATTTCTATGTCAATATCAAAGGTGATGATGATGGTGGCGATGAAGATGGAAATGATGACGAACCTCCATCTCCAAGTTGTATGGATTATATTATGCACTTCCTCACACTCTTCTGGAAAATTATTTTTGCATTCATACCGCCAACAGGTAAGATAATGATGATGATAAGGACATTTAATGAGGGCTGCATGAGGCTTTCTCGGGCTTTCTGTGCTGCATGAAACAGAATGAAATTTTAAGAGAAGATCAGTAAAGATTAAAAAAAAATTAATATGCTTCATTTAATATCTTTAAGTTGAGACTGGTTGTATGGTATCCGTATTTCACAATAAACTGTTCACAGTTCGAATTTTACAGTCCACAGGATATAATACAATAATTTATTGAGCTTGATAGAAATTTTTTCTATTACATTCCTCAACAGATATATTTCATATCTGACGAAGCTTTTTATATAGAAATAAAATATTAAAAACTTTTGCATTGAAAAAAAAAATGATTTTGTGGGATTGACATGCATTCAAAATATCCTTTATATTGATAATATGTATATGACCTGACATGGTTTTATCTTTTTCAGACTTTTATGGTGGCTACTTGTGCTTTGTAGTATCTATTTTATGCATTGGTATTGTGACGGCAATTATTGGTGACGTCGCATCACATTTCGGCTGCACACTAGGTATTAAGGATTCGGTTACTGCCATTGTGTTTGTTGCTTTGGGAACGAGTATTCCAGGTATGGACTTGATGCTTTAAATTGTAAGATCTACTAGCTTAATAAACTTCATCTTATTTCAGATACGTTTGCTAGTAAAGTGGCAGCAATTCAAGATAAATATGCAGATGCTAGTGTGGGAAATGTGACGGGAAGTAACGCTGTCAATGTCTTTTTGGGTATCGGTTTGGCATGGACCATGGCTGCTATCTATCATAGAATGAACGGTGATGTTTTCCGTGTTGAGACTGGAAAGTAAGTTTGTATAAAATTATCTGCTGACCATTAGCATATAATAAATAAATTTACTTTTATTTCTATTTAGTTTGGCATTCTCAGTCACACTCTTCTGTTCGGAGGCATGTATTGCCATTCTTATTCTATTGGTACGTAGAAGTAAAGCAGTTGGTGGTGAACTCGGTGGACCACGCTTTTATAAATACATTACTGCAACAGCACTTATAGGATTATGGCTTATTTACCTCATTGCAAGCAGTTTAGAGGCCTACGGTGTCATTAAAGTTGGCAAAAATGCGTAAAATGAAGGAAGAGTTTTAGCATAAAAATTTTTAGAAGATTTTTTGCGAGTTTTTTTGATATTTTCTTATTGAATATATATTTAAGTGAGATAAAGAAAACGTTGTTGACAATTTTGTCCTCCAAATCCGTAGCTATGCCTACCTTTTTTTTAATGACAAGTATATGAAAATTTCCACCCTAGTTTTGGCTTTATCCTTCAACCAGATAATCGTATGTGGAAAACTTACGATTAGATTTTTAATTTCCTGTATTGAATGCAGTATATTTTAATTCTTTTTGCAAGCTAACCACAATCTGGTTCCTAAAAGTCCTTAATTTTGTTACCTACCGATTAAGAACCTTTCATTTTTAGATAATTTTAAATTACTCGAGTGAAAAAAAAAACTTATAAAGAAAATAAAATTGTGAACTAAAAGAATATAATAATATAAAAATTATTTTAGACCATATCGATAAAGAATGTTAAAAATGTATGAAAAATGAAAGAAATCTTCCTTAAAAAATTAACATTTAAATTTCCCATTTTGTTTTTTTTTTTGAAGAATTAATAAAATAAAAAGAACCAAGAGATCCAAGATCCAAAAAAAAGAAGTCGAACAATTTTTCAATGATAGTAGAAATGAAACAATTTTTTGTACGGATTGTAGGGAATAGAAAATTGAACTTAACAAAATATTTAATTGTAGAAATTCATCATGATTTATTTAAAATTGTCATGTGTGGTTGATGGAGTAAGTTGGAAACCTAGGATTGCAATCCAACCAAATTGCAACTCTAAGATCAAAAGCTACCCAAAAGCTAGCACATGACTTCAAAATTCTATTACATGATAAAACTTTTAAACTCTTTACGCGTCTTAATCTATATAATCATGTCTTACTGTCGTTAAATAAGTTTAAACTCCATAAAGAAACGCCAATTTAAATATGTGTCTTGCCTATAATAAATGAGATATAAAAAATGTGTAAATAAAATTGTTTTAAAAAAGAAGTAAATGAAATGGAAACAGTTAAGAAACGTCCAATAGTGAGACTTAATTACATTGAAAAAAATCCTGTCATGCGCCTATTTTTATTTTCTTCCTTTCTTATTTTTCTTCATGAATTAATTGATAAATTTTCTATTATTTAGTAAGTATGGATTCAATATACAATTATTAATATATATAAATATATATATTTGAGATTTCTAGTCGTAAATATTTTTAAAAGTTTCATTTTTGGTTCATGTTTTTTTTTAATTTAAAAAAAAAAGAGAATTTGTTCAATGGAAAATCTGGTCATAGTTCAGTTCCAATTAAGATTGCAGACCATCGTTATTGCTTATTTATCTTAATTGATGGCGAGAAAAGCCAATCCTAATTGAATGTGTTCAAAAAAAAATATACTCAATTAGCACATAAGCAGAGTTTTTGGAATTAATTATCTGTGCTGGATGTTAAACCTAAATTATCAACAATTTTCATGAACAAATTCTCTAATTCAAAATTTTTTTTTTAAATATTTTATAAGAAATATCATTTTTATGTAGCAATCCTGAGTGCAATGTTATTATAAATATTCCAACCGACAGCTGAATATGCGACAATCTAGTATGTCGGAAATGGAATGTATCTTATGATTACTAAACTCTTGGGGAAAACCAACGAATTATTATTGTGGATTCGAATAATTCATGGAATTTTAGAATATAAAGCTATTAAGTAGTTATTAAAATAAATAAGGATGCGAAACATTACGCACGATTGATTGATATTGATACTGAAAGATTGATTAGTCTAGAGCTGGTTTCATTATAAACTCTAAGGAAACATTATTTGAATTGTCTTAGTAAGTTAAACTTAAAACAACAAGAATGTAGGAATGCAGAAAATGAATAAAAAAATCATTTCTAATTTAAAGTTAGAACCTTCAATAATCCATTCAATTACCAATGATTTCCGTTTTCAAATGCATTTTTCTGGTTTTTATGGATAAAAATTCTAACAATTCGCTCTAATATCAATCTTATTTGGGGTCGTTTAACTACGACACAAAGAAATGGTATCATAGTTTGACCCTAAAATCATAATGAACAACAAATCAATCAACAATAAAGATGTAAAAAATTAGATAGTAACCCCTTTAAATTGAGGAACCAAAAATAATTTTTTTTTCATATCTTTAAAAAATTTGAATAATTTTGTCAAAAAACTTAGTTCATTTAAGTAATAAAACCTACAAAAATTTGACGATGTATTCAAGAAAGGAACCAAAACTTTTCGAAAGTATGCAAATTAATTTTACCATCTTTTAAGGTATTAAATTAACATTACGAAGTTACTTTAAAAGCTAGGCCAAAAACCAAGAAATCAAATGACAATTTACTTCTAATATTCAATCCGTTGCTTTCAAAATTATTTATGATTTTATTTTTGCTCTTGACTGCTGCAGATTGATTTTTAATGTTGATGGTAAAGTGTGTTGTTCAGTTGTGATCAGTTTGCAGCAGTTTAAAATTGAACTAGAAAGAGAAGCCAAACTATGAAATTTCATTAAATTGACTTTTAGTTGGGATTTACAACTTCAGAATAAATTCAGCCATTGAAATGGGAAAATTATTTAAGAACAAACCCTTTTTAAAATATGAAAGTTTCTTCAACTAATTCAATGGTATCAAATTTCGCTCCTTAGTTCTTCGATAATCAAGATTCTTTTCTAATTGTTTAAATCGACATAAGTAAGGTAACATTTATTATGACAAAAAGAACCAAAGATGATGAAATTAAAATGTAGCTTAAATGAAACTTTTTTGGAAGTAAATCAGAAGATAAAAAATTAAAAATAAAAATGAGATGAAAGTAGAGAGTTTTGTAAGAATACAAAAAAAGAATGTAATTTGGATGATGAAAACACTGCCTAATAATTTTTCTTATTCTACGTTCTCTTATATCCTTAACTCTTGTATTCATTCATCATGTAATCGATTATAGCTACACTACTTAGAGATCCTTCTATTTCACAAACAAAAAAAAATCTTTTTATATCTCTACATACTTAAATCCTTCTTCTTTATCTTTGTATCTTGTATTATGAAAGAAATATAATTAAAATTAAATTCGAAACGCCCCTAATCCTTTCCTTTATCTCATCTCTAAGAAACTTAATTAAATAGATCATTGGAAAATATTTATTAACGAATGAATACAGTTCTACGAACTCATGTACATCATCTAATCATTCAAAATTTTAGAAATATTATAAAAATTGAGATTGTGCTTTTGAAAATGATTTGGGATACAGTCTTTAATTTTCTGCTAAGATTTTTTTTTTTTTGATTTAATACAAGGAAATATATCAGATCAGTCATTCAAATGATTTGGGTTTTCAGATTACTTTAGGTAACTCGTACTTTACTAGTAATACTTAATCAAGTCTATCTTATGTCCCCAAAAATTCAAAATATTGAAAACTATATCCCAAAACAAAAATTCAAAAGCACACGTTTTAACAAGAAAAATGTCTTCAATATAATCTATCCTGTATCAAACTGTAGGTAAACTCTTTAAAAATTTGAAAATATTAAGAACAAAAAAAAAATTGAAAATTGTTAGTAGTTTATTGTAAAATTGATGAAAAATGAAGAAAAATGGAAAAAATTATCAAAATAGGAATAAGTGAAATAATAATAATGATAATAATTTTATTTTTTGATGAAAAAATTTAAGGAGAGATTAAATACAATTTTTAATTTTTTTCTGTAACAAGAAAGCAGCAATTTGAAGGAAAACAAAAATTAATGATATTTTTATTAACTCAATTTTTGTTGGAAGGATATCATCGTGGATGTCCTCAACGCAAGCTTTGGTTGAATAGCTTTGAAAAATAAGTAATTAAAAATTAAAAATGAGTGACTCGAGCGGCTTTAGAAATTGATTTGGAGAGTAATTCACACAAGATTTTAATTATTTATGGATAATTGGTTCCTAAACTTAAAATTTAACAAAACCTTTATAGAAACATCTCCAAATCATTCTAAAAGTCTGGTCGAGAGTCCTCATCTACGATTGTTTTTACTTCTTTTTAAGGAAATTATAGTGGAATTTCTCCTATCCTCAAAGAAAAAAAAAGTTTTACTCAATCCGCCAATAAATATATTTATCCTCTTACAACTCTACATAATAATGAAAAAAAAAAAACGTATATAAATGTTAAAAAGTAATAATTTTTTTTTTGCAAACAAAACTTTATTTTGATAAAAGACAAAAAAGTTTTTCAAATGCTTAAAAAAACGTGGAAAATCATGAGCATAAATTAGCTAGTAAAGAAACTTAAAAAATTTCTGTTTGCAAAAAGATAAAGAATGGGAGATAAACTATTGTTATTATTATCATTGAACATATAAAATGAAAAACTATTATATTATATGGAAAAAGGCAACAGAAAAACGCAATGAAAAGATTATGTTTAAACATTTTATCAAATGTTTTTAGTTTTTATCAAAATGAATTCAAATAAAATGCCACAAAATAAAAAAAAACGAACATTCTTGGGTTTTTTTCAGCTCTTTTCTTCTTATTGTAGCAATTTTTGTCTTTCAGCTTTCATTAATTCAATTTTTAAAGTCATTTTATATTTAAAATTTCATATTCTATCTGTTAACATTTTTAAGGTTTACTGAGTATAAAGCACGTTTCGTATTTAAGCAGTCTCTCCATTTCACTACTAACCATGCTGTCTATTTAGATTTTTTGTCAGTAGCGATAGTAATTTAAGACAGTGTGTAAATAGTAATTTTTTAGCGCATTTTTGAAACTTGTTTCTAAAAGGTAGCTTAATAATTCACTTTGTTCGGCTGCTGGTTCGGGTGAAGAAAAACTTTTTAACCAGGCATCGTAGAGAGCTCGGGTTTGTTTTATTAGCTCAGTTCTATCGAGTTATTGGCCGATTGAATATTTTTGAAGCATAAAACAATGGCTTTTTGCTATAATTAATGATTTTTTATTTCAGTACTGTGCAACCTGTTCAAATTCAAGACCTCTAGAATTTCAACATTACCTCTATCGGCCTGTTTCACTAAAGTCGATTATCCTCGATTTAGGACTATCCACTTAAGTTTTTTGGAAATATCTCCAGACACTTAAGATTTTTAAGAGATCTAATGTGTGATCTAGTTAGAGTATTTTGCTACTTAAATTAACATATACTTAGAATTTTTATATCTTCATTAGTTTGAGAATTATAGCAAAAATCGAAGTTAATCTACTAGATTTGGCTGGAAATTGAAAAATTAATAGTTCTTAACGAAAAGCAAAAGTTTAAAGTGTACAGAAATTTCAGGCATAGTTCACTCTATTTAATCCAAAATTAAAAATACAATACCTTCCATAAAGTTTAAGATATTTGCAAAAAACTGAAGAGGATAATCCGAAATCGAACATAATCCACTTTAGTGAAACAGGCCGCATGATTTCAAATATTTATTTATTTTTTTTTTTTTTTTGATAATGATTTTTTATTTCATTTTAATTGCACTTTATTGCATTTATTGACGACATACTGTCCGGTAATAATTCACATTTTACACTTTTGTATTTGTATACATACAGTAGCGTGCAGAATATTATGGACGGTCAAAAAAATTTCGTTTTTATTCTCAAAAGCATACTTAACGTTGTCCAATTTAGATGAAATTTTCACCACTTATACTGTTTTTCATGTGCTTTCACATGATAAAATATAAATATGCTATAGTTAATAATTTTTGAAAAAACCGTTAAAATTCAAAATCAGGTGCGTGCAAAATATTATGGACGATTCTTTTTTGGTAATTTTTTTTATGTTTAAGCTATTTAAGCTTACTTTTTAAACTTTAAACATGAAGTTCAAACATTTTACTCCAATTTTATACATTCTTAATGGATGTGTAGCAAGTTTAAGGCATAAAAAAATCATGATGAAAAATTATGCAAATATTTTACTATTTTTGTTACTTTTCATCAATAGCAAGCATTAATATCGGTTATTTTAGACTGTAATGTATTGAATTCTTAACTATCTTTCTATTGATATATAATTTGTCTGTATTAATATAGTCTAAATGAAAAAAATTACGAAAAAAGTTCATTGAAGAGGGAAAAATTTCATCAACAAAAATATAAATTGATTAAAATTTCTTAAATATCCATGAAATATTACCCAATTTAGTCTTATTTTCTCACATTTATGTTGTAGATTAGTAATTGAGCAGTTATAAATTTATATTTTGAGTAATAAAGTCATAAAAAGAGAGCCTTCTGTATGACCAAAAGAAAATTTTAAAGACGAAAAAAATATTTGTCATTAAACTTTTAAATATGCATTTTTCTCTCTTGTTTTTGGCTTAAATAGTTGGCAAAGAGTATTTTGAGTTGTTTTTAATTGATTTACATAAATTTATACTGCATAAAATGTAAAAAATATTATGAAATATTTTTCAAGTTTCAACATGACTTTTTTCATAGTATTGGCTCATAAAAATATATCTTATCGTGCAATATTAAAATGTAATTCTACCTAATTACTAATCTACAACATATATGTGAGAAAATAAGACTAAATTGGGTAATATTTCATGGATATTTAAGAAATTTTAATCAATTTATATTTTTGTTGATGAAATTTTTCCCTCTTCAATGAACTTTTTTCGTAATTTTTTTCATTTAGACTATATTAATACAGACAAATTATATATCAATAGAAAGATAGTTAAGAATTCAATACATTACAGTCTAAAATAACCGATATTAATGCTTGCTATTGATGAAAAGTAACAAAAATAGTAAAATATTTGCATAATTTTTCATCATGATTTTTTTATGCCTTAAACTTGCTACACATCCATTAAGAATGTATAAAATTGGAGTAAAATGTTTGAACTTCATGTTTAAAGTTTAAAAAGTAAGCTTAAATAGCTTAAACATAAAAAAAATTACCAAAAAAGAATCGTCCATAATATTTTGCACGCACCTGATTTTGAATTTTAACGGTTTTTTCAAAAATTATTAACTATAGCATATTTATATTTTATCATGTGAAAGCACATGAAAAACAGTATAAGTGGTGAAAATTTCATCTAAATTGGACAACGTTAAGTATGCTTTTGAGAATAAAAACGAAATTTTTTTGACCGTCCATAATATTCTGCACGCTACTGTATGAATTAATATTATGTAGGATCAAACTTCTAATCTTCAAATCTAGGTTTCAAAAAAAAATAAGGCTCTTGTTTCGATCTTCTGTAGGCGTGACGTGATACTTTTCAGGTCCGTTCTAACAATATTACATTCGTGGGTAATCTTGTAGATCACGTTCTTATTTCTCCCGCTACACTTCAAGTTCCTGACCCGTTCCTTAATCCAACGTTGCCCAAATACCAAATTATGGCTTGATCTCCTACATTAAGCAGTCGAAGTATCTAAACTTCCGAAAAAGAACAAATTTGGAAATGGCTGGAATCGAACCAACGACCTTCGAGTTACCATCCCAAATTTGAGCCAAGCGCCTTACCTATTCGACCAGCAAGGCACTTAACTGCTTATTGACCGCAAATACTGATCGCTTTGTCAAAAATGCGCTGAAGTCCCTCGATCAATAACACGAGGACTTTTGTAATTTTTTACTTCAAGGTGTAGGAATTTTTCAAATTTTTCGTAACGGTGAAAACTCAAAAAGATAACAGCTTTTAAAAATTCAAATATCAAAGAGTAGGAATCTTCGGTTTTTGTTTTGTTATTATTAAAAATCACTTAAAAAAGTGACAATAAAAATCATTTCGAGCATGAAGATTAATGAAAAAACTGTTTATGTATTCGCATCCAGTAAGCCAGTCGATAGAGAAGGCTTTTTAAACAAAAGAGGAGATGGTAGGTATCAAAAATAGTTGCCAATAATGAAATTGCGTAGAATTGGAAAGTTTAAAAAATAATTGAATTTCTTAATTATAGTGAATAAAGCGTTCCAAAGAAGATGGTTTGTCCTGAAAAACAACTTACTGTTTTATTATGAGAAGAAGGGTAGTTTAGAGCCATTAGGAATGGTCATACTAGAAGGATGTGTGATTGAATTAGCTGATAACGAAGAAGAAAAATACTGTTTTACAATTAACTTTCCTGGAAATCGATGTTATATCTTAGCTGCAGAGGATCATGATTCTATGGAGTTATGGATGAAAGCATTGACTACATCTAGTTACGATTATATGAGATTAATGATTTGTGAGCTACAAAGACAATTAGCTGAGATTGACTCAACGTCTCAGTCTTCAAATGACGACGAACAATCAATGTCTGTTTCTAAACCTTATACACGAAGACAAAATCCATTCAATAAGAAATCAGGTAATTTCATTAACATTACATGCTATAACAATGACATTGATGAGTCATATTGTAGAGATTGAGGGACAATTGACAAGCAAGCAACAGGTTGCAACAATATCTGATGGTAAATACGTCGAATTAAGGCCAGCTCCACCCCCGCCAATTATAAATCGAGATACAGCAAGAAATACGACAATTAGAGATGACAATGAGTTATTGATCTTTGATAAAACTGAACCAGATGATGACTTTGGCTTTTTATTCGTTCACGATTACTTTGGGGAATCATGGAAGCAATTAATTCAAGCGAAACTTGAGGAAAAGGAAAAAGCCGAACAGCCTCTAATCGTCCTTTAAGTAAATAAATGTGTCAAATTATATGTATGTATGTTAATTTATTTATTCTTAATACAATCAAAACTTTTGTAGACTATCACGAGTCTATACAATGAATAATGCCACTTCCTGTTTTGCATCCATTCGCTTACAAATGGTTTAGCTTGATTTGTCGACTAAAATTAAATTTCAACGGGTTTTCTGAATTTAAATTTAATTATTTGAACCGGTTCAATTGAATCTTGTTCAATGATTTATAATGTTAATTTATTGTTCCTGAACAAAAGACTTTTCTCTATTATTTAACTCTGAAGAATTTTTACGTAGCAGACGGGGTGATGAAGAAAAAGAAAGGAATTAAAACAAGGCAAGAAAAAGAAGAAGTTGGAAACTTTTAATTTTTTTTATTTGAGTGAGCTGAAGTGGCTCGGTGGCGGAATGGTTTAGTACTTCGGTACCTAATTATTGCAATACCGACACAGCGATCATGGGTTCGAGACTGGGTATGAGAAATTTTTCACTTGTTCTTTTTCGAATCATATGTACTGGAAATGAGGCTCACAGCCTTCCTTTGTAGGCTACAGACAGAAATGTCATCAAAGGAGTGGTTCGGATCCCACTATAAATTGTAGGTCTAGGTTTGAGTGCAGTGGTTTGGCGCATCCTCACTCGTTAAACTCTCATTAGCTGCGAATCGCCCTAGCGCACCTCTGGATCACAATTGATCTGAATAGGTAAAGGTTTTTTTTTTTTTTTTTTTTTTTTTTTTAATTTATTGATTTCACATTGGGGCCGTTCAGTAATTATGTTACGCAAAAAAACGACTTTTTTCATCTCCCCTCCCCCCCTTGTTACAATATGTTACAACTCACAACCCACCCACCCCCCCCCCCCCCAAACGTTCATAATTTTTATCATTAAAAAGGTGAAAAATTTGAACTATCTTTAATCTAGTAACTTTAGTTTTATGAACTCTAGTCTTATTAAAATCTATTCTGACCTGTTACATCCTGATAAATTCACTAAATGCATAACGCTTTTGAAAAATTTGAATTTAACTTAGCGCGCTTTTAACGCCAGATCAATTTTTGTTTATAAAATTTTCTGGAAATTGCAGAATGTTAATTTATTTCAATTTATAGTAAATTAGGGTATTTATAAATAAAATATGCTTCCGTCAACGGGTCTATTTAGAAAGATAAGCTGTCCATACTTCGAGGAAGGCGAATGTGTGAGGCCTTTTTGTCATTTTCTTCATGCACCGAAAAAATGTAAGAATTTCATCAATTTTTGCAACTTTCAGCTTTACTCGTAACTTTATATTGTAGTGGAAACGACAAAACCAACATACCATGCAACACCTATAGATCCAAAACCAGAGGAAGTGAAGGTCAAGAAGAAATTAGAGTATTTGCCGATTCCAGGAACAGGAAAAAATAATATAGCTACTTATACCCCATCAATAATTAACAAAAATCGTGAAATTTATGATCCAGTAGTGTCAAATAATTCGTCATCTATATCCTATATACCGTCAAAAATAGATGAAATCAAAAATGATGAAAATAAGGAAACGATTATTGAGAAAATGGAAGTTGACAAAGAACCAGTAATAAAAGTAAGCAATAATGAAGAGAATGTTGAAAGTAAGTCATCAAATATCTCTTCTAAGCATCACTCAAGTTCATCGCTTAAGAAATCATCTAAAGATCATCATAAAAGTAGTCACAAAAGCTCTCACAAAGATTCAAAAAGTTCCAGTTCATCTCATAGGCATAAGTCTTCACATAAATCATCAAGTAGGGACAAATCATCATCCGATAGAGATAAATCATCGTCAGACAAAGATAAAACATCATCACATAGGGATAAATCGTCATCAAAGCACGAAAAATCATCAAGTTCAAGTAGTAAGCATAAATCATCAAGTTCTAGCCGACATAAATCCTCAACTAGTTCCAGTAGTCGCCACAAATCAAGTCATAAAGATCACAAAGATAAAGTAAAGGATAAGGATGAGAAAAAAGACAGAAAAAGAAAGGCTGAAGAACCAGAAATTCAAAGCATTGTGGAGAATGTAGACGTTCCAGTGAGTGACGACGACGCAGATGATATTGAAGATCAATGTAGAATGATATTTGAAAGTTATGAAGCACCGGCAACAAGTAGCAAAGAAATTATTCAGCCACAAAAACCACCACAGCAAGATCAGAACGAGGAACTGCATTTTGAAGTTAAAAAACGACAAGCACATGATAATGCAGTAAATGTTAACAGACCAACACAAGGAACACGACAAAATCATGTCCAATCAGCAATGCTGACTGCACAGAAAAGGCAGGATGTAGCATTACAGAAATTAATCATGGAAAAGAAGGCAAAAGAGATAGAAATAGCAAAAATAGAAAATGAAATAAAGCAACAAGAAGAAGCTATGGCTCCTCCATCCCCACCAAAAACTTTGACACCATTATTGAATCCTTTAATCCTTATCCGTCCACCTCCTTCAAAACGTCCATCAATATCACCTATAAGTCACAGAATGGCAATAGAAGCTGCAAAACGAAAAGTTATGGAATTAAATAAAGGAATGCAGCAACAATCATCCACGCCAGCGCAAACTGCTGCAAAATCAGCTAGAGTTGCACACAAACCGACAAATGTCAATGACCTTGATATGACTAAATTAGCACCTCCAATACTCGAAGCTCATAATACCAAAATATCCTGTAATGTTCGTACGCAAATGTATAAAATGATGGTTAATCATTGCGTAGAAATTTACACTTTACCTGCTGATGCCTTTGAAAGAGCACAACATGAAGAGCATCAAGTCTTTAAGAAATGCTCAATTGTTCCTACATACAAGACTAGTGCTATGTTAGCAATTAATCGATTAAAAAAGGAAGCTGAAGCTGCTTCATCAAAGAAGATCCAAAAAGTAGTGTCACATGACGTTATGCTTGGTGGGGCTATTGGATCGAGAGTTTCGTGGTCTATGAATAATAAAATTAAAGTTGGCGAATCAGAGTCATCGCTACTGACAATTGATAACTGTTCAAGTTCTCAAGCTTACGATCTCATATCTGAATGTCTGCTTAGTGAGGATCAATTGCGTGAAAATGGATTTCCACGATCAGGTGTTCAAAGAGGACAGGCACAGTTTTATGTGCCGAAAAAGGCAAGGCCACAAAATGGCAAGGAAGGTGAGCTTTTTAAAAATTCAAATTGAACCGATTATTTTTCAAAAGTATTAATTCCGTTACTAATTTAAATTAATTCTTGAAAATTTCAGGCGAATATTATTGTGCTCGATGTCATAATATGTATAATATTAATATTTATGATGAACATCACGTAGATTTATGCATTTATCATGCAAAAAGATCTGGATATAAACGTGGACATTCTGATAATTATTATTATTGCTGTCAATCGCCGGCTGGAACTACAGGGTGCTGTTATGCTGATTATCATGTTTTGGATTATGTTGATTATGATAATTCGTTTGGATATGTTACGACAATGGAAAAGGATGAAAATTATGTGTGCAGCAAAAAGGATATTTTTGCATTGGATTGTGAAATGTGTTATACAGTCTGTGGACTCGAACTTACTAGAATTACGATAGTTAATTATGAAGAAAAAGTGGTTTATGACAAATTTGTGCGTCCACAAAATCGAGTGATTGATTACAACACGAGATATTCAGGTATCACAGAAGCAACATTAAATACTCCCGACGCACTTACTTTACCAGAAGTTCAAGCTGTTCTGCTGTCAATGTTTCATTCACGGACCATACTCATAGGTCATTCATTGGAAAGTGATTTGAAAAGTCTTAAATTAATTCATAGTAATGTTGTTGATACGTCTGTCTTGTATCCTCACAAAATGGGACCACCGAAGAAACGAGCTTTGAAGACATTGTGTATTGAGCATTTAAAGAAAATCATTCAAGAAGACGGTAAGTTTAGTATTTTTAACGGTTTTTCAAGATTTAAATTGAACCGTTTTTATTTCAAAAATGAAAATCCCGCTATAAATTCAATCTTATTTTTGTACACTTTTAGAAGCTGGACACGACTCAGCTGAGGATTCGCTTGTCTGTATTCAACTCGTTAAATGCTATTTAAGGAACCGACTTGTCAATTAATGATATTATTTATTCAGTATGTGCATTCAATATGCAGATTAAATATAATTCGTAAAGTAAGTCCTGAGTTTTAGTCGAAGACCTCAACGCCTTTCTAGTATGCAGCTATTAATGAAGCAACAATCAATAAGGAAATAAATTAATTCATCGTATTAAAAATGAAGTATTTAATTTATTATTTCATTCTAGAAAAAAGCTGAAGTAACAATTTGCAATCCTAAGAAATAGAATTAAAGGAAATAACTCAATTCTAGTAATGTTACAGTACTCTTAATGCTACAAAAACTGGAATATCAAATTTCACACTTTTAATTTCTTTTTTGTGGCCTTAGGTTAGTCGAACAATGGAGCCACGATTCTCAAAAAGTCATCCTCAAATTCCTTCTCGGAAAATCGATCCACAGATGCTCTGTAAAGTAATTGGAATCAAAAATTGTGTGAATATGACAAAGTATTTTCGACAAAAAATTACAATCTTACCTTGCAGCCTTCCTAATCTTCTCATTTTGCTCATTTGTATTGTAAAGCACAGTCGCTAGACATCTCGCATAGTCCTCTGGATCCTCAGCAAGGAATCCAGTCTGACTGCCTTCAGATGTCTCAATAATATCCGTTTTTGGACCGCCTGAACGATTTGCAATCATAATAAGTCCAGCAGCCATTAGTTCTACAACACTAATACCGAAATGTTCATTCCACATTGCATGAATTCCAACTAAGGATTTTTGGTAACACTGAATTAGTTCCTGGTATGAGGCATTGACTTTAAATTCAACATGATCGTCAAGTGCTAAATGCTTGCTAAAATCTCTTAGATTCTTAACTCGCTCAGAATCTTCGTCATTTCTACAGGAACCGACAAAAATAAGCCGGACTCTATCCCAAAGTGCTTCATCAGTCTGCAAGTATGTCCTTAATTCATATAAACTTTGCAGGATTAAAGGATGATCCTTTTCAGGACGATACTGTCCAACAGACAATATATAAATATTTCCATCGCTGTTTGGTACATGCTGAATATCCTTTAAATGATTCACTTCACATGGTGGATAGACTCGATGAGTTCTTAATGGAATATTCCATATGTGATTAACATGATTTTCTGTCCATGTTGAATTGACCATGACTGTATTTGAGCATCTGCCAACCATGCCATAAAATGATGCATAAATTCTGTAATATGACAATTTAGCCCATGTAAAAAATGGATTCTTTGCAACATGACCTTTATTATTAAATGCTGTTTTTCGACTAGCTACACGTCTCAGCATGTCAGTGCTAATTGTTGGATAGTGCGTATAGCATGCAATTTTAGATCCACCAAGATATTTGAAAATTGGGTATGTAAAGGCATATCCCATTGTATCCATAAAAATATCAGGCTGGAACTTTAATAAAGCCTCAAATCCAACAATCATTGATCCTATGCTTTGTCCTAATAACGTAAATACTGGATATTTCTCAGCTTCAACCCATTTTCTTTGATTTAAGAAGATAAATTCTAGTCTGTCTGGATCTATAATTATATTAAAATTATTACGACATTTTGATAGTATTTGCTTTGGAGTCACGTCTGTATCTCCTGTGTATAGTAGAATCCTCGCGCCTTCATATCTACAAAAAATAGTATTGAGTCATTAAAAATGATGAAATTTATAAAAAGCTTAATTAATTTACTTATTCTGTAAAGCACGAATTGCACACCACAAAACTCTTTCTCCTCCACCGCCAGCATTACAATATAAGTGGAAAATGCCAACACATTGCTGTGAAGACTCAGCAAGTCGCTTATTTTTGGACTTACTGATAATTTGTTTTAAAATGATGACGATGAAAATTAGTCCGAAAATTAGAAAACTTCCAATAAATATGCCTATGTACACTAGACTTAATAACTTGCACGGACAGAATAACATTCTATAGCTGTTCTATCACACTAGATGACTGAATATTCATGTATCTACTTAATTAATTTTATTTTTAAGTTTTAAGATTTTCGGAAAATTTTATTTACTTTTTTGTAGCTGATTATTGTGAAAACTTTTTGAATTTTGACGGTTATAAACATGAATGTTTGTTTTTGTGATAAATTGTCAAAAAAGTATTTAATTAACTTCTCAAATTAATTATGATCAGTATAATTATCTTTCATAATGACCATAAAGATGCTTAAATAGTAAAGAAACCTACAGAAAGTTTTCATCCATAACGGTTTTTTGAAATTTGAAATACAAAAACTTTTTGAAGCCCTGATCCCTTTGTTTATATTCGCCAAATTGCTTCAGAAAAAAATAATAGTCCTTAAATAGGATGGATCTAGTTCGAACTGTAGTCGATGCAGTAATAGCATGTTTTAATTGTCGTGAAAATGACTCGAGATCAGGCGAACCAACAGAAAGAAGTGCACTTTTACAGCATAATGCAGATCAAAGAATATTGCAGGTACGAAGGATAAGTGAGAATCAACGGGTTGAGGTCGAATATGCCAATTCCTTTCCAACGAGAGAGAAAGATGAGCAGTCAGAGCTTGTAAAGATAGTGCAGGAAACAAACTCGTAAGTAAAACTTTTTTGAAGCTTGACTAAAGGTCAAGAAAAACATCCAGAACTGAAATATTGACATTGCTTATCGTCAAACATTTATATAGAAACATAATCGACGTAGCAGCATTAGACACACATCATATGCTAGAACAAAGTGAATATAATTGTCGTGTTAAGACTTATACTCAACGTTTAGCACAACAATGGAATACCATTCCAACAACAGAGACTAATTATAATGGCTTATTAAAGGATGTAGCTAATCCAGAACAGTTATTGACTACTAATCCTCCTACATCAGATGATGTTATTTCGGTAAGGCTTTGAATTGATTGATGTAAGTCCAATTTTAATTAACTTTATCGTTCAACAGGCTAGGGAATTTATCAAGGATATAGCACAAGCTATAAATGATATTAAGATAGATAATCATGAGGATCTTGTGGTGCCATTTCAAGTGACATGAAATCTGCAAAAGATTTAAAACAAATTTTTTCGGTTTTTCTTTTCTTTTTTCTTTCGTGCTGTTTACTCAAAAATTCTATTCTATTCAAGCTATAGACAACTCCATCATAACTTCTAAACTCTTTTTTTGTTTCGTTAAAGTTAGTGTAGTTAATTATTTACCAATCAAATTCTGTGCATATGTTAACAATGCAGATTATAAACTTTATGTCATAAATTATTCAAAACATTGTTTTTTTCGTTTTGTAAAAAAATATATGGTGCAAATTTGCAATAAAATGTCTTTAAGAAAACATTAATCATGCCATGTGCTGATTTGTTAATTATAGTGCGGATCTTAATTATGTGATAATGTTAAATTCTAGTGTTAAATACAGCTACAAATTGTAATTTTTATCTATCGTACTTAATCATAATCGACATGCAAGCTTGTGATTTTATATCACACGAACATGACTGACTAGAATGACTCATACGCTGTACAAAAGTAAAAACCTTACAAATGTGAAAATCAGGAATTTGTACTGTTCTCAAACACAATAGAATTTGTACGGCTCTGAAATATGTAAGGTCTAAACAAATGTCTACCGACCCTTCTTAGACGGGTTTTTCAAATTAAACATCTGATAAATCAAGTAGAATAGCTCCAAAATGCTCAAAACGGATGCTCCAAAGAATAATCCAATGATCCCACCGACTTGAACTTTGTGAAAATAAGAAAAGGTTAGAAAAATTGTAAAATTTACCAAAGATTTGGTGAGTAATCGAAATTTAACATAGACTCACCAATCATGTCCAATTTAGTAAAAGTCACTCGTCGAACGTATCTTAAAGTCGGCATGTTAACAACTTCAATCTTGACTGATCCAGTTGTTGTCGATCCAAATTTAAAGTCAGATTCTCCAACTTTAACAATTTCCATCGAAACACATGATGGAACTAAGCACTCACCAATATTCCTCTTAATTCCTTCTTCAGTCTTCATTTCCAAATTAGTTGCTGTCGCCAAGTCATGCAAGCATTGAAAATTAGTCACACCACATTCATTCATTGAATGATTAGAACTAAGTCCGAGTGGAAAAGTGCAATTGCATGTTTCGAGTTCGCGCTGTATGCGTTTTAAGTATCGGCAGTAATTAAGACTGTAAGGCAAGTTCAGTGTGTCGAATCTTTCAAATGGAAAGCGACATTCGCGTGCTTCAATGGATTCATATTTTACGTCATCCTGATTCAGAAATTCCGTTGTTTTTATCGCAAATTTTGTCATTCCTCCAATTTTACGTAAACCAACACTTTCTAACTTCCCATTTGGTAGTTCTTCGGGTGTGTGGATGAAGAGCTTATAAAGCAGGAAGTCATTTTCGCGGTAATGAAACTCAAATGAGCGTTCTCGATAGTCATTGTTGGAAAAACGCAACGGAAGGTCATCAAAATTCTCAAGATTCTCTTGTCCGTCAGTTCTTTTATTATACAAGCTATTAGCCACAAAACATGTCCCATATTCAGTTTCCATTGGTATAAAAATGTCCGAGCAATTCATCTCTTCTCCCATGTAAAATACTCGATCCATGACTCCCTCACATGTGTGTGGAATTAGCTTCTTTCTTTGATAGTCAAAATTCATCCCACATGTTGTGTTCATTTCAAGACAAGTCTCAATAGATATCCCTTCAGTCGGTTCCTGATAATTCACAAATAATAAACTCTGCATAACTCGATAGTGTCTCATTGACAATTTGAATTCTCCTCCATCTTCACGAAGCATTGAAGTGCCAACAGATGCTTTAATTGGTGCTGTAGATCTTCCTTTAGTTAGGCATAAAGACACAGCTGGAAATGCATTGTCCCAATCTCGATAACTTGTGTCCAAATTAATGCTTGTCGATATTGTTCCTTTTCTTATCGTAGACCTCAACATTCGGACCATCAAAAGGAATGAAATGGCTATAAAGCATGTCCAAAATGTCCTTGCAAAGCTCTTCTTCCATCCGATTTTTTGTTGATGCACTAAATGCCTAAATCCATGAAGAGAAGTCGTTTCGAACAGGAATGCAATTTTTGAAGTCATTCTTATTTGATTGCTCGTAAATCACTGCTAGGTATTGAATGTATCATGCAGGGATAATAATTAATTACATTTGATGCATATTTTATGTACCTACTTCTAAGTTGATTATCATTACGAGTCACATGTGTTGAAATGACAGTTATTTAACGGTCAATAAATTTTAAATTTAAATGAAAACCCTACAAAAGTTTTTTGAATTTTTTAAAACACATTTTTCCGTTAAAATTGATTAAACATTTATTCCTACAAACTTTACATTAATTACATTTCGAACAATAAATTCTATAAATTAGCTTTTTCTACACACAAAGAATCCATACTGAGATGACTAGATTTGTAGAGGTGTGATGAGAATTGTATCTGCACTTTTATAAAGCTTCCTCCTTTTTTCCTCATAATTGATGAGCCCGTATAGTGAGTAAATACACAGTGCAAGGTATACAATAAAAATAAGCGCAAAAATGCAGGCAACAATGAGATATGGACTCGTTGCATCTTGTCCATTTGACGCTGTTAGATGAATTTCTGATGGAAGTAGACAAATCATCGTGGCAGTTATAACGACAGCTAAAATAACATACGGAACGATGAGCATAGATTTGCGCTGAAGTGAATGAAACAAATTAAGAAAACGTGAGAAAGATTTATTAAGACTTAGACACAAAAAGCGTGAGTTAATGAACTGTGGCATGGATGGTGAAACTGTGTGAAATATGAGCGTGAAAATGCTTTTTTCATTGATGTACAAAAAAGTGAAGAATGTTCTGTGCGTTATGAAGATGATGAAAAGTAACTTACGTATTTAATTCCACATATCAGCATAATATGAAAGACGGCAATGATAAGTAATAGAGCGATCACAAGGGCCGAGTAGTAATAAAAATCTGTACGAGGCAAGAATATTAAATTCCAATCAAAAAGGTCAAGAATTGACACAAAAAATGTAGCTTGAATTGTAAATTAAATTAACGGTTTTTCAATTTTTTTTAAAATATAACGGGTTTCAAAAATTTGAATTTTCTCAAAGAATAAGAATTCAAACTTTTGAACTTTTAACAGTTTTTTTAAAAAGAAATCCAGCATAAAGCTCTCACCTTCATCATTAAAAAGATGCCTTAGAACTTCATTTGGTGCATTTTGACCAGCAGATTTTCTGCCACCAGCAACCAAAAATGTTGCATACGCAATCATTAGTGATATCATCAAGCCGGTCCATCCTATAACTTTGCCAAACAGCTTAAGTTTCACACAACATAAAAAGCGATCAAAGATGATCATATCTTCTCTTTTGCTTATTTTACAGGGCGTTACAGGAACGTGATGAAATATACGTGAATATTTTTTTGTATAATCAGCACCCGAAAAAAATTGAGAAATCAAAGAGGATATAAAAATAGACTCAGTTGCTTTTATTACTGCCCAAATTACGCAAATCGATCGATTAAGCCTTATCGTCACAAAATATATGTATTCATTATTTTAACACTTCTGCTATTGACTTTTAATGACAATGAAAATGTCTGAACTAAGGTTCTTGCACTTGTGACTCTCTCGGAAAATCTAATGAGACTAATCTTCATCTGTGTGTCTCTGCGAAAACAAAAACTAGTTCGCCACTTAATTTTTTTTTCTATATTTTTTTTCCTTCGAAGTCAAACGCAAATGTTATTTCTTTCTTGAGATTTTATAAACACACTAAAAATACCTCTCTCTCCTGCAGCATAATAGAATGACGAGTTTATAAATATTTGGATACGTGGGCGATTTAGGCGCCTCAATGGTAATGTTTGAAATTTTAACGACTTTCAAAATTTTGAACTTTTAGCAGTTTTCAAAATGTTCAAGAACCATTCAATTGTTTTACTTTGAGAATTTAAAAGGTTTTAGAATACATAAAGCTTCATATTAATTTAACAGCCAGTCCAACTAATTCCTACCCCAAAATGACAGCTAATAAAGTGCTTTTCCTCAAAAAATGCTTTCAAAAGTGGAAAAAGATTTTTTTTGTGATTTTTTTTATTATTTCATCTGTTTTCGTGTGCTTAAAAATGCTCATCAATGGATAGTGTCTCACAAAAGTCTGATCGTTCTTATTTTTGTTTATTTCAACGCCATATGATGCTTTTAATTAAGATTTTATTCATTTAAATCTCCCTCATGTCATTGACAATTATGAAATATTTTAAGTGGAATGATGATTAATTTATTGTATCAAGAAGCAAGACCTGTTGGTGGAAAATTGTGTTAAATAAATAAAGGATGGTTTCATGCTCAATAAGCAGTTATAATAAAAATTCTATAGATTTACATTTTCATTGAGTCACGTGTTGAATCTTTTTAACGGTTTATTTTGAAAAAACCTTTTTGCCTTCGCAACTGTCAAAAAATATTTAAATGAAGTTTCAGTTTCTGTGTGTTGATTTTTTGGAAAAGTAAGAAAAACATAAAATAATTAAAATTTCCCGTTTTCTGAGGAAAATAATCAACAATAAATCATCTAAATTATAATTAATGTAAGTGTCAATAGCGGTAGCTTCGAGTTGCATTAAAAATCTGTTTATTTCATTCAAAAATCAATAAAATAAGTTCTTCGAGTGACGTGGAAGTAAAAAATATTTCTTAATTAACTATTTGTAGTGATACCTTCAATTGACAACAATAATGGCAACGTATGAAGAATATATTCAACAAAATGAGGATCGTGATGGAATCAGATTTACATGGAATGTTTGGCCATCAAGTAGAGTAGACGCGACAAAATTAGTAGTGCCATTGGCTTGCCTTTATCAGCCATTTAAGGAACGAGCAGATCTTCCACCACTTATGTATGAGCCTGTCTTGTGTACCAGAACTACATGTCGTGCAATTTTAAATCCTATGTGTCAAGTTGACTATCGTGCAAAGTTGTGGGTCTGCAATTTCTGCTTCCAACGAAATCCCGTAAGTATTTTTGACATTGGCCTTGATCTAATTATAGATCTATGATTTATGCCACTTTCTTACATTTAACCTTATTGATTATTTTAGTTCCCACCTCAATATGCTGCAATATCCGAGCAACATCAACCAGCTGAGCTTATTCCAGGATTCAGTACAATCGAATATACAATAACGAGAGCACCTTGCATGCCACCAGTATTCCTGTTTGTAGTTGATACTTGCATGGATGAAGAAGAATTAACGGCATTGAAAGATTCACTTCAAATGTCCTTGAGTTTACTTCCTTCAAATGCTCTTGTTGGATTAATTACTTTTGGCAAAATGGTCCAAGTCCATGAATTATCAACTGAAGGATGCTCTAAGAGCTACGTTTTTCGTGGTACGAAAGATTTAAGTGCTAAGCAGATCCAAGATATGCTAGGAATTGGACGTGGAGGTGCTGGGCCAGTTCCAGCTGGACAGCAACAACCTCAACAACCAAGATTGCCTCAACAAGGTCCACAACCACCATCAAATAGATTCTTACAGCCATTACAAAAATGTGATATGGCTTTAACTGATATGTTGGGCGAATTACAAAGAGATCCATGGCCAGTTTCACAAGGAAAACGTCCATTGAGAGCAACTGGAACTGCTTTATCGATTGCTGTTGGATTACTTGAATGTACATATCCAAATACAGCTGCAAGAGTCTTATTGTTTGTTGGTGGACCATGTTCGACTGGTCCAGGACAAGTTGTTGATGATGAGCTTAAACATCCAATTCGTTCTCATCATGACATCCATAAAGATAATGCAAAATACATGAAAAAAGGAATTAAGCACTTTGAAGCACTTGCATTGAGAACAGCAACAAATGGACATTGTATTGACATCTATTCATGTGCTCTGGATCAAACTGGTCTTATGGAAATGAAGCAGTGCTGTAATTCAACTGGTGGACATATGGTTATGGGAGATTCCTTCAATTCTTCCTTATTTAAGCAAACTTATCAACGAGTTTTCGCTACAGATTCTAAAAATGACCTTAAAATGGGCTTTAATGCTACTTTGGAATTAAAATGTTCTAGAGAATTGAAAATTGAAGGTGGAATTGGACCTTGTGTGTCATTAAATATTAAAAATTCATCTGTATCAGAGAATGAAGTTGGAATGGGGAATACAACTCAATGGAAATTGTGTACAGTCTCACCAAACTCAACTATGGCATTTTTCTTTGAAGTTGCGAATCAACATTCAGCACCAATTCCACAAGGTGGTCGTGGATGTCTTCAATTCATTACGCAATATCAACATGCTAGTGGACAGAGAAGAATAAGAGTTACAACTGTCGCTAGAAATTGGGCAGATGCAGCTGTTAATCTTAATTTCATTTCTGCTGGATTTGATCAGGAAGCAGCAGCCGTTATTATGGCGAGAATGGTCGTTTTTCGTGCAGAATCTGATGATGGTCCGGATGTATTGCGTTGGATTGATAGACAATTAATTAGATTATGTCAGAAATTCGGTGAATATAATAAGGATGATCCAAACTCATTTAGACTTGCTGAGAATTTCAGTCTATTTCCACAATTCATTTATCACTTGAGAAGGTCACAGTTCTTGCAAGTCTTTAATAATTCACCAGATGAAACGACTTTCTATCGTCACATGTTAATGCGTGAAGATTTAACACAGTCACTGATTATGATACAGCCAATTTTGTATAGCTATAGCTTCAATGGACCACCAGAGCCGGTTCTTCTTGACACATCAAGTATCCAACCTGATAAGATTCTCTTGATGGACACTTTCTTCCAAATTCTAATCTTTCACGGTGAAACTATCGCTCAATGGCGAGCTATGAAGTATCATGAAATGAAGGAATATGAAAATTTCAAGCAGCTCTTACAAGCACCAGTCGATGATGCTCAAGAAATTTTGTCAACAAGATTCCCAATGCCTCGATATATCGATACAGAACAAGGCGGTTCACAAGCTCGATTCTTGTTGTCGAAAGTTAATCCATCGCAGACACACAATACAATGTATGGATACGGTGGAAGTGATGGCGGTGCTCCTGTTTTAACAGATGATGTATCATTACAAGTCTTTATGGAACATTTGAAGAAATTGGCTGTCTCATCTACAGCTTAGTATGTGAAGAAAATTAAGAAAATCGTCAAACGGTGCAGGAAAATGTTTAAAGTTACGAGAAAAATTATTTAGAAAAATGCATGCTGAATGCCCAGAGCAAGATTTATGGATGAAGAAAAAAATAATAATATTAATTAATTGTATATGTATGCTTCAACATTTCTTTAATGATTCAATTTTTACATAACATTCACAATAAATATATGTATAAATTATATCTTTTTTCTCACTTTTGCTTTCAGTGTGGAATTCTGCGCTCCAAAAAAGGATTAATTCACTAATGACGTCTTTAAAGAAATTTATTTTTCAGACCCCAAAGCTGTGCTACCAAATTTTTATAAAAATATATTTTTTTTCAGACCAATGTGACAATTCTTTATATCAAATACTAGACGTCATCAGTGAATGACCAGAAAAAGCTAAAATAAATTAAGTTAAATAAAGTGTAGGAATGTGGTGGTTGTTGTTCAGAGCTTTAAGTGTGTAGATAAGAAAATAAAGGTTTGTAAGTATGAAAGAATTTCGAGGAAAATTAAAACTTTGAAATTTTTCTTTAAAAACCATTCAACAGTCAATATGAAAGCAAAATTGTCCTGTTTTAATGTTACAAATACTATCAAAACCGTACAAGTGTTTGAAAACATTTATAAGGTTCTGAAGAAATCTAATATGAATTTGTATGGTTTTGGAAAAATAGAACTTTTCAAATGTTTTTATATGCCTCGGAATTCAATCTATTCAAACTCCAAAATTCACTTTTCAACCAAAAAATAAATGTAATTTCATTAAAAATATTACTTTTAAAACTTCAACTAAAAATCATCTAAAATTATATTGTAAGTTGCACGATTTACAATTTTCACTTGCCTCAACATCTTAAGTGCCTCAAAAGCCAATTAAAATTTAATTAAGAAATCTAATAGACATTTTCTTTTCGACATCAGTACGATCCAAAGCTTTGCAGAAATCATCGAATGTAATTTTTCCATCTCCGGCTTGATCTGCTTCCATAATTGTTCTTTCTGCGATGCTCATTAATTGATCCTGGCTAATATTAGCACCAACCATCATGTGGAGAATATTAAGTAATTCGTCTTTGGAGATTGATTCGTCATCATCAAGATCGTACATTCTGAATGCAACTGTTGGGTATAAAAATTATTAATATTGAGCATGTTCAAGGATATTGCTTATAAAACAGAAAGTGAGCAACTTACATCTAAGTTTCTCTTCACGGCTGTTTAGCTTGTTTTCCTTGCTACTCTTAATCGTTCTAAATCTAGCCAAGACTTGCATAAACTGTCTAAAATTAACGCGATCATCATTTGAGTCCGTAAAGAAGGAATGAACGATTCTGTCACATAATGGGTTGATTGCCAATTCTGGAATTCTTAGAAAGTCCTCACGTGATAATGTTCCACTGTCATTTCTGTCCAATGACGTGAATCGAGAGTACAATCGCTCAATTTGCGCTGGTGTGACTGGTAAACGATAAAAAATATATTGAATCGAAAAGTTTGAATTACATGAATATCGTCGTTCTTTAACCGAAAACATAGAAAGATGACAAGAGATATAATATATTGCAGTAATAACCAATTGAAGATAGTAAAACAGAAGTTACAGATAAGATATAAAGAGACGAAAAAGAAAATAAATAAAATGACGCTTTATCTTTGTACACTAATGTAGAACAACACCTAAATGCCATTAATTTTTGTGTCAGCTCATTGAATAGAGTCAAATGACATTCTATAATTGCCTTTAAGCACTATGAAAGTTGCAAAAAATAATAATTTTGCACAAGGTCAAATTAATTTTGTAATAATTTAATTTTTCAAGCACTTACATCCAGTTTCCTCCTGAATTTGAGCGATTTCCTCTTCTCTTAATAATAGTGATGACTTATTTCCCATTGTTACGTCTCTAAAACACTTCTTTCCTACTTAAAACACAATTAATTACTGATTTGCGAAAGAATGTATTGGTTTATTTTGAAAATCGATCACGTTTTCAAATTCAAATTTTAAACGACGGTTACAACTTAGAATGACTTTTTAACAGCTTTCAAGCAATAAATGTGAAATAATTAAAGAACATTGAATTTAAAGGATTTGTAAATAATTAAGATGAAAATTAAAATAGTAATCATTAGGGAAAATTGAATAAATTATTAAATTGAATTTATCGTTGAACCCTGCCACGTGCGTTCAGGAATTAAAGAAAAATAATCAAAGTTTCTTTGTCGACTGTATTTCTGTCTTGTATTTTTCTCTTAAATTTAAATTATATTAACAATTAAACGTGTGTTAAAGCATCATTACTAATTTGGAGTGTTGATAAATAGTGTAGTGCAAAAGGAAAATGCAAGGGTTGAGGTAATAAATTGCTCGTGAAAAATGATTTCCGTTCTATGTACTTAATACTTTGTTAAAAACTTGATAGAAAAGTGAAAATCGTATTAAACCGAAACGAATTACGGATTTAGTGTTGAAATCGATTGATAGGAGATCAATAGACTGCAAAATATTATACAATTTGTGTCAAAATAGCCCAAAATTATGAAACAATTTAAACATTTTTCTCTCTTTCTGGATGTTCAAAATTGGAACTGGCAGCAAGCAAAGAAACGAATATGAAAAAAAGAAATCTCAATTTTTCTTTCTGTCTTTGTTTTTATGCTTCTCAAAACACACTGGGATTGTTGTTGTTGCTGCTGCTGTACACAAACTTTTTTTGTGTGCTTCGTACATACGGTTTATTTATTATTATTAATACATAGTTAACTGAGTCATCAAAAAATCAGTAGATATATGGCTTAAAGGAAATTTAATTCTGTGGAATGTCTTGAGTCAATTATTTTAAAATCTGGATGTGCTTATATCACTTTGTTCCAAATCTGGATATGTGACGATTTGGCATAGATTTTACTTTGTCAGTAACAGACAAAAGACTTTATATTGGCTGTGCAATTAGCACTCATTATTATTTCCTAAAAATCTGTTATCAGAATCAGTCATAATGTACACAATAAAGATCTTTAAAGTTGTATAATACAATCAACAGCAATAGATTATTCAAAACAAGCACAAGCCACAGTCTCTCGTACTCAGACGCTCTCTTAAATTACGGTGGGAAAATTGAGAATGAATCATTAATGAACGGCTGTTGCTGCTTTAATTGTTAATAACAAAATGCGCAATATTGGTCTCAATCAATCAATTTCTCACTTTCAATCCTTGGCTATGCGCATTTAATTCAATGTAATAGCGATTCGTATATTATTTATAAGTAATTTTCTGCAGTTTCAGCGAACTGTGTTGTCTATTCTGTTGTCCACCATGCCCAAGTCGAATAGCAGCTAAATTAGCATTTTTACCGCCAGAGCCAACATACAGTCTCGTCGCAAACGAAGAAGTCAAGTCAAAATTTCAACTTCAACTGAATGAAAAGGCAGAGTGGCCATACTCAGAACGTGATAAGGATACAATTGAATCATTTTATACGCGAACTTCGCGTGGAAATCGAATCGCTTGTATTTTTGTCAAGTGCTGCAGTAACGCACGATATACTCTCCTCTTTTCACATGGCAATGCCGTCGATCTAGGACAAATGAGTAGTTTTTACTTAGGATTAGGATCTAGGATTAACTGCAATATATTTAGGTAACGAACTTCTGAAATTCCCTTTCTATAAAGATTACTAATGACTTTTACGTTTAGTTATGATTATTCGGGCTACGGAGCGAGTACAGGAAAACCATCGGAGAAAAACCTTTATGCAGACATCGATGCTGCATGGCATTTATTAAGGTAACATCTAGAAACAAATTTAATTTAAAAGTTTTATTAACAAATGTATATCCCAAAATCAGGACACGCTATGGAATAAGTCCAGAGAATATTATACTCTACGGACAGAGTATAGGTACAGTGCCGACAGTTGATCTTGCCAGTCGTTATGAAGTGGGAGCAGTTGTTCTGCATTCGGCTTTAATGTCAGGTATGCGCGTAGCTTTTCCAAATACCAAAAGAACGTGGTTCTTTGACGTCTTTCCAAGCATTGATAAGGTATCAAAAATATCATCACCTGTTTTGGTGATTCATGGAACGGAAGATGAGGTAATTGACTTTTCGCATGGAATGAGTATCTATGAAAAGTGTGTGAAATCTGTCGAGCCTCTGTGGATAGATGGAGCAGGTCACAACGATATAGAGCTGTACAGTCAATATCTTGATCGACTTAAAAAGTTTGTCTCCGTTGAATTGGTAAACTGACAATCAAAGAATCAATCGTCGTCAGCTCCACAGGCGAATCAGCCACAGACACAAAGTAGTAAAACAACTACACCAGCAGTGATAACAACAACGACGACGACTACTCAACAGCAGCAACAGACTAAAAGTGGAGCAACAAGTGCATCAAAACCAGGCAATAGTAGTAGCAGCGGAAGTAATAATATTAATACTAGTACTGTTAATAGTAGGACCAATGAGAAAACTCAATTACTTGACGATAAAACTAAGAAACAGAATTCCAATAATCAACAAGAATTGCCACCGGCTCCGCCGGCTCCAACGATAAATGAAAAACTTTTATAGCACCAAACATTATTATCCAATTCAAATAGTATCGGAAGAAGACGTAAACCCGGCAATATTATTTATTCAAATGATGGTCTGTGGCATAAAAATTCATCACCTCCACTGCCCCTCGCTCCGAGACATCCGCTATGTAAGTGTATTAAGGATATCGTATTAATGAAAGACAATGTCAATGACGGAATTCTGGAAAAAGACTGTGAAAAATGCAATAATAAAAGTGAGAAGAAAAATTTACGTGATGCTCAAACGAGTCCACAAAAGAGTCCATTAAAAAATTCAATATCACCAAAAATACCAAAAAAACAGCTATTAAGTCCATCGAAAATTGATTTGCCACCTTCGCCTCATCATCCGAGAGCAACTTTAGAAAAATCTAATTCGTTGGGAGATTCGAAACCAGTCAAACAGTTAAGAACAACAAAAAGCCTCTCACCACGTCCTCCAATTAAGCATCAATCTGCTGTACAAGATGAAAATAATGTTGTGGTAAAAGTCTCACCAGCAGAAGATGAAGGTGGTAATGAGATGAATAAATCACTGACTGAAAAACAGATTAACAATAAAAAGGCTGATAAAATCGTAGAAAGCTTAAAACTTGATGATTGGCAAAAAAACCGAAGTACTGGATGTCTAGTTTATGTTCCATCCGATCCATGGACAAAAATGGATTCAAGGACACAACAACCCATTGAAGATCAACCACAAAAGGGCAAGAAAGGTTCAAATCGTATGAAGAAATTAATGGACGTAAAATCATTGAGTAAACCAGACTTGATTGATGATAGTGACAATGATCCATGGGTATTAGATGAGACGAGAAAATCACGTGATACAACGAATAAAAAGAGTGCAACATATCGACATCAATCAAAATCTCTTCATATTGATACGAGATCTACTGGAACTGCACGTCCGAGACTTCAACGATCAAAATCACCAGTTCTTATAGCGCCACTTGATGATGTTCAATTTTCAAAAGGACCATTATCCCCAAAAGATCCGCTATCGTCTTTATCTCCAACACTTGGTTACCATTCCGTACCAGATAAAGAAGCTCGAGCAAAAAGTATCAATAATGGACGTAAGAAGCAAAATCAACAACAATTTCTGAATGTGTCAAATCCAAATTTATTACAACAATCACGTCACAGCTTCTCCACATCACCGACAACATTAACTGGAAATGCAAAGGATGATGAATTGACATTGAACATAAGGCGATTAAGTGAGCAGATAAAATACTCATCGACATACGGTAGCTATGGGAATTTTCATGGAACATCAAGTGCTGTAACAAGTCCTAAACAAATTGAAGGTATGGAAAAAAGTGCAAGTTTATTAAGCGATTCTCTGCTAGAGACAACGTGCTGAAAGGCCGTTTAAATTTTCTCCTCTTAGAATTGAATAGGTTTTATTGTCGGAGAACATGATTTTATTTGTTTGTTATTTCTTCTTTCGCTGCCAATTGTATATAGGATTTATGTTCCAAATCCCCTCTATTCTATATATTTTCTACTCTATATTCCTCTTCAATTCAAACGTGTCGCAAAATCTATGCGACAAAAAAAAATTTATCTCACATAACATATTTAAAAAGTATATAAAATATAATCACACGACACACACACGGTGCACCTAAAGAAATCTTCTCATCCACTGATTTACTGGACAAAAAACTTATTTTTTTCAATGTGAAACACATAAAAGATTTATATGCATTTAATTACTTTTTTTCTCGATGGATATTCATCTAATAGATTATAATGTTAAAAAGAAATTGAGAACGTAAGATATTTATGCATTCTATCAGATATTCAGTGTTGGTTGGCTGCTGGATGTTGTTTAAAAGGTGAACATTTTGATTCTTAGTTGGATATGGGTGTAAAAAGATACTACTAAAGTTCAATTATTAAGACTGTAATCCATCAAATTGATGATTAGCTCTTTAATAAGCTCCATATTCAAGCATTTATCTAAAATAGACAATTTTTGGCCAGTCGTAAAGACAAAGTGGTTCAAATAATACAAAGCCTAAAAAAAAACAACGTGTCTAAAATATCTGCAAGATAAAACTGATGAAGACATATCTTGACAGAACTGTAAAACAACCTGTTGCTGTCATTAAAACTGAATTCTAGAACTTCTTTTTTTCCAACCCTGAAGAGCTTATAAGAAAAATCCATTAGCAAGATCAGGTGTGCCTTTAAACACATCCCACTCCTCGATTTGAGCAAATCTTGTCTAGCTCATTCGGTTGAGATTCAGTCAGTTGCGTCAGAAATTTACTTGATTATAAAAACCTTTGAACTTTCCAAAAGCTACCAACCTCACATCAAATCATTTATTTAAATTAATTGAAACTTTTTCCTCGCCATTTGATCATAATTTTATATTTAATCAATATATCAACTTTATTCAATTACTAGCATGATGCATGAATGAATAATTTTCTGACGGAATGAATGTCTATTAAAACTTTTGTTTTTTGCCTCGCTCTCAATTTCCATCGAAATTTCTTCGGTTTTAGAACATATCAATTAATTGCTGATTGTGAAATTAGAATCGTGCAATTTTTTTTTCTCTTCATTTCTTCCATTAAGCTCAATTTCTCTCTCAAAATTCTACAATTTTATTTTTGTGGTAAAACGATATGTTTAGAGTCTTAATTAAGATAATAATAAATTTTAAGAATTTAGGTCTTTTTCGATTTGATATCATTTTTATACATTGAAAGTTCGATGAAATTTGCTGGAAAATTTTATTTCTTGGAAGTTGGAGATAAAAATTCGTGTGCAGATTGTGATATTAAGAAACTTATTTTTATCTTTAATTTCTTATCAAAAATGTATTGCACGTGTATGATTTTCACGTCCTACCTGTCATTGCTTCTTATTCTAATTTTCACGAAATTACATGTTCTGTATGAATTAAAAAATATGTAAGACTTGATGATTTCAACCCCTTTTCGTGACTTTATTTCTAACCAGAACAAGTATTCAAGAACTGTTGCTTACATTCTGAAAACTTGTAAATTTTTAATAACGCGTGTATGTGCATGCCCTGTTAAAAGTCATAATCATAATTTGTGAAAATTCATGAATTATTCAATAATTCAATCAATAATGTTTGGCCGTGAAGGAAAAGAAGCAATGACTGAGAACTTTAACATCAATTTCATCGAATCTTTTTCATCATTTGGTAATCAAAATTTTAAAATAGCGACATTTTACTTTTGGAATTCGCAAATCTTTTATTTTTATTAAAACAAATTTATAATTCTTAGAATCAAATTTCTTTGGGTTTATTAAGTGTGAAGGTCAAGCAAAGAACCTTACAATAAGAGAGAACGAAGGTAGATTGAATGATTCACAGATTGGTGATTAAATTAATAAATAGTATAAATACAAAACCACTCATATTAATGCTTTAGCACTATGAATATTGAAAAGAAAAGATTGTTAAAGACTTTTTATAAACATTTTAATTTCCCGCTCATTTTTAGAAGTTCATTATTTTATTCAATATTTAAGATAAAATGAATATTTCATAAGACATTTTATTGGTCTAAAAAATAATTCGAAAATTGGCCAATCTTTTCAATTATAAATAATGGAAATAAAAGTGTTTCTTCTTAAAACTTATTGAATACCTATTGATAAAATAATAAATTTGTACATACAACAAAAAATGTAGGAATTAAGTAATGAAAACAAATTAAGATTGTGAACAGTTTAATTCGATATTAATTATGCAAAAAAAAAATGAAAATTCATTTTGACAAATTTTGTAATTAGAACAAAAACAAAACAATGAAAATCAATTTAATGTTGACTAGTTTATTTTCGAGTGTCTGAATGCTCCCTGTTTTGTATCGATTTTTCGACACATTATTTGCTAGACTGCATACTATATTCCCTGACTCAGCAATGAAAATATTAAATCAACACTATCGTTAAGGTGTCATGTGTTGCTGCTACGTTTATAATTATCTCTATTATTTTGTTAGACTGAATGAACTAATTTGCTTGAAAATAATCAATAGATGGCAAATAAACAAAAAACCTTAGCATTCGACCACAGAAGTTTAAATCAATTCATGTGAACGTGAAACTTCGTGAGGATTTTCACTCGATTAAAGGCGGGGTGAAGGAAAATATGAAATTTTAAGTACACAAAACTCAGTATGAAAGATAAACAGAATTTATAAAAACTTTTATTAAACCTCAATCCTATCAATTTTATAACGAAATATAAAGGAAAGTAGAGCTTCAAGCTTGTTCATTTTTTTTGTGTATCATAAGAGCATTTAGATATTTTTTAAGAGTGGTTTCCCAAATTTTTGTTCAGATCCTTCAAAAAAAAAAAATCCTGCAACAGAGTCAGATGGAAGGCTTTTTGTTGTAACCTAAGCTCCACTTAGGAACATGGTTACAGAAAGTATAAAATCCTTGATTTATCTGCAACAGTAAGCGGAATTTTTATTATAAATCAATCGAATGAAATGTTGCAGATTTCAAAAACTGATGCATTAAATCACTTCATCTAGATTTTTAAATAAACTCTTGATTTGTGCTGTATAGAAAAAGTAACTTGAAAAATCTAAAAGATAGAATGCGCATTGCTGAAAATATGATAAATGGTATGTTTATTAATGGAATATAAACCTCATTTACTTGCATTGTTTCTCTCGCCTACTTCCTCTTCATTCATTGAGAAATAATTCAGCATTTTCTCATGCTAATCTGAATGCTTTTGTTATGAAAAAGATTTGACAAGAAAATTAAAGAGATTCTTTTTAATATTTACACGAAGCTAGCTCATCATTTACAAATCCGACACTATAATCATTTGAGTGTAAATTTGAGCTTTAAATAAAAAAGAAAAAAAAAATTATCACAGACGTGTGAATAAACTCTGAATTCAGACGCTCGAAAATAAAAAAAAAATACTTTATTTGCCTTCAATTGCATTTCATTTAATAATTGAGAAATGAATAAAATAAAAAAAAAATCATAGAGTTAACGTAACGAAAATGACTACAAAGTGTCAAAAAAAAAATACTTTTTAAGCTGATTTGAATTGCAAATCAATCTGAAAGACCTAATTTTATTTAGCAAAAATGTGAATCAATTTTATTATTCATTTCCATTCGTTTCTTTCGTCCAACAAATAAATAATAGAAATATATAAAATGAAACTGTAATCAAATTAAGTGATGAGAATTCTTAATGTAAGAAGTTCTTATTGACATTAAAACAACATGTGAACAGGAATCGATTTCTTTTCAAACACACATTCTAATCTTTTATTTGCTCTCAAAAAAAAAATCAATACTTTGATCGAGAACTGTTATTGTATCAATTATATGTCTTATATATGACTTTGTAGCAAAAGGCTGGGGAATATTTTGATTTATTTTTAAATGTGCCCTGCCTTTATGTGTTTAAAAAAGAAATCGACTGCTTATATTGAAATTTTATTGAGAACTTTTAACGGGATAAAATTGAATTTTTGATTTATAGGAATCATAGGTATGCATTTAGAGCAGATTTTTCTGGGTTTGCTTGACACCTTTAAAGTTTTAACAGCTATGCTTACTATAGATTTGTTATTATCTAGAGTTATAGTCTTAAAAAAAATTTTATTGCTGGAACATTACATAAAACTTATAGCTAAGGATACTAAAGGAATGTTTAACAAAGATTCATTGTTAAGTATACTTAAATGATCAATAAATATCAGATCTACCAATCTATCAAACAAAGACAGTCTGATCTGCTTTTTTAAAAACCAAAAAATATTTTATAAATATCGGTTCTTCAACTTAAATCGAACAAACCAGCAATACAATTATTTCTTTCATTTATTATTGCCATTCTTTAGAGTACATTATGCCATTAAAAGCTTGCAATAAAATTTCAATTCTCACATGATGAATGATATCAAAAAATATGCCGAAATACATTTTTACCAACAAATTATTTTTATCATTTTATTTTATTTTTTTAAACTATTAAGTGTCGTAGATTGTAGGATAAAATAAATTACAAAAAGAAAAATTGAAATTTTAAGATACCAACCCTATATATATTTCGTTATAAGTTTCTCGTAAATGGAGAAGATAAAAAATAATTATGTGAGCAACGTATTTGACGTAATATACACATTAAAATTATGATAAAATATGAATGAAAAAAAAAAGAAAAATGTAATAAAAATTTAGCTCCGAAAAATTTATTTCCACGATAAATAAAAAATATTTTTGGAATGTGTTTTTCTTACATGCCACAGAGAATAACTATAAAAAGTAATTTTTTCAGTGAAAGTGAAAGAATGAACAGCCTTGAATTTTCAATAGAATAATGAGTAAT